TCTGACTAAATGCAACATAACCATATCTTTATCTTCTTCTTTCTCCAACTCTTCAGTATATATCATATACTTATATACTCTTTTCCTTTCCTTTTGGTACGAACGTGGTATTCTTTTCTGTATGCTTTTGTCTTTGGATTCAATGACTTCATCTTTTGCTTGAAGTTTCTTTTCCATCTCCTCCACGTTCTGCTTTATATAGTTCATCTAACATCATGAAAATATAACAAGCATAACGAGGTGAAGCCCACATTGCTACAGCATTTACTAAAAGTCTATGACATAATAACCTTTCAAACCAGGAGCCAAATTCTTGCGATTTTCGTACGGAATCTCTTCCCTCGGTTTTCCGAGGGAAGCAATCATATGAGGAAATTCTTCTAAAGTTCTTTTGCCTGTTGGTTTTCAAACCAATGATATGCTTGCTTTGTAGAACGAAGAGCATTCATTATACTTTGCATTTGGTACATATCGTCTTTGACCGAACGAATGAGACGGAGTTGTTTGTTAAACTGTATGTACTCGTATTCTTCATTTATGGCTTCATGAACGATAGCAGTTGTTGTGTTCTCTGTTGTTGACATATCTGTCCTTACATACAAAATAAAAAAATAAATAAAAATAAAACTAACTTTATTTTTCTGTGTTAAAGAAATGTTAAAAATTCAGGGTTACATATGTGAAAAGAAGTCACGAACAAATGAAGGTCATAAGATTCAGCACATAATTCTGATTGAATGGTGTGTCATACATGTCAAGCCGTCAAGAATGAAGGAGATACGAGGCTATAAAGATTTTGGAATATTTTCTGACACACACCCTGAGGGAAAAGTGACAAAACACGACGATAGAAAAAAGTGACAAAATTGAGAGAAAGTTGTTCCCGACCAAAATGCAAATCATGTTGAAAAAGTGACATTTGTAAAGTTAGACGATAGGATTTCCTGAAAAAGTGCAAGACTTGTTCTGAATCAGGACAAGATTTGTCTTGAAAAAATACAAGACTTGTTCTGAAAAAATACAAGACTTGTTCTGAAAAATACAAGACTTGTCTTGAATCAGGACAATTGTTCTCAATTTGAGAACTTTACAAGAAAAACTGACTAAAAAGTGCAAGACTTGTTCTGAATCAGGACAAGATTTGTCTTGAAAAAATACAAGACTTGTTCTGAAAAAATACAAGACTTGTTCTGAAAAAATACAAGACTTGTCTTGAATCAGGACAAAACTTTACAAAATGTAAACTTTACATAACCGTTTCTATCGTACATGATATTTAGTTGACATTGTAAACTATCTTCATGTAAGTATGGCGGTTTGAAACCGTCGGGAACCTTCACTTTTTTGACGAACTTTCCGCAGCAATTTTTAAAATTTGTGAAAACTCAACGGTTTGACACGTGCCATATGTCATTTTACTCAGAATTTTGTGCTGAATTCAGCAAAAATAATGTTTTGTTAGCATGTTAGATCTAACACGTTTTCTAACCTCTTTTCTAACATAACTATTTACAAGCGTTTTACATGGTATATGTTGGCGATGGTTCATGACTTTAAACAGTTTTGTAGCTTCTATTTCTTCTTTTAGTACATCGAATGTTTTAACAATGCCGAAGGTTTCTTTATATTTCTTCTTGACGTCAGATAGAAGGAAATCGTCAGCAGTTGGATAATTTTTGTTCAGAAATGCTAACATGTCCATTTTATCTTCTGCTGGCTTTTCTACTTCTTTCTTTAAATCTGCATAGTCGTTTCTCATTCTTTCTATCTCTTTGACGGAGTAGTTATATTTCCTCATCGCTGCCTTACATTTTGAACATTGCGGGTTCATTTTTGCGTTATACATTGAAATTCTTATATACGAAAAAAGAGATCTGACATTGTGTCAGATCTCAGTAAAAGTGACATTTACATGTCAAAAAAAATAGAATGAGTTTAAGTAATTAAAATTGAGGGTGAGAGTAGTATTGTATGAAATAATATCTCTCACCCTCCAATTCATCCTATGGCGCCGAAAAAATTTTGGTGAAATGCGACCACATTTCACCAAAATTTCTCGGCGCCATATAGAGAACTAGAGCCTGTGAGGTACTGATACTATCCATGTACCTCGCAGGCTCTAGTTCCAAGCCAAAATGGCTAAAAATTGCCCGCAATTGTTTCACATTGCGGCAATTTTTAGCCATTTTGGCTGGGAATTGGAGGGTGAGAGTAGTATTGTATGAAATAATATCTCTCACCCTCCAATTCATCCTATGGCGCCGAAAAAATTTTGGTGAAATGCGACACATTTCACCAAAATTTCTCGGCGCCATATAGAGAACTAGAGCCTGTGAGGTACTGATACTATCCATGTACCTCGCAGGCTCTAGTTCCAAGCCAAATGGCTAAAAATTGCCCGCAATTGTTCACATTGCGGGCAATTTTTAGCCATTTTGGCTGGGAATTGGAGGGTGAGAGTAGTATTGTATGAAATAATATCTCTCACCCTCCAATTCATCCTATGGCGCCGAAAAAATTTTGGTGAAATGCGACCACATTTCACCAAAATTTCTCGCGCCATATAGAGAACTAGAGCCTGTGAGGTACTGATACTATCCATGTACCTCGCAGGCTCTAGTTCCAAGCCAAAATGGCTAAAAATTGCCCGCAATTGTTCACATTGCGGGCAATTTTTAGCCATTTTGGCTGGGAATTGGAGGGTGAGAGTAGTATTGTATGAAATAATATCTCTCACCCTCCAATTCATCCTATGGCGCCGAAAAAATTTTGGTGAAATGCGACCACATTTCACCAAAATTTCTCGGCGCCATATAGAGAACTAGAGCCTGTGAGGTACTGATACTATCCATGTACCTCGCAGGCTCTAGTTCCAAGCCAAAATGGCTAAAAATTGCCCGCAATTGTTCACATTCCCATCTTTTGTTGGTAAGACGAAGAATATGAAATAAATTATGAAGAAGATAATGATGAATAAAATATCACTTTTTATATTTTTGACACGTAAAGTTGTCACTTTTCTGTCAAACTGTTTTATCGTTTTCGTATATAACAAAATTTGACCTGCTAAAACAACTAAGGCGTCAATTGCTCTCTTCATCTCAAACATAGCGGGTCTTAGTTGTTCGTTCCATACTTTGCCTCTTCTATCTTTATCTCTTATTTCCCAAACACATTCAGCAACTAATGAAACAAAGTTATCGTAGGTCTTAAATTCTTCAGATTTATATATGTCAGAAACATTCTTATAAACCATGTCGCAATCTTTGTCCATAACTTTATGGTTGCAATGAAAAACCAAGGAATTCATAATTTACTTTACGTATGAACTTCTTTATTTCTACTGAGTCAGTTGTTTTGACTTCAATTTCGTCGAATTCAGGAATAGTTAGTTTTTTGTTGTTGGATTTCAGGCAATTTGGGTAAAATGGTCAATAATGTCCTGCATTTCATAAAGATACTGTTCATTTGTTTCATCTTTCGCACTACAGTCTAAATTACTTGTTAAAAGTTCTTGCTTTATCTTCTGGATTTTTGTTTCGAAAGTATATGAAGAAGGAATGAAGCTTTTCATCTCTACTAACATAGATGTTGGATTCATGACTAACGAGTTTGGTGCTGTAGTTTGAATTGTTGTTGTGCCGATTGTTGAAATCATATCTTTACATACAAGATAAAAATTTTTCTTAGAAAAAAATTAGCGTTATTTTTCTTTCATAAGGAAATGTCAAAAATTCATGATTTTCGAGAGTTTTAGACCATGTTAGAAAAGTGGTTAGAAAACGTGTTAGATCTAACATTCTAACATAAACATTATTTTTTGGTGTAAATAAATGGTACCATTAATGATATCATGACTGTTCTCATTCATGTCTGATTTACATCTAATGAAAAAGTTTAGAAGAATTTTCTTATTCTTTCTGGCATATTTTTGTCTTTCCAGTACTCCCGCTCTAATGGTCCCAGATGTGTTGGCTTTGACTCTCTCAAGTTCTTAGATGGTATAACATCTTCAACACCTCCTTCATATCTTACTTTATAAGTGTCATCGTTTATGTTGTAGCCAAGTATTTCAATAACCACTCCTCGCTTTGCTTCGTCAATGGTTTCAGCAAGTTTGCCATTACTACTTTCACTAATTTATGACGAGGATAAAATGCTATGGAGTCGTCAGCAGCTTTTATAAGATATCCATTACCTTTGTAGAGTCTACGATATAATAGTTTCTACTTAACCTTAAACGTTTCTTTGTCAACGGTTTGTCGTCAAGAACTACACGAACTTTTGTACCAGGAATGAGGGTAAATTGTGTTGAATTTCTGATATTTTGTGTTTGGCTTCGTTTCTTTTGTATATACTTTTCTTCTTGTTGTTGTGTCATTGAATTTGGTGTATGTCCTGTTGTAGAATGTGTTGAGGAATTATATACTTCGAGAAAATGTTTCATTGTTTCTTCGGTAAAGTCTCGCTCTTGATTTAAATCTCTGAGCGTTCTTATGAAGCGGTTTATGATGCCGAGTATGTTATGGTTATGGTCTTCAGTAGTGTAGTGAGTTATGTTATGCTTAATGAGAAATTCTGTGATTTCATTGCTGAGGTATGCACTGTCTTGGTCTGATGTTAAAGTACTTGGGTTATGTTCTGCTACAAACTTTTGTAAAACTCTTAACACTTCACGAGTTCCTTTATTTTTCATTGGATATGCATATGCTTTACGAGTGTTAACATTTATGAAGATGAGGAATGGTTTATGTCCTCCTTTTCTGCTTTGAATGAGAGTGTCAAATTGGTATGCGTCAGGAGTGTTGGAGTAAATTGGTAAAAAGTAGTCGTAAGGGTTTATTTTTGTTTGATGTACAACATTTTTGTCAAAGAACCTTTTCACTTCAGCTCTGTTAGTAAATCCCCAACTCTTTGCAGCTTCATTGAATTTCTTAAATGACCTCCATGGATGTTGTTCGAATACTTCTTTCAAGCTCATTTATGTAAAGTTAAAGATTTTAACCAACTCGTATCCAAGCGTGCATTGTTATATAAGGAGGCATATAATCTTTTCCATTACCTGCTGGGTCTGTAATACCAGCTACAACATGCGTATGATTTCCTGCAGTTCCACAGAAAATACCTGTGCTAACATCTTTGGGGTCATCTGAGATATCATATCTGTTCATTCCCTGTCTATTCGAACCCGCTGCAAGATTTATATAACCTCTTTTTGTTATTGAATGTGAATGGTTTCCTTCCACAGATGTTCTTCCACTGAACCTATGCATATGTGAAGGAAGGTTTTCAATACCTATTTTCTTTGAACCTCCCATCTTCATTGACTGCGTATTAGTGTAGAATGGAAAACTGTCAACTATTTCATACCATCTACCACCAAATAAAGTGTTTGGATTTATTGGATTCATAGACGTATAAACAGCTCCTATAGGATATATTAAATCATATATGCTCATAACTCTATAAACATATTCTAAAGAACTTATGTCATTAAATACCATTTGGAATGTATCTCCCGGATGAAAATGTTGCATTTGTTCCACTTTTATAATGTAATGTTAGTTCAATAGAATTATCCAAGAAAAATTCAAAAGTATCTGGTTGAAGACCTCTAACAAATTCAAAATGGAGTTGCTGGTTCACCATTTATAATTTTCTGTTGTAAATGTCATTGTATCTGGTTTCGAAAAATTTCTTTGTTAGTTCTGCATCACATAAGTTTTATTCTGCTTTCTTATCTAACATTGTTGGTAGTTCATATGCTTCAAAGTTTCTGGCATGACTTTCAATGTTCCTGCAACTCTTATCTAAACTGTTAAGAGTATCTTTTACGCTTGTACTTGGATTTTCTAATGGTGCACTTGAACCAAGGTCAAAGTTCAATATTATGTCGTCTGCTCTAACAGTAGTGAAGGATTTATGTGTATGGTTCTTGTCAGCTTTACTGTCTAATGTAGCTTGAAGTTCATTTATATCGGAGATGTTGTGTTTATGAGATTTCAAAACTTTGTTCATTGCTTCGAGTTCAACTTTGTCAGCTTTACTTTTAATAGCATCTTCAAACGTTATTTTGCCTTAACTCTCAAAGTAAATCTTGGTTCAACTAATACACCGTTAACATTGAAAGTAGAGGCATAAATTTCACCGGTATAACCAAATGCTTCTGTGCTTTAGCTACATCATACTGTACAGTACAGCTTATGTCATAACCTTTAGCACGAATGTATTTATATCTTCTTTCATTAACATTTTTTTGTCTTCGCTTCATCACTTCGTGTTAAATATCCATGGTAGTCCGTTATAATCTGTTCGTCTGAAGTTATATAATGAACATGGTTCTTGTCCGCTTTACTATTTAATGTAGCTTGAAGTTCATTTATATCGGAGATATTGTGTTTATGAGATTTCAAAACTTTGTTCATTGCGTCAAGTTCATTTTTGTCCGCTTTACTATTTAATGTAGCTTGAAGTTCATTTATATCGGAGATATTGTGTTTATGTTCTTTATCTGCTTTTTTCGGCTAATTTCTCTTCTATCTCATTTATTTCAAGTTCATGCCTACCACCACCTCCCGAAGAAGTATTTTTCTTCAGCTCTTGAAAGAACGTCCACTTCGCCATCTTTGGTGTCAATAATGAGACTTTGTGTTAAAACCTTTCCTGTCTTAATGGATGTTTGTAAAACTTCTTCTTCACCGTGTTCGGGGTCATGGTCGTCATCATATCTTGTGAAATCAGAGATGTTGTCATACATTAAGCATATCTGTCTCAAAAGTTCTGCTATTTGAAACTGGAACGAAAGATATACAGAACTTTCATCATCTCCTAAAGTCAAGTCTGCTTTCTTAAGTATTTCTTGAATGTATGCAATGAGAACAGAGTACCTTGGAAAATATTCGAACAATATTTCATTAGCTGTTGGTTTTGGTGGTTCTTCTGGAGTTTCTGTTGTTTCAGTTCCTTCTGTTGGAGTTTCTGCATCTCTTGACTTCAATGCTCTTGCTCTCAAAGACCTAAATGTTAGAGCACCGGTTTTACAAAGGACTTTATAAATGCTTTAATAGTTCCTGGTAAGTTATTGTTAGCATTAAGTAAGTTCCTTATGCTTCCATCATGTACGTCCATAGCACTATGTAAAAAATCTATACTTTTCTTGTAGTCAGCAATAGACTGACTGTGATTTTTTAAAGATTTGTCAATACCTTTAAGCCAATCTTCATGCATGTCTGATACTGAGCCAAGAATATCATTTGCTTCCTTTAGTGTATTTTGTGCTTGTCGTAAAGTATCCAATCCCGTACGTGCATTGTTTGCTATACGTCTTACAGTATCTATTTGACTCCTTGTTTCTTGCATCCAACCAGATAAAGTTTTAATAGTATCCGAACCATTTGAAATGAAGTTCAAAGCATTTTTAACGTCATTTAAAACTTCTTCACCAAGTACTGCCCATATCTTTCCGATTTGGTATTGAAGAACTCCATATGAAGCAGCTGTTAAACCAGTATTTATAAGGTCCCATATCCATGATTTAGCAGTTTTTCCATCCTTTCCATCCTTTCCATCCAAACCGTTTTCGCCTTGAGGTCCTTGTATTCCTTGTATTCCTTGTATTCCTTGTGGTCCTTGAGGTCCGGTGTCACCCTTCTCTCCTTTCAGTTCATCTTTATGTTCGTTATAATATTCTAATGTCATAAGGTGTACATCATTACTGCTACCAGCAACGCCGAGAATTTGTTTCTCATTCATGACTAAATTCTTTAGGCATTTAATGTTGTCGTCAAATCGAAAGCTCTTTAACAATTCAATGAGAACATTCAGTACTTTCACTAATGAGGCATCTACTGTAGAATTTATATATTGCACCGTTCCATCATTTATGATAGGAACCTTGCTTGTTGTAATGAATGGGTCATAAGTGTTAAAAGTATCGAAATCAATGACTTTTTTAGTTTTTCCATCGTCAATGACTAAATCATTGCCTTCAATGGTTAAAGTTGAGTTTTCGTTTACTAGTTCATGTGCTCTTCTTGCTTCATTTGTTTCATACGCATATGCAGCAATAGTCATATTTTAATGAGAATAAAATGTTGTTCTATTTGCAAAGTACAGACCCAAACGAATACGGAATAGTAAAGCTACAAACAAACTTAGGTCTTCAGAATGAAGCACTTGCTTTCAGAGTTGTTGACTTCAATACTATCGCAACTTTTGTCATAACAGATGAAACAGATTTCATGGAGTTTGAAATAGATGGAAAGAAGCATGAAATAAGATTTCACAATAATGTAGAATATAAGATGGAAACATTAGCTGGAGTGTTAAATGCGCTCATAAATACTACAATAAACAAGGAGAACGAAGAAAACTTAATGAATGTTAAACTTATTGCAGGAGTTTTGAAGTTCAGTTATGCGAAGGAGTTTAAGATAACACGAATGAGTCATAGAGTTCAATTGCTTCTGGGAGCATACCATATGACATTTCCTTTGAAAAGTGTTGACAAACGATTGAGATGAAATCTGTTCCATACGTATGTTATGGTAATTGTTTGTACATTGAGTCTAAAATAGCTAATGTCACAGGCATTTCAGGAGTTAATAGTAAAGGTTCAGTAGAATATAAGTCTTTCTGTTATGCAGTCAATTCAATGTTCATTCCAAACGTTCCTGTCATAGCAACTCATTTAGGTAAATGGATTCGCATTAGTCCTCATAATTTGAAAGACATGCAATTCAGACTTGTTGACTTTCAAGGCGAGCCTGTAGAACTGAAGGCACCAGTGCGAATGACTGTTGAAGTTGACTTTTTAGAAAATATTAAATGCAACAGCTTACAAGAGAACTCAGAGCTAAAAATATAAAGTATGAATGTTATGTATTAGGTCATGAACTTTGGTTGTTGCTGTTTGATGAAACAAATGAATTAGTTATGTCAGTCAAGAGAACAGAAAAAGGCGTCAAAGGCGCCGAGCGCAAAGCGCTATATTGTGTTAGTGAAAACTGCACCAAGTCAATAAGATTAGGTTTGCATTATGAAGATGAGTTCGATACTGTTGAAGAAGTTTTGGATAGATATTACAAATTGCTTTAATTTACTAAAACATATTTCAAACAAAGTTTATATTCTGTTGAAAGTTTTGTATATTCATTCGAATATTTATACTTAAACTCAACTCCTGTAGTTCCTGGTGTTTCAATGATGCGGATGTTACCTATTTTCATGAATGGTGGCGTTTGACCACAGCATTCGATTTCAGGGTCGAGATAGTCAATGACACATTGTTTCCCTGTTATTCGTGATATAACATTTTCAAGGTCCTCCTTTGTTAGAATTATTTGGTTCTTGCTTATAAGATTTGTCAAAAGCTTCTTATCGTCTTTGAGTAAAATTGTTTGGTATAACTGAAGAAGGTAATGGTCTACGTTATCTGAAGGATTTGTTTGAACATTTGTGTAAGGGTTGTCGTTGGCTTCTCTTGAAAGAATTTGGTCCAGTGGTGGATACTCTAACTTAACATCTGATGTAGCGTTAGCGTTTGAAGCTGTGTTTAAATTCACGGATTTCAGTTCTGGTTCTTTTTCTTTCAAACACTCTGAACTATAGTTCTTTATGACAATATTGTTTGTCGTTCGTGAGTCAACATTTGATGTTGGTTCAATTGGAACATTAACGGCACCAGCTAAGATGGATTTGCTTCTCATTTCATATAGAATAAAAACCTTTTATATGTATGAAATGAACAATATACTCGACAAGGGTTTGAATGTAAAGCTAACGAATGAAAATATTGTTGAATTCACTGAGACAGGTGCTGTGTATAAAGATGTAGAACTACTGAACAAAAGAGCTAAGGGAAGAAGCAGGAACATGAACAAAGGGTGGAAGCCTATAAAAATTTATGTCAATGATGGCTCAGGAGGTTCAAACATAAAGTATGCAGAAAGTTATAGAGTTTATGCTCTCAAAGGTGAAAAGCCTTCATTTAAGAACAGCTATTCTAACGCATATCCTCAAAAGCTAACGGATGGGGAAGTGGATGATATGAATGACAGCAAAAATATTAACAGAAATGGCGACAGAGATGCATGGAATTTGTTTACCATCAGTCAATTGAAGGTTAAACTTTAAAACAATGTTGGTCGTTCCCATGGAATATTTTTGACTTTAATGGTATTAGTCATGATATGAATCTCAAGGTATGAACGAGGAGAGATGAGAGACTTATATGCTTCCCAAATTTCTTCAAAAGGTAATGTTATACCTGACTGTTTCCAAATGAGTTCAATATCATAACGTGAGAAACCTTGAAAGATAACGAAGTCAGTTATGAGACGTTTTATGTTTAAAGCTAAAAACCTCCATGTTTGCATAAGTATTGCTACAGTTAAGTGGTAATGTCTGACTTTAGTAATGATATTAGCTAATGGTGAGTCTGGTTTTGACACTAAACCTTTACCAGCGAAGTCGTCGCAAACGAGCAGAGTGTTTGAAGGATATTTTTTGAAGGGGTATTTTGAAAGTTTTGATAGAATGTAGTTTGTCAGTCGTTTCATATCGTAAACTCCTGAGTACTGACGTAAGTGGTGTTTGTCAATAATTCTTTCCATCTCCTCAGAAGTCTTTTGCATTCCTGACTGTATAAATTCAACGATGGCATAATATTTCCTCTTACGTCGAATGTAACGTTGAAGAAATTCAATGAGTTCACTGTCTGGAACTTTAACGACAGAGGCTTGAACTTTTGACATAAATGTTTTCGCTGTTGAGTCCATAGAGTCTGAAGTTGCTGATATAATGATTTGGTCATAATATGAGTCATTTCCTAAACGTTCTGTTATGAGTATATGACGAAAAATTAAATGTCTTACCTGAACCCATCTTTCCACAATAGAAATAAACGCCATTTGAACAGAACTCATAGTCCTTACTGAAAGGAAGAATGAGAGAAGAGTTAAGTTTGTCTGTAGTTTCATTCATGTCTTCATCTACGTCATGTATTAAATGCTTCATTTTATCTCCATTAAAAATGCAAGTCAGAAATATTCAGAACATAGCACCGAGTCTAACTGACAAGAGTATAAAGATATACTATGAACACGTTATGATGAAACCTACCAAAATTCAAGAAAGTCAGTATACTTATGAATATCCAAGGCACTGGGTAGAGTATGTAGGAGGTGAGAAAGCTATTGAAATCAGACAGGTTCGAAGTATTCCAGCAGGAAGAACAATATTATTGAAGAACTTTAATGTTTTAAGATATAATGATGAAACAAAGAAGCAAGATAGTTTTCCTGTTGCTGTGTATGTGAACTTAGATACAGGAGATGACATGAAAGTTTTTAACACAAAGCTTCAAACGGTAGTGAGAGAACAACTGACTGCGGAAGGACATCCATTACCTTCAGAAGTTAGCATAGCATATAATTTTGAAACAAACTCAATAGATTTTAAAGTCATCTCTGCAAAGAAGTCAGGTTTTACATTTAATGAAGCAGATGTATATTCGAATGAAAACTTCAAAGCTATTATGGTTAGATAATGACGATTGCTTTAAGAAAATATTTAAATTCAGTGACTCAAAGATGTCAATAGATGACCTTTCGTGGAATGTTACCATCGGACGTTTACAGTTTGAAGGTTCAGCAGGATTGCTTACAAGATTGTCAATTGGTGGTATTTGGTCTCGTGAGAACATTGTTAAAAATCCAGTATAAGTGAATTTGCTGAAGAATCTATATTATGTCTTTCAAACTACATGTATTCGCCAACCGAAGCATTATAGTATAACAAACTTTGTCAGTAAGTTTAACATAAGACTTGTCGAACCTTCTTCAATGAAAGATGTTGTGCTACCTAAAGATGGAAAGGATGACTCATTATTGAGATGATTTTAATAGCATATTAAATGAGCTTGTTCTTGAAGGTCATTCATGATGAAATAACTGTTGTAGAAGATTTAGCAATTGTTCAGACATTTTGAAGCGAATAGATGATATAAGAAAGAAGTTATGAAGCCGCAACGCGCGAGGACGAAGTCCATGAGAATGTTTATGTTTCATTGACTTTCTCCAGTAACGAGAACTTTTATGAGATAATATTGAAGAGAGATGATTTTAATATGGTGTAAATGGTAGCTTGGGCAGATTTAGGCGCAATGGGAACAAAAGCATTAGCATTTGAGCAAAAGCACTTGGAGCTTATGACGCAGTAAATAAAATGAGTGGAGGAAGAGTTTCGAAGACATTAGATGCAAATAAAGGAAAGATTGGAGGCTGGGTTGCAAAGAAGTTAAGATTAAATAAAATAGGACTCATAAATAAAGCATCCAATTTGGTTGCGACTGAGTCAGAAAATGCTTAGGAAAGGACGATGAGTTTGCAAAACACGCAAAAGACTTTAATGACCAGATGAAAGGTGAAACAATGCATTTAAATAGAGTCGATGGAACTCTTCCTCCACCAGTAGTTCTTCCGTATGGTCCCTATGGAATGTATGGAAACCCTTACGAAAGACCATTTGACCCATTGACTGGTGGAAGTAACTGGTATCATTACGGACGAAGAAGAAAGACAGTCAAGTTGGAGACAGACGTGAAGAAAGCAACTAAAAAGAAACCAAGGAAGAGAGTTATAAAGCAATGAATTCACAAGGTTAGAAAACGTGTTAGAAAACGTGTTAGATCTAACATTCTAACATAAACATTATTTTTGTGCTATGTTTTCATACGTGTGAGGGTGGTGATATCATTAATTTTTAAGTTTATTTTTATATTTTATTTTTATTTTATTTGGATGTAATGACAGAACAAAAGCAACTCATACAAATCAAAACATATAACAAACATACATTTAAACATTTATTCTTCCTTCCTGAGCATAACATGTTCTTTCAAATACATCCGAGACCAGTTGACTTTTCATTGACTGTGTATAAAGATAGAAATAGTTATATCATTAAACCATACGATGACGAAGGTAAGTTATGTAAATTGTACGTTAAGAAGTTAGAGAAAGTTTATGGCTTCAAGTATGACTACAATAGGGTTAACACTGATGATGAAGATATTGAGGAAAATTTATGAGAACATTAGTGAAGTCGTTAATGAGAATGATAGTGAGAACGTTTATTTTTACATTAGTGAGCTCGTTAGTGAAGTGAAGTGGGTGGCTTTGTAAATATTTAAGGTTAAGTTAGTGTTGTCGTTTGATTTGTAAAATATACGTTAACGGTTTTGTAAATATTTAAAGTTATGTTGGGTAAGGTTATGTTGAGTAAGGTGGAACGCAGTGCCGCCGTACCCAAGACTTGTATACTAACTTATATAACAGATGCTAAAGAAATTAAATCAAGAATTACAACATTATTTACGTCACTTAATGATTTAATGACTTATATAATTAATACTCCCCAGCCGACTACGACATTTGATCCAAATTCGACGGTTTGCAGTGTACCTTTCATTAATGACAGTTCAGTAATTGCTTTAAGGGATTCAACAGTTAATGAATCATTAAAAGCTTCATTAATGAAAATCATTGATTTTAACTCATTCATGAATACATATAATTCATTCATTAATGTTTCATACACTTCTAAAGAAGGTGAGCCAAAAACTATTGATAAAGCGGTGTATGAAATAAAAGCATCAATGACGAAATTGAATTCGTTAACTTTTGATGGTGATAGTTCCGTTAACAGCATGACATCAGGAAAAACGATTTTAACGAAAGAATATTTAAAATCTCATGTTAGTGAGTTCGTTGAAATTGAAAAAGAAGGCGGAATTAAGTTCGATCCACTGGGTTTCATTTTCGACTTAGCGAATGCGGGTGTTAGTTTCGCTGAATGGACAACGATACAGAGTGAAATAAATGCAATATGGACGTTTTTGGGGTCAAAAGCGGGAATGGGTGAGCTTGTAGATGCTGCAAGAACATTAGGTGAAACGGGAAATTTTGTAGATGGTTTTAAAAGACTTGTTTCAAATGTTTTAACAAACACAAAGAAATTATTTAGATATACCATACATAACGGACAGATTTTCGAACAGGTAGCAACAAACCCTCCGGTTATGGCTGCGTTGATGATGGCTAGAGACATAAAGCCGCGTAGCGGCGAGGGCGAAGCCCACGAAGAAGAGGAGAAACCAGAGGATACGGGTCAGGTTATTCGAGACATTAAAAACGTGTATCCTGAAGTTATTGATTTATTTAGAGGTGTTAATGATTCGATTTCAAATCATTCTATAACCCTTGATGAAGAGAATAAATTAACAGATTATATATTCGTCATTATTGCAGAACTAATGAAGAGAATAAATGAAAAAGGTATAGCTGATATCATTAATGTAAGTGATGTAATGATGAAAAGAAATTTTGACTCATTATTTACAGAACCGAAAACAGAATATAGTCTTTATGACGTAATTACTGAATTAACGAAAAAGATTAATGATAATAAGAGTTCTGGCGGAAGAGTTGAATTAGAGGTGAATGATGTTAATGAGAAATTAGATAATAAAGCAGATAAAAACCATGTTCATTATATAAGTTCAGATGAACAGATTATAACGGATTATCATGGATATTTAACACGAACTGAAGAAAAAGTGAAGACGGAAGATGTTAATGAAAGAAGATATAAATTCATTCGTGCTGAAGGTTATGACATACGCTGTACTGTACAGTATGACACAGGTAAAGCACCAGAAGCATTTGGTTATAACAATGAAATTTATGCTTCATACTTCTTTGTTAACGGTGTATTAGTTGAACCAAGATTTACATTGAGAATAAGTAGAAAAATAACTTTTGAAGATGCTATTAAAAGTAAAGCTGACAAAGATGAACTTGACGCAACGAACAAAGTTTTGAAATCTCATAAACACAATATCTCCGATATAAATGAACTTCAAGCTACATTAAATAGTAAAGCGACAAGAACCATACACATGAATCCTTCACTACTGTTAGAGCAGACGACATAATATTGAACTATACCCTTGGTTCAAGTGCACCTTTAGAGAATCCAAGTACAAGCGTAAAAGATACACTAAACTCCTTAAATAACAAATGTATGAATATCGAAGGTCATGTCAGAAACTTTGAAACATATGAACTACCAGCAATGTTAGATAAAAAGCAGATAAAGAACATACACATAACTCCTTCTCAACTGTTGCTATAGAAAGTATTGAAGGAACGGTTGGCGGAACTGGTGGGAATGCATTATATTATAAACCTCCTAACTTTCCACAAGGTTTAACATCGAATGAAAACATAACAACGAAGAAAGACATTAGCTGTAAAAATGTTTATGTTGTGGATGATGAAAATAATGTTAAATTCACTGCTCAAGATTTATATGATAAGAAAGCAGACAAAACAGAGCTTCAAACATTAAAGACTGAAATACTTCAAACATTATATCCTATAGGCTCTATTTATACGTCAATGAACTCAACAAATCCCGCAACAGTTCTGGGTTTTGGTACATGGCAGCAGATTGTAGACAAATTCTTATACTGTGCTAACTCTTCAAAGCAAACAGGAGGCTCAAAGAAAATTAAAGAAGCAAACTTACCTGCGCACACTCATACAGGAACTACAAACTTTTCTGGCGACCATAGCCACTTATTAAGAGACCACCCATTATACAACTCAGACTATGAAGCTGGCAATGACGTTTTATCTCCATCTTATAACAATTCAGCAAAAAAGACTTTTCGACCAACTGAACCAGGAGGTAATCATACACATACATTTACAACAAATCCAACAGGTTCGGGTGCAGATTATATGCCACCTTATATGACAGTTTATGCATGGGTTAGAACGGACTGAAAGTCCTGAGCTCCAAAAGAGCGAACAGCATGAAATTACTAAATTTATTTTTACATAAATGAGTTTAAAAGAAGTTTTCGAATCATCACCGTGGAGGTCATTTAAAAAATTCTATGAAGCTGCAAAGAATGCGGGATTTAATGATAGAACAGAAATTAAGAGATTTTATGATGAAAATATAGTTCATCAGGTTAAAGTTAATCCTTACGATTATTACCTTCCCATTTACTCGAAAACCCATGATGCATATCAATTTGATACACTCGTTCAGAGTAAGAAAGGAAGAAAGCCACCATTTTTGATTTTCATTAATGTTAATACACGTAAAGCTTTTGCGTATATAATGAAAAATAAAGGAACAAAAGAAGTTTTAAGAGTTTTGCAGACGTTTGTGGCAGAACATCATCCCACTTCATTAACTTCAGACCAGGATTCAGCATACCTCAGTAATGAAATTACAGAATTTTTGATTAAACATAACGTTACTCATTATACGACTGAAGACCATAACCATAATATTTTAGGAATCATTAATCGTTTCATTAGAACGCTAAGAGATTTAAATAAAGAAAGAGATTTTACGGAGGAATCAATGAATAAAGTCATTAATGCTTATAATAAGTCCACCCATAACAGCACAGGATTTAAACCAAACCAAATGACTTCAAAAGAGGAGGATGAATACATAAAACAAAAGAGAATGTTAACGGAGGAAAGAAGAAGTTCATCATTACTGCCAGGAACTAAAGTTAGAATCATTCTTGAACATAAACCACATGAAAAGGTAAGAAATCAGTTAAGTGATGATTATTATATCGTTGATTCCTCACAGGGTAATGGTTATTTAATTAAAGCAGCTGACCATTCGGTCGCATTTTATCCACGATTTCGATTAGTTGAAAGCGAAAATGGAAGATTAGCTAAAACGGTTGATGAAGCGAAAAGAGGTATAGTTAATAAAATTGTGAGTTATGATGAAGACAAAGATGAATACACTGTCATTTATGAAGGAGGTGTGGATGATAAAATTCCTTCTAGAAATTTGAGAGAATCGAACCCCACACATTTATCGGAACTCGAAAAGGATTACTGGAAGGATAAAAATAAGCCAAAATTAATCAAAAAATTTTTATGAACTAAATATATTTTATGTCTGAAGTTAATTAGTTAATAAAGTAGCGGATGAACTGCAGAAATACATTTTATCGTAAATGGTTAGATCTAACCCGATATCTACCCTCATTTCTACCCTCATGAATTTTCATGAATTTTATATATTAATGTTTTCGTTAAGCCACTTTGTGCCGGCAGTCAGTCAGTTAATGAAGTTTACACCAAAAATATATTTTATCGTTAATGGTTTTTAGGTTATTCAATAATTAATTATTTTTGAATAACTGAAGGTGTCACCACGTCACCATGTGTCACCTGGTTAATTAACTTCTCTTAAAATTACTGACAGCATGACATTTAGACAGCAGGACGAAAGGAGGAAGGCATTTATAAATTATTTTTGAATAACTGAAGGTGTCACCACGTCACCATGTGTCACCTGGTTAATTAACTTCTCTTAAAAATGATGACAACATGACATTTTGACAACTAGCCCGGAAATTTGATGCAGTCCAAAAATAAAGTTAGTTTTAAAATTATTTTTATTTTTTTATTCCTATATAAATGACAGCAACAAACAACAACAGCAACTATATCGTTTCTGATGAAAAAGTTATTGATTCATTAGCTGAGGAATTAGTTGTGGCAGAAACTAAAACCCTCAACGAAAGAATTGGTGAAAACAAGATTGATTTACATAACTACCTCAAACACGATGGAGGAAGAGGAAGGAAAACTGGTATGGCTTTATTAGTAAATAAAATTTCAAATTTAACGATTATGGATGTTGATATCAATAAATCATACAATGATGAACTTAAAGAAACAGTTAGAAAAGATATTTTATCAAAACTTTCGGATAAAGATGTTATCGTTAAAACCGCTTCAGGAGGTCTTCACATTTATTGTAACACTAATTTCTTCTATTCAGTTTCGAACAGAATGATTAAATGCTATTCCTGCAATGATTATGATATTGACATAATGACTTCTATGGATGATTCAAATCGTTCTTTAGTAGTTATGGCTGATTCAAGAGTTCGCAAGAATGCAACAGAACCAATCAATACATACTCATTCATTCGTGGAAGTTATGATTCAACATTAACAGAACAGTGAATGATATATTAAATGATTTGAATATTAAGGTAAGAGTTGAACAAAGAATGAAGAAATAAAGACTATCATGAATGAAAACAAAGATGTAAACATTGACGATAAACTTGCCCAGAGCATAGTTGATGGCATCAGTGATTTTGAAGTACATAATGACGGTGGAAACATGAATTTAGAAAAAGAAGTTACATTATTCACACTGTTTCAAGCAATTAATTCGTTACCTAATCATTTAATTAATGAAGCATACGATAACGTTTATAACTTCTGCAATTTAACTGAAAATGCAAAAAGTAATTTTGAAAAAGCACGTAGTAGATATGCACATTTAATGACTTCTCCATTTGTTTTAGTGAAGATTCTAAAACTATATCAAAAGGAATATTATGATGAATACGTTTTACCTTTATTACGTAAGCCAAAAATAACATTTGATATCAAACTTGATGACTCGTTTTTGATAACAGATATTAGACGCAAGGCTGAAAATCATCAGTATAAAAACAGTTCTGAAGTAATTGAGGATTTATCACGTGTAATCCGTTTTGTAGATTGTGGAAATAAATATTTCATTCAAAAGGACTATAATATCCACGACAAAATGAATCAAATATCATTCGTTCTTCAATCAAACATGAAAGAGTCACTTAAAATGATTAAATTATTTAAAGAAGAAGGTAAAACAATAACAGCATGGGACGTACTATTAAATCAATTGTCTTCATTAACCGTTAAGGGTGTTTGCTTTAAATCTGATTCTCCAGATGTTTTCTCAACGTTTCAAGGTTATAAATACAACGTTCTCGAAAAACCAGATTACTCAAAAATTGAGATGTTTATGAATTTCATTAAAGAAGCCATTTGTGATAATAACGATGAAGTGTATAAATACCTTCTCGGCTGGATTGCATCAATGATTCAACATCCTGGAATCAAGAATGAAACAGCAATTATTTTGAAAGGACTTCAGGGAACAGGTAAAAACAGATTTACAGACATTATTTCTGAACTTCTCGCCGGTTATTCATGTAAAAACATTACCGAAATAAGTGAGCTAACGGGTAATTTCAATTCAGTAGTTGAAAATAAAATGTTTCTTGTACTTAATGAACTTAAGAATGTAGGTGAAGACAGACTCGCAAATTTCAACGCTTTGAAATCAATTATTACGGATAATGAGATTAGAATTAATGAAAAGAATCAACCCAGAAGAACTGCCCAGAACGTTGCAAACTTCATTTTGGTAACTAATAACGTCTACCCTGTCAAAATTGAAGTTGGAGACAGAAGATACGTAGTTTTAAGAGTTAATGGTAAATTCAAGGGTCAATTTGATTACTTTAAGAATTTAATGGATTCATGCACTAAGGAATTTTATGATAATTTACTGACGTATTTTATGCAATATGACCTTTCATCATTTAATGTACGAATCATACCGATGACTGAAGCCAAACAAGATTTAATAGAATTATCAACAAATCCTTTAGATGAATGGATAAATACACATTATGATGAATTGTGTGCAGGTATGACGTGTAAAAATGCTCTATTCTGCAAACCATCAGACATGAAAGACAAAAACTTTCAAATGAGCATTAAGGATAAATGTGAAGGAAACAGAGAAGAATAGATGGTAAACAAACATGGTGTTATGTTTTGAAAGAAGAAATGAAAGGATTATATAAACAGGTTGAACCAAACGATAATGAGGATTCATTTACTGACGATGATGAAATACCTGTAAATGAAGCTTTATAAAGTATGATTGAATTTATTTTTGCATTAATCCTGCTGTGATGTCAAAATGTCATGTTGTCATCATTTTTAAGAGAAGTTAATTAACCAGGTGACACATGGTGACGTGGTGACACCTTCAGTTATTCAAAAATAATTTATAAATGCCTTCCTCCTTTCGTCCTGCTGTCTAAATGTCATGTTGTCATCATTTTAAGAGAAGTTAATTAACCAGGTGACACATGGTGACGTGGTGACACCTTCAGTTATTCAAAAATAAATTTTCTTATAAAGCTTCAGGGTCTATTTCCTCAATTACTTCACTTCCTTCTTCATCATATTCAATCGTTGCTTCCTCAATTACTGGTAGGAGCTTATTGATTATATCTTTATTCGTTATTGTCTTCAGAGATGAAGGATAATATTTCACAACTACTTCACCTGGAAGGCTCTTTGAGTCCATCTCGGCGCCTTGCGCCTTCTTGAATTCTTTCTGCTGCGATAAATCTAAAACAATGCTGAAAAATTCAACGTTAGAGTTCTTCATAATCGTATAATGTGTATCTTTGATATTTACAAATATTCCTTTCTGTTTAAGTAATACTGCTATTTCATGTGGTGTGTAACGTTTTCTGTCAATAATGATAGCGTATGGTTTAACGAACTGACCGTATTTAGATTCTTTCACAGACTTTTTATTGAATATAACGTTCACGTTTTTTCCATTTATGAATTCACCCTTAACAGCAGTAGCGAGAGCATTGTATGAATAGAACTTGTACTCAGACATTATTTTATTAAAATTAAAAATATAAATTATTTAAAAAAATTAAGTTTATTTTTAAATTATATTTTTTACGGAAAATATTTTTTTTTATTTTCCATAAAAGATGTATAAAAAGCTATCTAGATTAGACCATGAAGAAATTAAGAAGTTATTGAAGAATGCTGACATTGAAGTTAGCAAAAGATATGCGACTAACAAATCTTCATTAGCTAAATACCTCAATGATTACAGAGGTGTAGTTACTTACGAGAAAATTAATGATTACATTAATAACAAAACATTTCCTTTAAATGATGTTCAGGTTAATTTATATCATAAACAATCAGTACCGAAGGAAGTAAGAAAAGAAATGTATGATATGATGAATGTTGATGTAGGAAGGACAAGGACAGCAGTACCGAAGGAAGTTAGGCAGGAAATGCACGATATAACTAATGTGGATGTAGGTGAAACGAGAAAGAAGAAAAGCGATGAAGAAAAGAAAAATATAGCTGTAAAGTATGCAAAAGCAATTGCACAATTACGCAAAGCAAACGAAGTAATTAAATCTATAGATGATAAAGCTCTTGATGGTGAGAAATGGTTAAAGAAGGATGAAAATAATAAACGCAAAAATGTTAAAGCAGGAAATAGAATCATAGATTTTAACATTAAAGAACTCAATGAAGAAAACAGAAATTACCTACATGAACGTTTCGGTAAAATGTTTATTAGGCTTCTGCAGAAGATAAAAGTAAATTCGCAGCAAAAATGGATGATTTGTTATAAACTTGATGGTAAATTTACTAATTCAACATTGAACATCGAGAACATCGGAGCTTTACTTCATCAGTTAAAGCAAGAAAACTTTATAACAGAGATTGAAGCAAACGCAGCTGGAATAATTGAAAAACATTATGATTTCTTTATGACAAATATTAAGAACCTCGAAGAAATTAAAATGTATGATTTAACTGAATATGAAGGATTAACGATGAGCGATATTAAGAAAGGTAAGCCACAGAAGAGAGAAAAAAGAGATGAAAGCAAATTATCAAAAGACCAGAAAGAAATTTTAGAGGCGTTAAAGCAAACAGGAAACCAAAAACTAATTGATACTTTCTGGAGGGATAATGGTGAAAAGAGAACAAATAAAAAGAGAAGTGGTGAGTTTTGGAAATATCTTTGCAGATTACCTATAAATCTTGAACGTTATCAAATTTTCAATGAACTTAACAAAAGAACTGCAAAATTGATGACAGAAGATAACTGCTTCGTTTATGCTTGCATTCAGGCTGGAGTTGATGAGCAGACGGTAGACCACATGCGTGAAGTCATTAGAGTTAGAGATTTTCCACAAAGTAAGATTCAGGAAATTTCTAACGCAACAGGCATAGCATTTAATGTTACCATTGGTTATTTCGATAATTCAAAAGATAATAAGACAGTTCATTATACACCATCAAAGCCGCAAAGCGGCGAGACCGAAGGTCACACAGAAATAAAGAAAACAATCGATTTATTACTCGTTGAAGACCATTACATGTTAAATGAAAGATTACCTATGACAACATATTTTATCATAAATTATAACGAAATTCTCAAATCATTAGGCGGCTGGAATATAGAACGTCAAATGAAAATATATAAGAAAAGGGAAAATAGATTTGTTATTGATTCTACGCGAACAACTCCTTTATGGAATATTTTGAAAACATTAAGAGAGTGCAATTACTTTGAACCGTTATCTTATGGTGAACTTTTCAGTTATACAACAGATTTATATAAACAAAAACTTGCACCGTTTAAAGATTTAAATTATACCCCGAACTACTGTGTTCAGTTAAAGAAAAAGTCTGAAAGTAAAGATAGTGATAAATCAAAACAAAAATTCATTCCTGAACACATTTTCTTCGCTGACTTTGAATGTAGCACTGATGGAGTTCATAAAGCCTTTAACATTTGTTATGATAGTGAAGATGGAAAGATTAGCGAAAGCATTTGGGGTCAAAATTGTGCAACAAAATTTTTAGAAAGAATTCCTGATAAAAGTTTAATATATTTTCATAACCTCAGTTATGATATCAATTTCATTTTAAGACATTTAACAGAAATTAGCGGAACACCAATTATTAAGGGTTCTAGAACAATGCAGATAACGGGAATATATAAAGGTAAAGCAATCATTATTAAAGATTCATACACTGTTATAAATAAGAAGCTTAAACTATTTCCTGAAATGTTTCATTTGCAGTGTGGTGAAAAGGAAGTATTTCCGTATCAATATTATTCAAGCTCTTTATTAGTTAATGATAACAAAACTGGCGTAATTTCTGAAGCGTGTAAGTTTGTAAAAGATATTGAAACGTTCATGAAAAACATAGATTTAATCGAAAACTGCAGAATAGATGAAAACCATTTCGATTTAGAAAAATATAGCTCATTTTATTGCAAACAGGACGTAAGGATTTTAAGAGAAGGTTTTGTTAAGTTCAGAAATGATATATTGAAAGAGTTTGATTTAAACGTTTATGATTACGTTAGCATTTGTTCAATCGCTAACAAACTTTTCGAAAACAGAGTATATTTCCCGAATGGAAATTTATATGACCTTTCAAATAAACCAAGAGAATTTATTTCACGCTGTATTCAAGGTGGAAATGTATGTAGCTGTCAGATAACATGAAACAAAAGAGCGAAAAGAAACTCATTGCTGACTTCGATGCTGTTTCATTATATCCATCGCTATCGCGAGACTTTATACTTTAGAAGGAATTCCAAAGGTTATGAAGAAAGAAATGTTAAACAGTGAATATTTGTTAAAACATTTATTCGATGATGACCAGGGCGAGCCTGAAGGTGAGAAATTCATTTCGGATTCTTTGTTTTAATAAAAATAACCGAGATTAAGATTAAAAGGCACTTTCCATTAATAACAGTAGATCCAGAATTAAACCCGGAGCTAAAGGTTCCAAGAAGTTCTAACACATGCTGTTTAATGTATGTGGACCACATAGCTTTGCAGGATTTAATAAAATATCAGGGCATCAGCTGCGAAGTATTACAGGGTTACTACTACGATGAAAAAAGAGATTTTAGAATAAGAGATGAAGTAAGAAATATTTGAATTGAGATTAAAGTATAAGAAGGAAGAAAATCCGCTACAAGAAAATATTAAATTAATTTTGAACAGTATTTATGGAAAAACTATTTTGTCCCCGATAGAGTCGAAAATTAAAATCATTGATGATAAAGATGCTGTTAGGTATGCCATCAGAAATTATAACCATATCATTAAATTTGAAGGTTTAGATGGTTCGGATAAAACTATTTTCAAACTAACTAAAAGCATTTGCAGACACTTTAACTTTTGCCCTTAGGTGTTAATATCTTATCTATGTCGAAACGTATCATGAATGAAGTATTTTGCACGATTGAAGACTTAGGATTAAAAGCATTTTATCAGGATACAGATTCGATGCACATTTACAATGAAGACATACCAAAACTCGCTGCAGAGTTTAAGAAGAGATATGGTCGCGAACTTATTGGAAAGAATTTAGGTCAGTTCCATTCGACTTTGCAGAAATCACAAAAGATAAACAAAGTTTAGCTTACAAGTCGATATTTTGTGGAAAGAAGACTTACATTGACTTACTCACTAATGATTTAAATGAAGTTGCATTTCACTGCAGAATGAAAGGCGTAAAACAAGATGTTATAGCTTTAACAGCAAATGAAATGTTTCCTGAAGCAGTTAAATGCGTTTATGATGAAGATAAAGGATTAATGATTCCTCAGGGAAAATATGATAAAGATAGTGAGTTTTCAGTTATGAAATTATATGAAGCCCTTCACGATGGTCAGGAAATCGCATTTGATTTATGCAAATCAACAGCACCCTGTTTTGAAGAGAAGTTTAACTTTTCAATAACGACTAAAAATACTTTCATAAGGAAATTAAAGTTCTGAAGTCATATGATATAATATATTTTTATCGTTCAAGACAAAAATAAACTTTTCATATTAAATTATGTAAGCGTTTGAATTTACTATACGTAATGCATGTTCTTTTTCCATTAACATCATAAACGTTAACATATAATGAACCATTTATGTTTTCATTAATGTATAGTTCTTTATACTGACGACCGTTATAATAATAAAACAAATCTGCATGATGTCGTAAAATAAATCCTCAAATTCATGATTTCCATAATGTGAAACAGTAATTGAATTTTCACTGATTTCATCAACGAAATTATATTCTACTCCATTTGCTTTACTTCTATTTCTATTATTTGTAGAACTTGAACACCAAATGTAGATTATCAATCTTATTATTATTTCTAACTTTATCGTAATGGTCAACTTCCCCAAAACTATCAGGATTATCAATCCACTGAATAGCTATTAATCTATGCTTAAGATATTTTTTACCGTTAAGGGTTAATCTTATATATCCATTCTTTTCTTCATACTCACTGACAGTCTTTCCGTTTTCTTTCTTCTTATTTGATACGGATATTTTGTGTTAATTTCGTAATCTTCATCAGCAACTAATGTTTCCCAGTTATTATTTTCCATCGTTTTATAAAATAAAAAAATCAGAAAATTAAAAATTAACTACATTTATTTTTTTACTCTTCACCTCCATCAGCAGCTAAATTATAATCATCAATTCTAACAGCAGGAATGCCAGCTGGTCTGACTTGAATAGCGAAACAAGCATTTCTAAGAAATCCTAATAAAGGTTTGACAGTGTATTTTTCGCTTATATTTGTATCATCAGCTTTAACACCTAATTTATATGTAATTGGTGCCGTTGATGTTTGACCCTGTTGAAATGTGAAATCAGTTTCCGTAGGGAATCCACAGAGGAAATGAGTGTTATCGTATGATTCATATAAATGTTTAACGCTTCCATCATCAATTAACGACCTCATCACATCTTCATTAAATCCTATCATATCGTTATTTGTATTGCATGCATTAGCAACCATTTCATAGAACACGGACCATAAGAGCTTCTGGTTCAGCTGGCATACTTCCATAAGCCCATTGATAATTGAAGGGTTTCAAATTGAGGATTTTCGAAATTCACGATATAATTATCATTCTTCCTAAATAAAGCCCAAATGCTTTTAACGTTAATTGGTGTATAAGCTGCTGTGAAAGTTGCTGATGGTGAACCTTTACTGAACGAACCGTCCATAGGAATCCAGTCCATTACTTTAATTGGAAAACATAAAGCTTGTGATGTATAATGATCGACTAATTCAGTGTAAATATTTGGATCGAGTGAAAATGCTTTAGGATGAATGAAGCAATCAATGAATTCAGCTGATTTCTTCGTTAATCTTTGTTCAACTGTTGAAACAGTAATTTCACCATTTGATTTGAAACTGCTGTTATCATATTGAATGGTTCATTCCATGGAACAAATTTATTAGTTGGTGGGTCATAATTATCTTTTACCTGACTGATTAAAGAAGGATTATGAGCTAAAATATCTTCTACCGGCAGTGCTGTTACCTGGAATGCATCGCTACTAAATTTAACCTTTAACTGAATGTTGCCTGCAAAAGCAGGAATAAATCTAATAACTTCTAGAATAAGGAATTTACGACATGGAATCTTTATTTTAATGTCAAAATTAATTTCAGCTCCTGCACTAAAGGTCCTGAGATAATTTGACCTGTTCGAACTGTTCCAGAACGTTTCCATACATCTTTATGTCTCGTTTTTGAGAAAACATCAACTTTCTTTATTTGTTCTGTAGTCTGTGAATTAGAAATGATATATGCTTCTTCTCTTGCGTTATCCTGACTATAAATAACTCTTCCATTTGCTAATAACTGATATGCTTCAATGGTGTAAATTGATTCATCAAAAACGCCAAAGAAACCTGGAGAATTAGTATTTGGAATTGATGAGCCAGTAATAGCATTATCCAGGATATATTTACTTTTATAGGTAGTTGTAAGGAATGTGTTATAAAGGTCTAGCATATTTTCACCTGGCGGAGATAAATTGAATGTGACCCAGTTATGATCCTTTGCGCTTCCTGGTTGTGATGGAATTTTTGCATCGATATATCTTCTATTAGTATCACCAATATTAATTGCATTATCGATTACTCAAAATATGAACGAATTTGATGGATATGTTCAGCTGGTGTAAATTCGTTAAGCTGTTCGTTTTGCATGTTTTATGTTAGATAAAAATATTTATTTAGTTTAATATTCTAACTCTTCTTCTTAGTTGAGGAATTTGTTTCTTTTGTTCAATAATTTCATGTTTTACGTTTTTCACAAACTCTTCATTAATTTTGGTTTCCTGCTCTTTTACTGGTGGGTCTGGATTTTTTGATTCCGTTTGCTTTTCAATGAAATTTACAAATTTAGCTATTAATTCTTGATTCGTTATCGAAAGTACATCGGGTTTAGGTTCTGGTTTAGATTCCGTTTCCTTTATCGTGGGCTTTGTCCTGACAACCTCACTGTCTTCCGCTTTTGTTTCAAGTTTAGGTTTTATATCTATTTTATCAGTTTCCGAATTCGTTAATGGAACTCGTCTTTTTCTTACATAAATTTTTCCATCTTTACTTGTTGATACATAATATAATGGATGCTGAATTCCTCTTGCATCATTTAATATAATCGATTGTCTCTCAGATTTTGATAGGCTCATATTTAATTCAAATAAAATTTTTAAATTTTGAATTTTTTATCGGTAATCAAATGAGTCAGGGATTAGATATTGAAGCCATCAAAAAAGAAATTCGTGAGCAGATATTAACAGAACTAAAGACACCTAAAGCCGAAGAAAAACCAGTAAAACCAAAAAGGAAATTAAGTGAAAAGCAGTTAGCCGCATTAGCTGCAGGAAGAGAGAAGAACCCGAGAATGAAAGCAAAAAGAGAACGTGAGGCTAAAGAAAAAGCTGAAAAGGAAAAGGCTGAAGACGCTCATTGAGCCTCATGAGGGTCGAAGACCCTTTTCCATTGAGAAGAAAGAATAAATGATATATTTTTGTTTGTAATAAATGTATAGACAAGTACCTTTAACAGTTGCTTTCAGTTCTGAAAACGAAAATGCCAAAATAAATGGAAATAGAATTACATTTAAATTACCTATTGAGTGGGCTGTGAATATAAATGAAAAATATATTGGTTTATCAAATATGTATATAACGCGAGGATTTAGAAAGGTTGAATTTGAGCTTGAAGTTGTTGTTATAAACGATACACAAGAATTTAAGCAAACTATTCACATATATAAATATTTCAAAGATGATACAACATTATATGAATGCATGAATGATTTTAATGAAATTTTCGAAAAGAAATTTAACAAAAACGCTTTAGGATTAAATGTGTATCTTGATAAATTAGGTGAAGAAGGAATTCATCCGCAGATTATAGACTTTCATTATGAATTTATTGAACAAATAGATGATTCACATACATGCACATTTGTTATATACTCGCCGTTTAATGAAGTAGCAGAAAAGAGACAAAGTGATTTTAGGATAGGTTTTAAAATTTCTCAGTATAATGAAGACTTCATGAATGTATTTAATTATAAACCCGGAGAAGAACGAACAGTGTTATCACCAATAATAACATATAATGTATGGGACAGAAAACAAGTCATCTTATATTCAAATATCGCTAAAGGGGTTGAAAATGAATTTATCGGTCATACTAGAGCATCACCATTAACAAATATTAAATATTATAAGTTATCAGGAAATAATAGAGAGTTTTGGATTGATATGTATTCTACACACGATCATAAATGCCCCGTTGTGTTACCCGAAGACGGAAAGGATGTTTTCTTCCTTGAGGCTCAGTTACTGAATTCAACTATCGCAACTTTATAAGAAAATTCACAAGGTTAGAAATGAGGTTAGATATCGGGTTAGATCTACCCTAAAATTAATTTTATCATTTATGAAAAATTTAGTATATACAGAAATTAAAAAATTTTTGAGTTAATTTATTTTTAAGTTTATTTTTTTACTCTGGGTGTTAAAATCTATGATAAAAAAATAAATAAAAAATTTTAACGTTTATTTTTAAGTTTATTTTTAAAAAATTATTTTTTTATTTTGTAAATGTCAAAAATTTTAACGTTAATTTTTAAGTTTATTTTTAAAAAATTATTTTTTTATTTTGTGAAGTGTCAAAAAATTTACATGTCAAACGATTTTTGTAAATTCTAGTAATTTGGGGTCCGAGGGGCGTAGACCCTTGGTACTGAATTACTAGATACTAACTACCCCTTTACTTATATTTTTTTAAAAAAAAACTAAAAACGATATATTCCTCTCATATCGTTTTTGAAAATTGGTACCTAACAAACCTCGAACTCATGGCCCAACAAAAAAAATGGATGAAGAACCAGATATACCCAATCTGGAATCCATTCCGCAACACATTGCAGAGAAACTCCTGCAACTAGGCAAACTTGTTCCAAGGCAAAAGTTAAATGCAGCAAATTTGTCAGACACTCAAGTATCTCTCCTAATGAGCCTCATTGAAGACAGCTTGGATCCAGCTAACAAAGGTCTCATAGAAATTCTCGCCAAGAGTACAAACGTTTGTCCTGCCACCTTATATAATTACCGTAAAAAATACGAACTTGACCCAGAATTTAACCCAAAGACGGCTGCATCTTTGATCAATCGTGCTATCAGTGATCACGGTGAAGAATTGTTAGCCAATTACATCATCAAAGAATTCATCGAAAAAAAATTCTTCTTTAACACCCAAATGTGCAGAGTGCTTGTCAAGATGTTCATAAAGGCTTACCCTAACGAGATTCTCAGAAACGATTTTGTTGTTTCTGACCATTACCTTTCAAATTTCCGAGAGAGATGCGACCTGACCACTCGTGAAGCACATTGGCATCGTCGGCCAAAAGACATCGAAGAGATGAAGACTCGTATCGAAAGCTTTAAACAGACCAAAGCTCAACTTATGGAACTCTTCAAGGATGAATTGTGGAGAATCTGCAACGCAGATGAATCCTTTTACGGATGTGGAATCGCTCATGGACTGACATATGCAATAAAAGGCTCGGAAGGTGTTGACGTCCACATGAATCATAACGAGAAGAAAGGAATCACTATTATTGCCACAATCCAGGCAGACGGCAGTAAACTTCCACTCACATTTGTCTGCAAGGGTCTCACAGATGCATGCCATAAGCAGATTTACGACAACAGAGTCTTTTCCAATGAGTTGATTTTGCATTCCGAAACAGGTTGGGCCACAAAGGAGGTATTTCAAGAATATCTCAGATGGCTTAGAAAGTATTACAACGATCGTTATCGCGAGAATCCAAGTTACATTCAAAATGATAGAATCTACTTGTTTCTTGATACATATTCTAGCCACAGAAATGCAGAAACAAAGAAGCTTGCCAACCTCTTGACATGCATGTCTTTGGCGCCTTAAAGAATATGGCAACGAGAACATGGTGGACTTACTATTCTATCGACACTTCCCTCGAGTGCACGCTGAAGTTGGCAGTGTATATTTTAATACGTTGCTGGAATGCGCTGACTCCTGAGCTCATTGAGACTGCATTCAGTATGCACATCAAAGATCTTGAAGAAAATGAAAGCATCCAACCATGTATCTCTGACGAAGAGGCCTCAGACTTCATTGAACGGATTGACGAAGTGAAGGCTCAATTCACAGTAGGCGAGCTTCTTGGCCAAAACGCAGAAGAGGAAGACGCCCCTGATTTTGACCTCCTTCAAGAGTTCAGTGAGATCAATGAACGACGCCATAGGAGACAGGAAAATACCCAGATTGAAGAAATAGTTTCAGATGATGAAGACTGGGATGGAAGTGATGATGAAGAAGATCTTGAAGGATTCACTCCAGAAGAAGAAAGAGAAATCCTTGAATATGATCTAGATCCATCAGAAATTGAAAGCGCAGTAGAACCTGAACCAAATTATAATCCTCCTTCTCCAGCTGAAGTGTTTTCGCCTCTTCCAATAGTTGATGTCCATTTTGAACCCACAGATCAATTGATACACTGCCTTGCATCAAGAAGCGGAGCATCTTTTATGGACTCTGTGGAATATGCTCCGCGATTTGATGTTTTGTTAACCAATCAGCTTCATTACTCAGAAATATTTAACGAGATCAGACGTCACAATCATTATGCCACAGAGAGGGTAAATTCACAAATCATCAGGCTCGATGATTCTCGAAGCGCCTTAAATGCCGCCATGCAATTGTTCTTGACTATCATTATCCTTGAAAATATTCGAATCGAAGAAGATAATGGTGCAAGAGCTTTAGAATTGTTTCAGGTTGGAGAAGAAGATTCCAAACAAGAAGATCTTCTCCATATCCTACAAATATTAGAACGTATGGGAAGATCTACTTCGATTTCACCAGGAAAAACATATAATATGCTTCATTTTGAACAACAAGGCGATCCACGACTCATTATTTCATCTTTTATGAACCCACATTTATGCGGGATTCAATTCATTGATGAGAATAATCAAGCTCAATGTGTTAACATGTTAAAACTTCCTGAAGATGGAAATTTCAAAGAATATTTCGAGAATAAGAAGATTACTCATGTGAATAGATACCTCTTCATTGCAAATGACCGCGAATCTCAAGAAGCTCAGCCAGACCAAATTGAACTGCTTCATGAACATTCACATATCATATTTATCAGATTTGCCATTGTTTCACTTACACTCGGAAGAGATGGTCATGCCTCTTTTAAATTTTATAAGAGACTTGATTTACAAGGCGAATATGTTGTGATCGATGAAAATTGGTGTTATGTGATCCCAAGAGGAGGAGCAATCGGATATCAATTTTTATCATTGTATGTCAGAGGTAAGGATGTTGAAATTGAAAATTAATTCATAATTTCTATTTATTTATATATTTTGTTTTTTATTTGTAAGCTGTAAATAATGATTTGTTTAAGAAGATGGTCTTTTTCACCAAGAAAAATTTTGTGTGTAAAAAATTTTTATCGTCTGACAAGTTTCTCTGTGAAATATGAAAATTTAATGTGTGATTACATTAGGAAAATATTTATAGAAAAAATATAAGAAATTAGAGAAAAAATTTAAAAAGTAAAAAAATGAAGAAAATAACTGGAATACGAAGAATTTAGGGAGGATAGAGTGCATTATTGTTCTAAGCATGTCATTCCGGAGATATTGCCTATGCATGTCTCCCAGAATGGCATACTGTTCCGCATTCATAACTTGAATGCGGAACTTTGACCGACAAGAGTGCATTGTGCACTTGTTGGTCTGCATGTGTCATTCCGGGAGACATTGCCTGTGCATGTCTCCCAGAATGGCATACTGTTCCGCATTCATAACTTGAATGCGGAACTTTGACCGACAAGAGTGCATTGTGCACTCTTGTTGGTCTGCATGTGTCATTCCGGGAGACATTGCCTGTGCATGTCTCCCAGAATGGCATACTGTTCCGCATTCATAACTTGAATGCGGAACTTTGACCGACAAGAGTGCATTGTGCACTCTTGTTGGTCTGCATGTGTCATTCCGGGAGACATTGCCTGTGCATGTCTCCCAGAATGGCATACTGTTCCGCATTCATAACTTGAATGCGGAACTTTGACCGACAAGAGTGCATTGTGCACTCTTGTTGGTCTGCATGTGTCATTCCGGGAGACATTGCCTGTGCATGTCTCCCAGAATGGCATACTGTTCCGCATTCATAACTTGAATGCGGAACTTTGACCGACAAGAGTGCATTGTGCACTCTTGTTGGTCTGCATGTGTCATTCCGGGAGACATTGCCTGTGCATGTCTCCCAGAATGGCATACTGTTCCGCATTCATAACTTGAATGCGGAACTTTGACCGACAAGAGTGCATTGTGCACTCTTGTTGGTCTGCATGTGTCATTCCGGGAGACATTGCCTGTGCATGTCTCCCAGAATGGCATACTGTTCCGCATTCATAACTTGAATGCGGAACTTTGACCGACAAGAGTGCATTGTGCACTCTTGTTGGTCTGCATGTGTCATTCCGGGAGACATTGCCTGTGCATGTCTCCCAGAATGGCATACTGTTCCGCATTCATAACTTGAATGCGGAACTTTGACCGACAAGAGTGCATTGTGCACTCTTGTTGGTCTGCATGTGTCATTCCGGGAGACATTGCCTGTGCATGTCTCCCAGAATGGCATACTGTTCCGCATTCATAACTTGAATGCGGAACTTTGACCGACAAGAGTGCATTGTGCACTCTTGTTGGTCTGCATGTGTCATTCCGGGAGACATTGCCTGTGCATGTCTCCCAGAATGGCATACTGTTCCGCATTCATAACTTGAATGCGGAACTTTGACCGACAAGAGTGCATTGTGCACTCTTGTTGGTCTGCATGTGTCATTCCGGGAGACATTGCCTGTGCATGTCTCCCAGAATGGCATACTGTTCCGCATTCATAACTTGAATGCGGAACTTTGACCGACAAGAGTGCATTGTGCACTCTTGTTGGTCTGCATGTGTCATTCCGGGAGACATTGCCTGTGCATGTCTCCCAGAATGAGACAATTTATTGCAATCAGAATACGATTGCAAAACTTTGACCGACAAGAGTGCATTGTGCACTCTTGTTTGTCATCCACTATGATACTTAGAGAAAATACTTTACTTACATTATTTAAAATATTAATTTCCCTATTTAATATTTATTTATTATTTTTTGTGCTTTATATTCCCTATGGCATGTACTGAACTATTTTATAGACTCTACCGAGCTATCTCCACATATAAACATTTGACAATAACACATATATACTCTCTTCATATTCTAGTCTCATGACATATTATTGCAAAAGCTATATTTATACAGCATACCTCATAAAGTCTCATTATATCCCTATCTAAGCGTTCAAAACCTATTTTCCCCACGTAATCTGATTCTTCAGGCTCCGCTGATTCGATTTCTGCTGTCAGATCGTGAAAATATGAATCACATAACAAGATAAACACAAATCCAAAATAATAATGTTTTCTTCAAATTGACTCTTCCACGATATTCATATATTTGTTATTAATTCCGTTTTCCCTTACAAATGTATTTAATTTTCTGAATAATACGTATTATAAAATGAATATCTCAAAAACTAAATTAAAAAATTAATACTGGGTAATAACTAGATATATTGTGACTTTTTGAATTCACACACTTTTGGAAAAAATTGAATTTTTCTAAAATGATGTTGTTTGAACATGAACTTAAGTTGGGTAACTTGTATTTATCTTGTTATTTGATTCATATTTTCACGATCTGACAGCAGAAATCGAATCAGCGGAGCCTGAAGAATCAGATTACATGGGGAAAATAGGTTTTGAACGCTTAGATAGGGATATAATGAGACTTTATGAGGTATGCTGTATAAATATAGCTTTTGCAATAATATGTCATGAGACTAGAATATGAAGAGAGTATATATGTGTTATTGTCAAATGTTTATATGTGGAGATAGCTCGGTAGAGTCTATAAAATAGTTCAGTACATGCCATAGGGAATATAAAGCACAAAAAATAATAAATAAATATTAAATAGGGAAATTAATATTTTAAATAATGTAAGTAAAGTATTTTCTCTAAGTATCATAGTGGATGACAAACAAGAGTGCACAATGCACTCTTGTCGTCAAAGTTTTGCAATCGTATTCTGATTGCAATAAATTGTCTCATTCTGGGAGACATGCACAGGCAATGTCTCCCGGAATGACACATGCAGACTAACAAGAGTGCACAATGCACTCTTGTCGGTCAAAGTTCCGCATTCAAGTTATGAATGCGGAACAGTATGCCATTCTGGGAGACATGCACAGGCAATGTCTCCCGGAATGACACATGCAGACCAACAAGAGTGCACAATGCACTCTTGTCGGTCAAAGTTCCGCATTCAAGTTATGAATGCGGAACAGTATGCCATTCTGGGAGACATGCACAGGCAATGTCTCCCGGAATGACACATGCAGACCAACAAGAGTGCACAATGCACTCTTGTCGGTCAAAGTTCCGCATTCAAGTTATGAATGCGGAACAGTATGCCATTCTGGGAGACATGCACAGGCAATGTCTCCCGGAATGACACATGCAGACCAACAAGAGTGCACAATGCACTCTTGTCGGTCAAAGTTCCGCATTCAAGTTATGAATGCGGAACAGTATGCCATTCTGGGAGACATGCACAGGCAATGTCTCCCGAAATGACACATGCAGACCAACAAGAGTGCACAATCCGCTTTCTCCTTTGAAATCCAACATTCTAATCACATCTACATTAATAAATTGTTATAAAATACTAATCAAAGATCCAATACAATTCTACTATCTTATACACACATTACCAATGTTAACACCTCTTATAACTTAAATTATTTCATAAAATTGTTTTTATATCTTATTATTTTCTCATAATGCTTCTAATACATCTCTAATTTCTTACATTCAAACCAATATCGTCATACTATCATAAGCACTTAATTTTTTCAAATTTTTAGACTTAAATTTGAGCTACATTTTCATCATCATTTTTAGCCTTAAGCTTCTATAAGGTTATAATACATTATCGTAATATTCTAATATTTATGATTCTTACTACTCAATTCAATATAATCATATAAGTCACTCATAATCAGGAGCATAATTTAAAAATCTATAGCTCATATTTTGACAATTATATATATAGATGATGCATATTGCAATTCCGGTTTCAACACGATCAAATGTCAAACCATGATAAAATATATATCAATTACAAAATATCGATTAACATTAGAATCCATATCTAATTCCATCAATGCACAAGTTGTAAATGCTTAATTCATCTTTGAGAAACGTGAATAGCACAATTTTATAAGATTATTTGTTGAATATTTAAAATATAAGCCAAATCGAATCTGCTGTATATTACTTTAGTTTATAATTGAATGTTAAATGTGCTCAGATAAATATTTGAGTCAGATATCGCATTTTCAAATTTCAAATTTTATCTCATGAAGTTAGAATTCATTTGATCATACAACATCATATTAGTCAAACTAGAGTTCAATCGCGATTCCAAAATGGAACAATTGCTTGTTTTATCAAAATGTTAAAATATTAATCTAAAAAACTTAATATCTAACCAAAACATTCTAGAAATATCATATACAGGTATATGCAATCTAAATGCACACGAAATACTGAAAATTAAAAAGAATATTTATGAGATTATTAAATCTTATGCATTTCAATGAAGAGTCGATAATTATCATCTCTATAGGTTATATATCAACATATAAGCTTTTGGATTGACCACTACTATACTAATGTGATCAAATTAATCTGATTTCTTGAATTTTCATTTGAAGCATTCGCAGTAGTAGGAGTACCTTCATATATTAACATATTAAAAAATTGCGCCCAGATTCGCAGTTTAATCATGATTTTAAGATTGCATTAGATTTCGAAATGCAGAAAAAAATCACTTTAGATTCCCTTCAAACTCTAAGCATAAGCATGTCTCTATATGAGGAAACTATTTGAGCTATTCATTTGGCGGCCCAAAAACTCATGTTGCCTGAGCGCAGAAAATACCAATTTTTGGACCCTGGGTAGGGGTCATGCATGTTTTCTAAATGTTGTAAAAGTAGGGTATTATCTTCTCCGATTTTTTAGTATATTATCACTAATGTTGCAAATATGAGAGCTTTTCACTCTTTCATGAATCTAGTCGAAGGTTTTTACAAATAGATTCTTCAATTATTGCAAAAAACGGAGCATTACCAAAAGGTCTAAGTTAAGAAACTGTCTATAAGTAGCTTTTGAATAAACATGCCTATATGAATTCCGCTTTAAAATGATAAAAGAAAGTTATGAATGTAGTGCATACGAAAAACAATGATCATAAAGATTTCTGATAAAATTTATGAATTTTTATATATAAATAATCATTTAATTTTTACAACAGACAAAATTAAAAAAATAATACAAAATAATAAATTGTGTTTTTGATGAGAAAATATCTCTTAAACGGATAATCTTGGGAATCTATCTGAAGGAAGCATCTCGAAAAGACATCTTGCAAAATATGGAGCAATATCAATGATATGGAACTTTGGAGATGATCTAACTAGTTCTGTTTGTGTAATAGGATGAGAGTTTGTAGCGTAAATTCCTGAAACAGGAGAATCTGCGATTTCTTTGATTTGATTTTCATCAACAATGGCGAAATGCGAAAGCATGAAGTCTACTGAGCTTGCACCAGCATTTAGGTATGTTTTTGTTACGTTTATAACTGCAGAAGAAGATCTAATCAAATCGCTGTAAACAATCACATGTTTTCCTTGTACGTCGCCAATGACTAAGCTTCCTGGAGAGTTCTCTTCAAGTGTTGAGTTCTGAGTAACGAAGGCAATTGGAACTTTGAATTCTGAAGCGTATGAGTTAACCCACTTAGAATCTCGAAGGTTAGGAGCTCCGATAACGACTTTAGACATGTCAAAGCCTGCGGAGTAGATGGCATCGCAAAGTGCTCTCTGACCGTATAATTCAATTCTAAGGCAGGAGCCTTCGAAATAGTGCAAAAGGCCGGCTGTATGAAGATCCAAGAAAACAAAAACGTTTCCTTCATCGGTGGCTCCTAAAGAGCTGAAGAGAGTATGATTAATTTTTGAAACTACAACTTCTCCTGGAGAAATAGCTCTGTCATTTGAAGAATAGGCTAAGAATGGAATAACAAATATTCTTCTTTTGATTCCAGAATAAGCCAATGTATAGCCAATTCGTTGAACATCGAAAATATCTTCATCAGAGACAATGGATCCAACGTATAATGCTGTTTTACCGAGAAGAGAGAATGCATTGGGAATTTCTAGCTTATAATACTTTTCGCCATTTGGATATTGTGATCTTTTAATTCCCATTCGAGAAATGTGGACACCTTGATCGGTTAACTCGTCGTAAATTGCATCAGCAAAGTATTTAGATGATTCCAAGTTAACCATGATGATCTGGTTTGGAAATTCCATTCTAAAAGTATCTCGATTTTAATTTGACAACTTTTATCGTGAATTTACAAAATTTTGAAGCTAGTGGCTTCAAATCTGAGCGAACTCTCTGACAAATACTTATTAAGGGCAATTTTAGATTATGCTTGGTTTTGAAGATATTTTGGCCTAAATCAAATTCAAAAGAAGAATTTGAACAAAATTATTCGGTATTGGCAAAGGATTTAGGATCACATGCAATATTCACAGTAATTTTCATTTCATAGCACGAATATCCATTACAAATTTGCGAAATGAATCCGCTCATTTTTTACTTAATTGCGCTATTAAAAATTTTCCATGATTAGATGAATAATATATGCAAGATTCAGCTTGGAAAAGCTGTAATTAGGATCGGCCCCAATGAAAAAAACCGTCGTAAATTTTGATTAATGAGTGACAATAAGGACGAACTCAGGCGCCTAGCGCGTAGGCCCGAAAATAAGACGTGTGCTGATTGCGGCGCCAAAAATCCAACATGGGCATCCGTTACTTATGGCATTTGGATTTGCCTGGAGTGTGCTGGCAAACATCGTGGATTAGGTGTTCACGTTTCTTTTGTTAGATCACTTGATTTAGATTCCTGGACTGATGAGCAAATAAACGTCATGAAATGCGGCGGAAATAAAAAAGCACGTGATTATTTCAAATCTATTGGAATTGATGCATTATCAGTCTCTGCAAAATACAAATCTCGCGGTGCTAAACAATATGCAGCCCAGCTTTATGCTGAAGCAGGTGCACATCTTCCTGGTGAAGCTCAATCCGATGAAGGACCAGAACCACCAGCCGAAGAACCACCAAAACCAGAGCCAAAGGCACCACCGAGATCCATGTCAGCTCCTCTTTCAGATTATACTATTCCTAGTATCGATGACGAAGATAAACCAGAAAAATCTCCACTTGTAGAAACGAAACCATTGCCTAAGCGCAAACCAGCCGTCATTAAGAAATCAGGACCTGGTAGATCACGTCAATTACAGTCTAGAAAACAGATCCGTGTTGTTTCAAGCGAAATTGATGTTGATGATTTCGATAGCATCTTAGAGAATGATGATTTCAAGGATAACGATGCACTTGTCGACAAACCTAAAGTACAATCACCATTTGTTTCGGATGAAAATCCAAATGAAGAACAAATTTGGAGACCTCCTCCAAAAATCAACAAATACGGCTCAGCTGGCTCTGGCCCAGTTGATTTCCACCCACGACAGAATAACGCTGGCGCTGTAGCTGTTGATGTTGTTAAACACGTCGTATCAGACGTTACATCGGCAGTTTCAACAGGTGTTAGCGCTGTTGCTAGCGCTGCATCTCCATACGCTACTGCAGCTTACGACAAAGGAAAGGAAATTGCCGGCGCGGTTTACAGATATTTCAACCAAAAGTAATGTTTTTGCTTTTTATTTTATTATTTTTGTATAAAGACCTATTGATTATAATCTCCTTTTTAAATGTGAATTGTCTTCAAAATATTGAAACAAAACAAGAAAAATGAAAAAAAAAAAAATATTATAAAATTTTCTAATTAATTATTGCTGTGATATCAACATCAATGTTACAATGCTTCTGACATTCTGTGCCCCTCCCTAATTGATGCACAAGATTCTTCCATCACAAATTGCCTAAACTCATTAGCAGATTGAAATCTCAAGAGCATAGAAATTTAGTTGCATATGAAATAGAAATATGTGCGTGCCCTAAAATTTAGAATAAAAATTATTTTTATCTCTGAAATACTACACACAACTAACTGTTCTGTTAATCAATTATAAATAACACATGATATTGGTTCATAATATAGATAGATTTCAGCCAAAAGAAAGGTAACTAAACTACTTTCGCCGATCCGATTTGCTCCATATTTAAAATATAGCTTGCATATGTAGAAGAAAAGCTAATTTTGAAGTACGCCCGAAATCCACCAACAGGATTTCGAGCTACTAAAAAGGTACTTTTAAATGTGATTTTTTTTATAAAAAATTAAATTTATTTCAAGATCAGACTAAAAACTAATTTTATGGAAAATCTATATCGACAAATTTATTACTTATTGGGTATATAGATTTTTTGATTATGGCGATTATGTCTGATATGCTTCCAATAAGCCAAAACACATTTCATACTGATTTCTATAAAAGGTATCTTTATTATAGAAGTGTAAGCTATATCTGTTTGTTTTTTTATTATAATGTTGCATGCTAAGTTCGGTCAAAATGTAAACCTCTCAATTTTATCGTCGGGGGAAGTAACTCAATTCCTTCAAAATTATTCTTTAAATATTGAATTTAAAGTTATTTAATTTGGATTATAAATATATAGGCTAATACAATATTTAAAAATGAGAAAAAATAACTTTTCAAAGAACTTTTCATAATCTCAAAGAAAATTTTTTATTCAATAATTATATAAATTAATTAACATTCATAATGAAATTGGATTTTTTTTATAAAAAATTGGTCCTACTTAACTTTTTGAGAGAATTTGGCTTTCTCGTAAACGAAAAAGGGGATTTGACGGAGTCAAATCCCCGCTCACAAAAAGTGGACTTTACATGTCAAATTTTATATGCATGTAATGTCCACTTTTATGAGTTTTAGGAAGGAATTGGAAGCCATGAGTTACTGACATTGCATCAGTATCTCATAGCCTCCAATTCCTTCAAAAAATGGGAGAAACTTTGTCCGAATAGTTTAACATTCGGACAAAGTTTCTCCCATTTTAAGAAGGAATTGGAGGGTAAGAGATATACCATATGAATGTATATCTCTTACCCTCCAATTCCTTCTAGAAAGTGTCCAAACTTTGGGTTAATTGCAAAGTATTAACCCAAAGTTTGGACACTTTCAAGTGGAGATGGAAGGCTTTGGGGTATATATTAATACAATATACCTCAAAGCCTTCCATCTCCACTACAAATGTGAGAAACTTTGTCCGAATAGTTTAACATTCGGACAAAGTTTCTCCCATCTTTCAATGTAATTGCTACCTGTGAGGTACTGACTTGAAGTCAGTGCTTCACAGGTAGCAATATCCAAAAATTTAAAAACATTTTATCAGTTCGTTAGAGAACTAGAGCCTCCTAGGTACTGAACCAGAATCAGTGCCTAGGGGACTCTAGTGATCTATATAAATCTGAGAAACTTTGAGGAAATTGTTCGACATTTCCTCAAAGTTTCTCAGCAATTTAGCGAGGAATGTTCGTTATCGTGTAGATATTTATAATATATACATGATAACAAACATTCCCCGCTAAAAGATGTAAAATCTTATAAGAAATAATTGCAAAAGAATAACAAATTGCAACAAATTTTATATGAAACTGAACCTTATGAGGTAGTGATTCAAGATCACCGCCTCATAAGATTCAGTTTCAATCTCAAGTATCTCAAAAGTAAGGCTCTATTTTTTGCCATGTAAAGTGTCACTTTTCTGTCCAAATGATAAGTTATTCAGAGAAAGTTTCCCAGCTATCAAGAGGGAATTGTTCCTTATGAGTTATATATTCATACTGTATACCTCATAAGGAACAATTCCCTCCTTAAAACGAGAAAACTTGTTCGAAATTGTTTATCATTTCGAACAAGTTTTCTCGTTTTTAATAAGAAACTAAAGGCTATGAGGCACTGATTATATATTAGTGCCTCACAGCCTTTAGTTTCTAATAGATAGCTGGGAAACTTTCTCCAAATGATAAGTTATTCAGAGAAAGTTTCCCAGCTATCAAGAGGGAATTGTTCCTTATGAGGTATATAGTTATAATGTATACCTCATAAGGAACAATTCCCTCATTAAAATCGTAGATATTTTTTACTTATTACTCATGCTTTCAAAATCACAATCCTCTGAAAAGTTATTTTTTATTAAGAATTTAGAATTTTGATAAATACCTTTTTTCAATTTGATATAATACTTATATATTTTCAAAAAGACATTTTGAAAAGATATCTCAAAAGTTCTCTGAAAACCTATTTTTGATTAATTTTGAGAAATATCCGTATTAAATTAATCAATAAATTCATTCAACACTACTTTAATTTTTAAATTCAAAAAATTATATGTGCTTCTTAAAATGTCTCACAAAAATTTTATTATAAAATTATATACAATATTAAAAATCCCACAACATTTTTTACTTTACATAATCGTACTTCCTCGACGATTAATTTCCCCTCAATTCCTATCGTTGACCGAACTTAGCATGCAACAATAACAAATTCAAAATTCTCTTATAAGGACTAGATGAAATCTGTATTATTAAATCATTAGCTAAATGAAGGTTCAAATAGAAAGTAAATATCAATTTATATGATACTGAAACCAAATAGTTCTTTTAATAAAAGATAACACGCTGAAAATTATTGAGTATTTGCAAATCTCAAAAATCTATTGGTGAATTTGGCTCAACTTTTAAAATTATAACATCCATATCAAATCATAAAAGCAGACAAAAATTAAAGCCAAACCTATCGGCCAATTTTTTTTTGATATTTTGATTTTTGAGGTATACTTTTAAAAGTGGATTTAAAGCACTGATAAAAAAACATTAACTTCTGTCGTTATGATTATTGATTTAGACAATAATGATTTTAATCTTTGATTATCAAAACACTAAAGTCATCTTTTTAACATTTGGTTGGTAGCATTAACTCAAGTCTAAAGTACTATTTTATGTGGCACTCTTAGAATTTTTGTATTCATTGTACACGCTGAAATAGTACCATTAAAGTTATGGCGGACTTTCAAAAAATAGTTTGGTCACCTTTGCCAAAAGCAAGATTTCAAAATGATTTGCCAAAATCTAATTGATATTCTTCAATTCTCATAGCGAATAATAACAGGTTCGAATTATATCATAGTTAAACCATAAGACATGAAATGATTAGATTTCAATTCTCAAAAGCATGAAAACATGCTATAAATCAAAGGCTAGCGCTTTGAATCTAAAGTGTTTTTCATATCATCTGGATGCTTTGACTCACTTAGGCAAATTTTTTTTTCACTTCAAAAAACTATGTCGAATGATAAAACACGTATTGATCAAAATCTTATCGCTGCAAAGAAATTTATGGGTGAGGGTAAGTTAGAAGATTGCGAAAAGACGCTAAATTCTATACTTCCAACCGTAAATCGAGTTGAATTTCGTAAATTCGAATTGCATCAAATGCTTTCAGTGCTAAAGTTCAAACAAGGAAAGTTCAAAGATAGCATTGCTTTGGTCAAACAAACGCTAGAAATGAAGCCAGAAGATCCAACCCTGTTAAAACTCCTTATTATAGCAGAACACAAAATTGATTCTTCTGATTTAGTTAATGATTGCATCAATGCTCTTAAAAACTGCAAGCAAACAGAAATAATTGTCCAAACAATTTCTGAATTTATTCGAGATTTAGATAAAGAAGACCTTGACAAAGAATTTATTGAGAGCCTTCAGACTCTTCCAGACGAGAAAGCTGCGAATTTCATCAAAGCAATACCAGAAACCGACGAAACTCTTCAATATCGTGTTAAATTGTTGAAATTGTGTCCTCCTACAGATGTTGATAAGTTAGAAGACTTAGCATATGCATTAAAAGACATGGGCGAATACGACGAAAGTCTAAAATACGCACAAATGCTACCAGAAGATAATAATGAAAGATTATTCATCGAAACATTGTTTGGAGACAATCCAATTGATACAGCCAAGAAGCACATCAATAAAGGCAAGAACCAGTTCGAAAATTGGATCAAAAGTTTACAAAATCCAGATCCAAATGAAATTTTGAAAGAAGTCAAGCTAATTCCAGATTTTCGAAGCGGATACATCATGGTTATTGACTTAATCAATGACAGGAATGTAAAGAACGCACTAATCGACGAAATTACGAAGAAATTTTCCAAATCATTAAAAGCATTGGAATCAGCAGCCAAAGCAAAGGAAGAACTCAACGATTACGAAGGATTTCTATCTATTTCGAACATGATTGTCTCTATAAATGAAGAAATTGGCCAGAAATACGTTGTTCGCGCTTTAATTAAATTGAATCGTCTTGAAGAAGCACAAAAACTCATTGATAATGGTGTAGAACTTTCATTAATCGAGAAAGCGAAGTTTGCTGTTGAATTCTGGAAGACGGATAAAGATGACAATCGTTTACATGAATTGTTGAAATATCCTTATACGAAAGAATTTGCTGAAATCAAATCAATGGCTGCTTTTTATCTTGGAAATCATATTTCTGCTGAAACAGCTAATGATATATTTACTAATTGTTTGAAAGCAGATAGAGAGAATTGCAATGTTTATGCTTATTTCGGAAATTATTTAATTACTGTTTTAAATGAACAAGAAAAAGGAAAATTTTTACTTAAAAAATCATATGATTTGGGATATAGAGGTTCCGAATGTCTTGAAATCATTGTTGATGAATGTATTAGTTCTAATCAATACGAAGAAGCAATAAAACACTGTCAACTTGTTAATGAAAGTTGGGCAAGATTTAAATCAGGTTTGTTGTATTTTAAATTAGGAAAATATGAAGATGCTTCATATCAACTCCAATTGTATACAAAAAGGAATCCTGATGATTTCAATGCATTGACTGTTTTGGGATATACTTATATGTCTATGGGTCGACTTGTTGCTGTTTCTCAAATTGCAGAAGAATTAGAAAAGATTGGTCATCCATGTAAAGAATTACAATACAAAGTTGATTGTATATATGGTAAAAAATTGTCTGAAAACATAATTGACCAAGAAACAGTTCATAATCCTCTTTTGTTTGGTCCTTCTCTTTATCAGACAATGGAATTAATGAAAAGATTGTTTAATTTTAATAGATATGAATCAATTATTGAAGTTATTCATCAAACAGAAAATTTAGTTTCTTCTCATGTTTTAGAATTTGGTGAAAAATTATCTTCTGTTCTTAAATCAGCCGCTGAATATTATTTGCTCGCTTTCAAAGTAACAAAAGAAGGAAAATATGCTAATGAATGTTTGAAATTATTTATGAGACGTGCCGAAAAAGATAAAAGAGGTGAATGTTTTATTGATGTTGCAGAAGTTTTATCTTTACTTGGAAAGACAGAACAATCAATAATTGTTCTTAGAAGAGCTGTTAAAGCATTCCCAGATAACGCTTATGTCTGGAAATCTCTTGGCATCGCTTTCTTCATGACAGGAAAAATCTCATTTTCTCGTCATTGTTTCTGTGTTGCAGCGAAATTATCTGATGAAACTGAAAAAGCGAATGTTCTTAACTGTTATGCGGCTTTGTCTTATTTCACAAATGATAATGAAATGATGTCTCGTGCTTCAGAAGAAGCGAATACACTAGATCCTAAGAACGCTTCTTCATGGGAACACAAATCTATTTGTGGAACAATTGATCCTTATCATGGACAAGTTCTTTCTTTTACACATGGAAATCAGAAGTATTCTATTGAAACATTGACTGAATTGGCAATCAACGCGAATAAACCATTCGAATCTCTCGGATACGCGTTTATGACTCGTGATAAAACAAAGATTTGTTTGGCTCTTGAAGCATGCGGAAAATACAAAGATGCTTTCGAATTCACTGAAGACGAAGAAACAAAGGAAAGATTGAAATTCCTTCTGGAAGAAAATGATAAAGAAAATGTCAAACACTCAACAAGATTTAATGAACTTATTTCAGGAATTGAAGAAGCTTCAAAAGCTAATGAAATTGAAAAGAAAGAGGAAATTCTAAACGGTCTCTATTCAAATACAGATAGAAATTTCAAAGAATTAATTGACCAATTAAGATATCACATTAATCTTGATTCATTACAACCTGAAAATTGTTTTGGATACACAAGAGACCTCACGAAACAAAGCGATGCAAAGAATGCAGCAGTTGAAACATTCAATCAATACAAGGACTACTACAATCCTCTCGTTATCAAGAACTACATTATACAAGTTCTTAAAACTAATGATACATACGAAATAATTGCTCCATGGTCAGAAATACTTCTTAAGATGGATGCATCTCGTGACAACATCCTTTTGCAAGCTTTGACAATGATTTTCACTAAAGATAATCAATCTGCTGCAAAATATCTACAACAATACATAACATTGAAGCCACAAATGTATAAGAAGATACTTCCATTGATTAGAAAACTTAATAATCAATAAAATAAATAAAGGTGTATCTTATATAATTACATTATTTTTTTTTCTCATCATAATATATACGAAAGACTTATATAACAAATATGAAGATAAAGAGAATTTCATAAAACAGTGATTAATGTGAAGAAAAAGATAATGTAATAAAGCAATGTTAAATATGAAGAGAAAGAGAATTTCATAAAACAGTGATTAATGTGAAGAAAAAGATAATGTAATAAAGCAATGTTAAATATGAAGAGAAAGAGAATTTCATAAAACAGTGATTAATGTGAAGAAAAAGATAATGTAATAAAGCAATGTTAAATATGAAGAGAAAGAGAATTTCATAAAACAGTGATTAATGTGAAGAAAAAGATAATGTAATAAAGCAATGTTAAATATGAAGAGAAAGAGAATTTCATAAAACAGTGATTAATGTGAAGAAAAAGATAATGTAATAAAGCAATGTTAAATATGAAGAGAAAGAGAATTTCATAAAACAGTGATTAATGTGAAGAAAAAGATAATGTAATAAAGCAATGTTAAATATGAAGAGAAAGAGAATTTCATAAAACAGTGATTAATGTGAAGAAAAAGATAATGTAATAAAGCAATGTTAAATATGAAGAGAAAGAGAATTTCATAAAACAGTGATTAATGTGAAGAAAAAGATAATGTAATAAAGCAATGTTAAATATGAAGAGAAAGAGAATTTCATAAAACAGTGATTAATGTGAAGAAAAAGATAATGTAATAAAGCAATGTTAAATATGAAGAGAAAGAGAATTTCATAAAACAGTGATTAATGTGAAGAAAAAGATAATGTAATAAAGCAATGTTAAATATGAAGAGAAAGAGAATTTCATAAAACAGTGATTAATGTGAAGAAAAAGATAATGTAATAAAGCAATGTTAAATATGAAGAGAAAGAGAATTTCATAAAACAGTGATTAATGTGAAGAAAAAGATAATGTAATAAAGCAATGTTAAATATGAAGAGAAAGAGAATTTCATAAAACAGTGATTAATGTGAAGAAAAAGATAATGTAATAAAGCAATGTTAAATATGAAGAGAAAGAGAATTTCATAAAACAGTGATTAATGTGAAGAAAAAGATAATGTAATAAAGCAATGTTAAATATGAAGAGAAAGAGAATTTCATAAAACAGTGATTAATGTGAAGAAAAAGATAATGTAATAAAGCAATGTTAAATATGAAGAGAAAGAGAATTTCATAAAACAGTGATTTATGTGAAGAAAAAGATAATGTAATAAAGCAATGTTAAATATGAAGAGAAAGAGAATTTCATAAAACAGTGATTAATGTGAAGAAAAAGATAATGTAATAAAGCAATGTTAAATATGAAGAGAAAGAGAATTTCATAAAACAGTGATTAATGTGAAGAAAAAGATAATGTAATAAAGCAATGTTAAATATGAAGAGAAAGAGAATTTCATAAACAGTGATTAATGTGAAGAAAAAGATAATGTAATAAAGCAATGTTAAATATGAAGAGAAAGAGAATTTCATAAAACAGTGATTAATGTGAAGAAAAAGATAATGTAATAAAGCAATGTTAAATATGAAGAGAAAGAGAATTTCATAAAACAGTGATTAATGTGAAGAAAAAGATAATGTAATAAAGCAATGTTAAATATGAAGAGAAAGAGAATTTCATAAAACAGTGATTAATGTGAAGAAAAAGATAATGTAATAAAGCAATGTTAAATATGAAGAGAAAGAGAATTTCATAAAACAGTGATTAATGTGAAGAAAAAGATAATGTAATAAAGCAATGTTAAATATGAAGAGAAAGAGAATTTCATAAAACAGTGATTAATGTGAAGAAAAAGATAATGTAATAAAGCAATGTTAAATATGAAGAGAAAGAGAATTTCATAAACAGTGATTAATGTGAAGAAAAAGATAATGTAATAAAGCAATGTTAAATATGAAGAGAAAGAGAATTTCATAAAACAGTGATTAATGTGAAGAAAAAGATAATGTAATAAAGCAATGTTAAATATGAAGAGAAAGAGAATTTCATAAAACAGTGATTAATGTGAAGAAAAAGATAATGTAATAAAGCAATGTTAAATATGAAGAGAAAGAGAATTTCATAAAAACAGTGATTTATGTGAAGAAAAAGATAATGTAATAAAGCAATGTTAAATATGAAGAGAAAGAGAATTTCATAAAACAGTGATTAATGTGAAGAAAAAGATAATGTAATAAAGCAATGTTAAATATGAAGAGAAAGAGAATTTCATAAAACAGTGATTTATGTGAAGAAAAAGATAATGTAATAAAGCAATGTTAAATATGAAGAGAAAGAAATTTCATAAAACAGTGATTAATGTGAAGAAAAAGATAATGTAATAAAGCAATGTTAAATATGAAGAGAAAGAGAATTTCATAAAACAGTGATTAATGTGAAGAAAAAGATAATGTAATAAAGCAATGTTAAATATGAAGAGAAAGAGAATTTCATAAAACAGTGATTAATGTGAAGAAAAAGATAATGTAATAAAGCAATGTTAAATATGAAGAGAAAGAGAATTTCATAAAACAGTGATTTATGTGAAGAAAAAGATAATGTAATAAAGCAATGTTAAATATGAAGAGAAAGAGAATTTCATAAAACAGTGATTAATGTGAAGAAAAAGATAATGTAATAAAGCAATGTTAAATATGAAGAGAAAGAGAATTTCATAAAACAGTGATTAATGTGAAGAAAAAGATAATGTAATAAAGCAATGTTAAATATGAAGAGAAAGAGAATTTCATAAAACAGTGATTAATGTGAAGAAAAAGATAATGTAATAAAGCAATGTTAAATATGAAGAGAAAGAGAATTTCATAAAACAGTGATTAATGTGAAGAAAAAGATAATGTAATAAAGCAATGTTAAATATGAAGAGAAAGAGAATTTCATAAAACAGTGATTTATGTGAAGAAAAAGATAATGTAATAAAGCAATGTTAAATATGAAGAGAAAGAGAATTTCATAAAACAGTGATTAATGTGAAGAAAAAGATAATGTAATAAAGCAATGTTAAATATGAAGAGAAAGAGAATTTCATAAAACAGTGATTAATGTGAAGAAAAAGATAATGTAATAAAGCAATGTTAAATATGAAGAGAAAGAGAATTTCATAAAACAGTGATTAATGTGAAGAAAAAGATAATGTAATAAAGCAATGTTAAATATGAAGAGAAAGAGAATTTCATAAAACAGTGATTTATGTGAAGAAAAAGATAATGTAATAAAGCAATGTTAAATATGAAGAGAAAGAGAATTTCATAAAACAGTGATTTATGTGAAGAAAAAGATAATGTAATAAAGCAATGTTAAATATGAAGAGAAAGAGAATTTCATAAAACAGTGATTAATGTGAAGAAAAAGATAATGTAATAAAGCAATGTTAAATATGAAGAGAAAGAGAATTTCATAAAACAGTGATTTATGTGAAGAAAAAGATAATGTAATAAAGCAATGTTAAATATGAAGAGAAAGAGAATTTCATAAAACAATAATAAATATGAACGCCTTTTGTCTCGCAGTTTAGTAACTATCAGAAATCTAAATGCTTAGAACATGACCCTCTTTTTGGTTTAATTTTGGAGAGTATGATTCAAATGTCAGGATTTTTGCATAAAGTAAACCCTTAATTGAAAATAACAAATCAGGAAATATTTGTTGTACTTGATATTTCGATTAAGGGTTAAAGTTTTAGCTTATGGATGAAAGTAAAACACAAAGAAAAGCACTCTTTTCACTATATTTATTATTTGAAATGATTTCATAAATAATTAATGCATCTTCATGACAAAATGCAGATGAAAAATGAGAAAGATTATTAGTAAATTCATTTGAAATGCTGTTTTTAAAAGTCACATCTCTATAAATTAATGGTGAATTGTTATCGATGAAGCATTCTTCTAAAATTATATCACCTTGAAAATACGCGTAACCAGGATCATTATTTATAAAACTACTATTTATTATATGAACTGTAGCAGATTCGGCCCAAAGAGTTGGTCCATTTCGATTATTAAAAATGTTACAATATCGAATTTCAAAAGTTCCTTCAAAATTTAAATGATGAAATTTAAAGTATGTACTATTTCTAGTTGTTGAATTAGAAAAAGTGGAAAATGAACAATTCGATTGGGCAGAAAACGAATCAACTTCATAAAAATCTCTATAATTTATTTTAGGGTATGAAATATTGATTGATTTAATTTGCACCTGGCCATTTTTCAAATAAAGATTTCTATTTCCTAAGAAACTATCATCTCCGCTTTTACTAATAGATGAATCATAGATATAATTCATATAGCTGCTGCTATTACTAACATCAATTTTACAGTAAGCTCCTTTTGTATAAAGTGATTTTACTTTAGAAGCGAAACTACAAACACGATCTTGAACAAAAGAACCTTCATGTTGATAGGAAATACAGCCACCTTCGTCATTGTTACTACATCGATTGAAGGCTGAAGTATCAATAAGGAATTTAATTGCGATATTTTGTGTGTTTAAGTAAACCGTACTTCTTGTGTTTACTTGATAGAAAAAGCAAGATGAAATATAATAATTATTTTCATCTGCAGTGAGCCTTTTATTATGTCTTGTATATTCTTCGTATTGCTCAGTGTTTGGGTAAAATTCTATCCAAGATTCGTGAATTTTAAATTGTAAAGCATATATAAATTGATGTCTAATGAATATTTAATAATATTGAGTCGCAAAACAATTGTATGTAATAGCCTTTATCCTCTATAAAAGGGAATTTTGCTATTCCATTATTTCTGATTAAAAAAGTGTAATCACACAAAATTCCAAAATAATCATAATTATATTATATTCATTAAAAACGAGAAATTTTCTAAAAATTATTTCAATACTCTTTCAAAAATAACGGTTTTTCAGTCATTGAATTCTGATCTTAATGGCTTTGGCAAAACCGACTACAGTGCACCCTTAATAATAAAATGTTTCTTTTGAGTTTAAATTTCAAAATTTATTTAATAAAAAAATAAAAAATATATAATATATCAGTTAATTTGAACCTTCGATGTCATTGCAAAATGCCATATAGTTCATATCATCAAGATCAGTGCATCTATATTTCTTACAAAGGACATCAAACTCACGCGGATTACTACATAATCCTAAACGAGCAATGCATTGTTTGAATTGCTGTTTAGTGATGTAATTCTTACGTGGCATTCTATCATAATCAATGAACTGCTCTTGAATGTTCATTCTTTTAGTAACAACATCATTATGCATACGCTTGATGATTTCGTTCAACTGACGCTCTTGATTTGTATCGAGGACTTGTAATGTCTTTGAAGGATCAGGAAGAGAATCAACCTTCTTGTCATTCTCTGGTGTAGGAGATTTGTTCAAGTCTGTTGGGCCGAAGATTTGATTAACTTCTTTGCAGAATGTTCTGTAATCGAACATATCTGTTTGGCCAGGTGGTGTAAATCTGAAGCCAACTAAATCCATTTGTTTCGCTGTCAACGGTAATCCTGTCTGGCCAACAACAGAATTGAACTTTTGTTGGGTAACAATGCCACGATTCAATGGATCGAATGCTTTGAAGAAATCATTCAATCTAATCTGGCGTTTGTAAATGTATGTTTGCAAACTCTTTAATATGCAGTTATAATCATCAGAAGGAACTGTTGATTTAGCTGAAACTAAGTATGGTGATTCTTCTTTAGAGTACTGAGGAATCTTATTGATAACAATAGAATTAGATGCTGTATCTCCAAAGATTTGGCCTGTTCTCTGTTCGACATCTTGGCAGAAACGAACATAATCAACAAAATTTGTGTTTGGATCGTTGTAAAAAGTGCACAATGTGTCGATTTCGTTCTTAGAGATGTGGACTCCAATCAACTGTATGACTTGTGCAAATCCTGTTGCAGTTGTTCGCTTGTGATTAAGACGATCTTTGTCTTTGAATTGTTCAATAAGAGAAAGACGTCGAGAACGAACAAATTTCGCAACGTTTTTGAGGATTTCTTCAACATTTGATGTCATATCCTTTTCTGGTCTCAAAACTAATGATCTTGTCTGGTATTTCTCTGATGGAATAGCTGGTGTAACTGTTGGTGTCTTCTCTAGATCTAATGGAGCAATGCATTCTTTGATTGCGTTGCAGAAATCTCTCCAACAAACAAATCCTTGTCTTTTGTCTGATGCATAGGAATCAACAATCAAATCGAACTCGTCTTCTGTGACTTTGTATGTGGATAATGATAAGCCAGAACGGAATTGTGAAACAGGAATCTCTCCGCAGTTCAATTTATCGAAATCAGAGAAGAAATCGCCAAAATGAACGGAATTGACGATTGACCACTGTTTCATTGCGTACATGAGTGAATCAATGTCTTTGTGCTCGTCAATCTTCTTGATGAGACCACGTTTAGACTTGTAAATAAGTTCATCGGCTTTGTCTGGTGTAATGAATAAATCTCCTGTTGGAGTATGACCGTAAACATCCATGATTGACTGTCTATCAGTTCCTATTGGCTTGTATACACGGCGGGACTGTGAATGGCTTGGATCAATGTCTTCTACGAACTTGAAATAATCAATGCCTTCATCAGATCCGTAAAAACGAGCGATTTCGGCAAGTTCTGTAGTAGAAATATTGATCTTGAGTGTGGAAAGAGCGCGATGGAATTGAGGTTCTGTAACAAAACCGCGTTTTTGGCGGTCGAAATTCTGAAATGTTGGAAGAACATTGATTCTGAAGCGAATTACTGTATGTCTGACATCATCAAGGATGCGTTTGAGTTCAGGAGAAGGTGCTGATGTAACAGCAAGTGTCTGAACTGAAGATGTAACTGTTGCATTTGTTGCATCTTCGACGTCCTTGCAGAATTCGCGATATCTGACGTACTCTGTTGATGCCTGGACTTCTCTGTACTTCTCACTAAGGTAAGCGATTTCTTCTGCTGTCCATGAGAAGCCAAATACGGTAATTGTTCCTTCAAACTTGGAACGTGTGATGAGGCCTTGGTTCAATGGATCGTGAGCAGCAAAGAAATCGTAGATTCTGATACGTTGTTCGCGAACAACTTTAGCAAATCTTGTAATGCAGTCTAAAACTGTTCCAGATGGCTTCTTTGTGTTAACGGAAAGGCTGAGAAGTTGGTGAGGAAGAAGGTTACGATTGACAATGTCTGTTACAGCGTTTGATTTGTACGCTTCGAGAGCTTGGTTGACATCTAGGTAGAGCTTACGATAGTTTACATCCTTAGCAGATGGATCTGTATATGTTTTGACCAAAAGATTAATCTCTCCCGTAGTGAGATCATTAAATGGCATTGCACGAAGGAATTGAGATTGCGTAACGCGTCCATTATTGTGTGGATCGAAATCCATGTATGCTTCTCTGATGTGAATAGCTCTTGTTCGTACTTGGTAAGCTAATTTCGAAAGAAGTGCGTACATATCGTTATCAAGGCTTTGAATGTTTGTCTTAAGTGTTTTTGCAACAATCTCACGTGAATTCTTTAATGTTCCGTGTGGTTCGTGCTCTAAATTCATGTTTGTGAAAATATCATGAATATCATCTAAGAAATGTCTGTAATTAACTTGCTCACCTTCCATAAAATGTGCTGCAAGGGTCTCAAATTCCTCTTCTGTAAACTGAATTTTAATATTGGTAAGTACACGGAAGAATTGTTGTTTTGTAACTCTTCCACTTCTAAGCTTATCAAAATCTAAGAACCACTCTTCTGGGCGGTCTCCATTAAGATAGATATGTGTCCTAATACGGTCAAGGAGTATCTCTATATCACTATCTTCACACATACAAATCTAGAATAACGGACATCATTTTCAAAAGAAAACGATTATTATTCTTCACTTCGGGATTCCGTTACTATCTTACATCACAGAATACAATCTTTCATTGATATTAAATGCATCAGTGCTGTGAGGTAACAACAATAATTAACTCAGATCTTGAAATTTCTGACTTTTGTCATTATTCAACAATTTTTCTTCAATATTTGATCTTCCTATTAATATCATTATATCACTTCTTTATGTAATGCATACACTGCAACAAGTGATACTTTTAAACGATAGTCAAATTAAATTGCGTTACATCTGCTCAGTACCATTTTCCCCTTCTTTATCTATGCTTTTTTCTATCATATTTTTAAAGGATTTTAATGTTTATGCTAAGCTGAATGCTAATGTTATAATAATTATTTCTGATGTATGACATTCATCTCGAATATATGCCATTGTATTTCGAATAAAAACCCAACTTATTTCTCAAGATCTAGAGTGGCCTTTTTCTCTGTATGTGCGAAGAATTAGCTGAATACACTGTTTCCTACAAAGTTGATCTCCGTCTATTTGATCTAAATATCAATTCTCTGTATTTCTCTATCTTTTCTGAGTATCCAAAAATATCAAAATTTTTCAAAAATAAGAAATTAGCTATTTAGAGATAAATTATTATAATATACATGTCTATGACAATACGATAACTACATTGTTTTGTCATAATTTCTATGAGTGATTATCCATTTCCATGGGGACCACCTCCTCCTGGATATGTTCCTGGTCTTGGAAGAGGTGCAACAGGTTTTGTGTCATATATTGAAAATGCTGTTATCGAATTACAAGATGAAAAGGCACTTTCTGCGAAAATGTCAACCAAAAAGATCAAAGAAATAGAAAAAGCAGACAACGATGCAGATGACTTTTACAATAGTATGGATTTGTTAATATCAAGCAGAAACAAAGCGAAGAAAAAACAAAATTCCGAACAAGAAAAGACAATTTTCGATGAAACCAGAGATCAATTTGCAGAATTTACGAACAATCTCAAGTTCATAACAGCTAATGACTGGGCAAATATTCCTGAACGCGGCCAGCTTAAAAATTATCGACCAAAATGGGAACTTTTGACTTACGCTTCTGGCAGAATGATTACTGGAGACTTCTCAGATTCGGCCCTTTCCAAGGAAATCCGTCTCCAAGACCAACAAAATGATACTGAACTCGAAGCAAATAAAGCGATGATGGCTGTTAGCAGAGCCAAGAACTCTGTGATGAATGCACAACTATCAAAACTTACTAAAAGCTCATCTACCATCGATACATCCAAATATCTACAGGAAATAGACATAGAAACTCAAAATCGAATTCAACAATACGAAGATCTCGATCATGCTGCACAATTATACAGACAAATGACTCATTACAACAAAAACGATCCAGTAGTATGGATAACACGTGCAAGAATTGAAGAAAAAAGAGGAAAATACGACAAAGCAGCAAAAGTTGCATTAGATGGACTTTCAAACAACCCAGAGAGCGAAGAATTAGTGTTAGAAGCAGCGAGATTATCCCAAAATGATAGCCAGAGCATTCTTGAAGCATCACTAGAATCACATCACGCTCAATCACCAAAGATATGGCTACAACTCGCTTCATTACAAAATACAGAAGTTTTAAAAATTTCTGTTCTTGAAAGAGCTCTTTCAAAATGTCCGAAATCTCCGATGTTATGGATTGCTGCTTCAAATTGTGATGAGGAAAGCCGTCTGGATGTTCTTAAGGCTGGTTTCCAAATGAATAAAGACTCAAAGGAGTTATTCATCGCTGGACTCGAAGCTTCTAAATCTAATGAAGATTTGTCATTTTTTATTAGTCAAAAAAGTGACATAAAAGATGACATTGAAACGTTAATTACGGAAGCGAACTGTGAAGAAAAGTTTGACATGGATTTTACTGATTCTGTTGAGAAAGCTCTTCAAATTGAAACAGATCGAGATTGGATAACAATTGCGATGGAAAGTGAACTGAAAAATTGTCCAAGAGTTGCATCATTGATTATTCGAAAAACAAAAATCGATGATGATATGGTTTTAAGAGCAAATGAAGCAAAAAGAGGAAATTGTATTGCTGTATGTGAATCATTATTAAAAAGAAACGCGGAAGAAGGAAATGGTTGGTATCCTTTCCTTGAATTCGAGCGTTCTCTTGGAAATTTGGAAGCTGCTTTGGATTATTCTTTGAATTATATAAAGGAAGGTGATGAAATAAGTATTGTTGAGATCTCAAGGTTCATGGATGACGAACAAGCTTTGAATCTTCTACAAACAAAGTTCGAAATCAACAAAAAATCTGAAAAAATTGCTTTGGAAATTGCAAAAATTTTTGCAAAAAGTGACAAAGACAAAGCAGCTGAATTTTCTTTTTCCACAGCTTCAGAGATCAATTCCTCATTATTGTTTTCGTATGGAGCACAGACAGGAACATCAAAAACAGTTACTCCAACCATTTTAAAGATTGGTGTTGGTTTATTCCCTGAAAATGCAAATCTTTGGTTGATTTTGACGAATTTGCAACCAAATGATGAAGAAAAATGCAAGGTATTGCAGAGAGCAACACAAGAATGTTCTAGAAAGGCAATTATTCATATTGAATTTGCAAAAATTTGTAAAAAGATTGGAATTTCCAAACCAAAAATCAGAGCTTTACTAGAACGAGCTCGATTTTTGTGTCCAAATGATGAAAGTCTTTGGCTGTATTCAGCAGAATTCGAAGATAATGAATACAAGATTCGATTGTTGGAAGAGTCCAAATCAAAGGTAGATCATCCATCAATAATTTGGGCCAGACAAATCGAATTGATGCCTGCAGAACAAAGATTGTATGCTGTGAAAAACGCAATGGAAGTTATTGGTGAAAAAAGAGAGATTTTGTTATTAATTGCCATTGATTTGTGGCGAAGAGCGAAAATAGACGAATCGAAAAGGACATTTGAGAAATTATCGTCTTTGTTCCCTCAATGGGGAGATGGATGGATTTACTACTTGAGATTTGAAGTTTCCCATCAAAATGATATTTCTGAATTATTGGAAAAAGCTGCAAATGAATCTTCTTGTGGTTATATTTGGGAAATGCAGAGAGCAAATAGTGATTTGGATGATAAATCATTATTACTGCAACTTATCAATGATATTCCTGATCCATCTAATCCTGATAGCTCAATATTTTGTAATTTGTTTGAATTATAAAAATAAAAAATGTTTGTTACTATTTTATAACAAAATTTTAATGGAAGAACTACTCTTCATAAAGCATTCTACTTTAAAAAAATTCTTCACACGTATTTTTCTTTATGGGTTCATTTCCCTATTCATATAGCAATAAAAATGAGGGGAAAAAATCTAATTAGTTGAAGTACTTACTTACTTTTCAATTGTTGGATCTGATTTCCAAAAAATATAAATATGGATATACTCCTCTTTATAATGCCGTAAAGATAAAAATAAACAGTTAAATTTCCTATTTTACAAGTTTTTACTGCAATTTCAAAAGGTATGCATGGATAAACTCCTACTCAAAGTGCAAGAAAAATGAAAAATCAAAAAGAGCTGGTGCTTCGTATTTTACGTTGCACAGATGTCGATAGCGCAAATATTTTTATGTGAAGTAAAAAAAAATCAAAAAAACTCATTTTATCAAGTAATATTGACCAAAAAAATACCGAGTCAAACTTTATCTTAAGAACCTTTGAGGGAAAAACAACACTTTACATAAGTGAAAGGATCTTGAATGGTATTTTATGATCAAAAAGAAATATTAAGTAAGTAATCTTTTGAATGTTTCAATCTTTTAGCTGAACAAGAACATGCAAAAACCTTTTTGTATCAATCAAACAATTAATATTTTTTATAAAATAAGAAACAAATCGTATAATATAAAATAGAAAAGACGTACTTTATCCTTTAGCTCTCAGCAAGCAAAGAATATCTTAATGATCTTTGATTTTATCTGATAATTGATCAAGTCAAAAATATATGAATATGGCAGTATCCGTTTGGAATGAAGGTATTGATATTGAATATTTCAGATAGTGTATGCAATGATATCCCATTACTACTATCCTGCTAAACAAGCAACTGAAAAATACAATGCATTGAAATTGAATGATGGTAAACACTAAATCTGAGAGAAAAAAAAATCAAATTGTTTTAGCTTCCAATGTCTAAACAAATTTGAAGAGAATGATGCCAAAACCTCAGTCATAAAAATTGAATAGTGTAAAATAAGGATTTTAAGTCAAAAATCAAGTCGTAGAAAACAAGTCAAAAAATTTATATTAGTTTAATTTATATATTTGTACTTCTAATCCATTTTTTGTTGATAGTAATTGAATTTCATTGCATAGAAAGCTCTAGTTGAAAGAAAAATAAATTAAATTTAAGATGCAGAAAAGTTTGGTTGTCAAAAGAGTATCACTTGTCTAAACATAATTAACACGAGTATGCAATAGAAGAATTTAACTAATATGCAGTTCTATTTGTTCAATATCCATGATTAAAAGGAGAAAGCTAGTTATTGTTCTATTTTTTTGTTTGCAATTGCTGAAAGTCCTCACACATTCTCAGTACGCATATATTTTAAAAGTCAGGGCTTAATTCCGACGAAAATTGAGAGTTAAAAATTTTAATAAGAAAAGTTTTAAATATGTGATGGATAGTATTTGAACATACTCATGAAGTAGTGCCTTTGTCATATGGTTAGATCCGTTGCAATATTATAGCTCAGTTTCTTGAGAAAAAAAAAAAACAATCATTTAAAAAACAAATTGTGTGTGCATTTGAAATGTGATTGATTTATATGCTAATAGTGATAAAAAATATCTACCTAAATTTTTTTTGACAAAAAAAATTAGAAATGTCACAACCAAAAGCTACTTTTTCTGGTTTGAGCCCAAACCAATGTGCTATATTGATAGAACATTACAATACTCAAATTGCCAAAGTCAAAGCCGATATAGAAACGTTAAAAGCAAACGCCCAAATTTGCACAATCCAGAAACTCAAATTTTCAACTGATGTCAATGACATTCTCAATTTTAAAGAATCGTTAGTGCATAAAATTACCAGTATGAATCCTAAAAATTCAAAAATTCGCGAAATTATTGTAAGTTCGAATAAGACGATGCTCATCAATAGCTCTAAAAATGTGCTTACCAAAAACTGGAATTTCACGTATGTTGATCAAGGATATAAAGATCAAAAAGTATCTAACGTTTTACAACTATCATCAGTAGGATTATTTAGATGTGCAAATTTTACTCCTAATGGTGATTTTATTGTTTGCGGAGTTTCCTCGAATTTATTATTAATTGAAACTTCTACCGGAAAAGTATATGCAAAGCATACGCTTCCATTTCCGGTAAGCAACTCATGCAAGAATATGGAATTCATATATAATGGTACCGTTTGCGTTTTATCTTTGGCCCCAACGATTATTGGCTTGTTCCAGCTATCAGGTCAATTTCAATCTTCATTACTTGTAGGGCATTCATCTCCTATTACAGTGTTCGCTATTTCAAAGGACGAAACTTCGTTGGTTTCCGGATCTGAAAATGGATCCGTTGTTGTATGGGATTGGATATCTAGATCGATTCTACAGACCCAAACACTTGACAATTCGCCAGTTGTAAGTATCTTTGCTTTTGATGAAAAATCATATTGTATTGGTTACTCGAGTGGAAAGATATTCATATATAATCATATATTAACTCGTAAGTTGGGAGAATTTAGTGTTCCAGAATCGCTCTATTTCGCTTCAAAAGCTAATAAAAATGAAATAATTACATGCACAAAGGATGGATCAATAAAAGTATGGTCGATTAAGAACGAAAAGCTCTCATGTAAGAATACTTTCATCTATAATAACCTGATCTCTGCAGGAATTTCTCCATCAGGTAATTATCTGGTCACGGGATCAAAAGATGAAATGGTCGCATTATGGGATCTTGAGCATGGTCGGAAACTGTTCAATATTCGACTCAATACAAACTCTGTCATTCATATTGCGCATAATCCAAAGAATACTTCATTTTTGACTTCCACTTCTGAAGGTAATATTAATATTTGGACATACACACTTCCGTCTGGCAATGAAATGGTCACTCAACAAAGGATTTTGAACATTAAATCCCTTTTGCAGTAATTTCCCAGCGTTTTACGGCCATTCAAAGGAGATTTCTCCTCTATTATAATAGTTGAAACCATTCTTGACTTGAAATTCTTTTGAAAAGCAAAAATTATTTCAATGATGAATTGGTTTTCTCATATTTGTATCTGTTTGTTATTAAGAATAAATTCTGTTATTCTAAAAACTATTCTTTTGCCTTTTTAACTATTTTACAATTTATAAATTTGATTCAATTTATTTTCAGACCCTAATACTTATAAAATATTGATTTCATAAAGAAATATGTTGAACAGTGTTGTAAATAGAGTGATGTGGTAATTAGATAATTTTGAATAATTCGAAGTCATGACTAAGCATATTAAGACATATGCATCAGACAAGCAGAAGCGCACAACTGAGAATATGAATGTTGCACAGAGAGAATATCCATCAAAACAAGAAATTTCTAAAAATACCAAAAATATTTTCATTAACTCGAATGATATTACGTTTTACACGCTATGCAAGTATTGCTCAACTCAAATAGATATCAATGATGCCATGTTACAAGAGAAAATCAATAACAAAACGATATATTTGAAACAAATTCTCGAATATCTACAAAATACGGATTGCTCGAAGATCTCGGATAAGTTATTACAAATATTCTTCTTCATGGTCGAGAAAAATCTCTTCCATGATAACTATTTCCCCTCAAATTTGAGTCCAGATTATCCATCTGAGGAAAAGTATGACATTTTTTGGGTTCACAACAAACTAATATACGCACAGTTGATGATCATCACTGAAAGTTTCCCAGAATACTTAAATTTTTCCTTAATTTACAGAATAATTTCAAATACTTTGTCAATTGACTCAAGAGAGAGGCAAACAGCTCTTAAATTCATCAGAAACATCTATGACAAGAATCTTGATGTCAGAAGTGATATAAAATCAGCAATAATTTCTCAATTATCTTTAATCAACGCTTCAAAGGAGTTTCTTGCATTCATTAGGTATATAATTGAAGACTATTTCAATGACAAACGAAATTATGTCTCAAAAATCAAAAAATTGACAAAAAATCTCAAAAATGATTTTATTGTCAAAAATGAAGAGATTGGTCAGGATTTCTTTATCGATTTGTTACTTCCCTTGCATAATCATGATAATTATGAGCTGTTTTCCGGTGAATTATTAGAAATCGAGTTTATTTTCTTCAAAAATGACACAAAACTCGTTGATTACTCGATAAAATACATTTTGATGCATTGGCCAATCACAAACATCAGGAAACAAGATGCTTTTCTGCGAGAAATCTTTGATCTTTTGCTAAATTTTCAAAATGTAATGAGTAATCAGGTGAAAATCGATTCGTTTGTAATGGTTTGCAAATGTATTGAGTCATTGAATGCAAATATCGCTAAAACAGCGATAAAAATCATAATTAATCCAGAATTTAAAGGAACTTTAGAGAAATTGTCAGTAATTTGTCTTCCTTTGTTGATAAGTTCGCTCAGAATCAATGTTGCAAAGCATTGGGATCCTGAAATCAGAAAAATCTCCCAAAAATCGATAAATTATTTGACAAATCTGGATCCAGTTGCATCAAAACGGAATCCTTATGATAAAAAGAAGGATTCGAGTTATAAAGATGATTGGAATACAATATATAAAATCGCAAACAAAAAGAAATCAAAAAATACCAAAAAAATTTGTAAACTTTTGAATTTTTAAAATGTCACTTTTTAATTACAAATTATACGTTTAAATTTTTTTATTATTTATTTTTCTCTCAAAAATGAAATCTTTTGTTAAGCTTCCTGGACCTATAGAATTTGTAGATGACTCGGATGATGATTTGTTTATTGTTAAAACTGTACAAAAGAGTAAAAATGTTAAGATAAATCCTAAACAAACTCCTAAATCAACTCCTATTTCAAAACATTCAGAGAAAAAAATTCCTGAAACAGAAATAAAGCCACCAGCAGATTCATCATTAGGACTATCACCAAAACTTAGTACTCCACAAAGCTCTCCAAAGAGAGAATCTCATAACACATCATCCATCCTAAGATCACCAGTTCCATCACCAAAACAAATATCACAGCATATTCAAACTTCTACTTTTAAAGTATCTGAAGATACAAAGAATTATTCAACGATTCTTAAACAAAAATCACCTGTTGTTGCTGAGAATACCGAAGAAGCTACAATAGAAGAAACCTATAGACAGTTATATAAAACTCATCGACAAGAAAACTTGGATTTATTAGCTGAAAAATTTGAACTTGAGAAAAAACTTCGTAGAACAAAATTAGAATGTCAGAAACGTTTAGCAAAGCAACGCGAAGCCAATAAAGTACTTAAGAGTACTTTAGATGCAGATTTAATGGAATCAAAGAAAAAATTATCAGATCAAGAAGGAAAACTTAAGATATCACTTGAGAATAGAAATACTGATGCAAAATACTCTGGATTGCAAACCGCAGAGCATGAAACTCAAAATACTTTAAAGTCATTCAAAGATGCAAAAGAAATTGTTGAAGCTGTAACAAGAATTTTGAAATTTTCCCCTCTTTCAGAGGCTGATTTCCTACCAATTCTTAGTACATTTGATTATTCCTCGGACATCGGTAGGAAACTGGAAGAATTCATAAATATAGCTAAGGTAGCCCTTTCTGATAATCAATAAAGTTATTTAGTTTTACTATTGTCTGTAAAAACCTATCCATGCACTTAAAACATATTTTTATCAATAGTCAATAAACATATCATACTTTATACCATATTATTTTTTGAAATATCACGATTTAAAACATTTAGTTTATTTCAAGCATTAGCATGTAATTGTGACCTAATTTTTGGTTTGTCCCATCGAATCAACTAATAAAATGAAACGAAGACTTGACCATGAAATTTATCATTTCTTTTATGAGAAAAATACTCAGGCTTATCGTCACAATTGCACAAAATTTCACAATTAAGCTTATCTTTGATATACTTTCATGAAAAATAAACTCAAGTTGGAATGGTTGAGATTTTTTCATAAGAAATCAGGTAAAAGTAACGAATAGTATGTCATTCATGACAGTACTAGAGTAAATAGAAATATATATGTAATTGGCAAAGAAAAAAAAAATATAATTTAATAGAATTTATTGATTTGCCTTATCTTGACGTTCTAATTGTTCAAGACGTTGGGCTATAAGCTGAACAAGTAATGGTGTTTTGTCATAGCTTCTAAGCTTTAGGCGTTGTGCTAATGTTCTACGATCTTCTTTAATTGTAGGATGAAGTGATTCATAACGAAGAACTTCTGGAGCTGTAACCAATCCAATAGATTGGAGATATTCTTGAATTAATAAATATTCTGTTTGTTCTAATCCTTCTTTATCAATTCCTTCGATTTCGTTTGGCATTTGAATTTGTTGCTTGCTTCTAGCTTGTTCTTCGGCCTGTGCCTTAGCCTGGTCGAGAATGGCTTGAGAAACATTATTATCTTCTTCGAACTCAATCATAATTTAAAAACAAAAATCGTTTGACGATTAAAAAAACTGCTTTCGATGTAAGGAAGAATTTTTTTGTTCAGAGGCGTGAAGATAGTTTCGGATAGTCTAAATAATAAAATTAGGGTTGTGAAGTAAGTTAATATATTGTTGCTAGAATTTCGTTGAAAAATGCGTTTATTTTTGAAAAATTGATTCATTGATTACTAGCATTCAAAGCTCCAACACCTTTCGTTATCCATACGCAGTATATTGGTTCGCTGATCATAAGTTAAATACCATATCAATTATAGATTTAAAAAAATTATTCATTAAAATATGATTTTGGAATATATATTTCAAACCTTTTAGAATCTGATGTGTATAAGTATCCAAAATGGAAGAATTAATATTCTAAAACTTCATAAATATTATTTCATATTTTTTTATATTCAACATTAGATTAAAAGAAAATAATGATTGTTATATTTTTCAGAAAGTAAACTAAAGACATTGTTGCTTTAAAAGAACATCCTTATAATTCTTTATTATTAATTTCATCATTACTTTCTAAGATGAGATTATCAAATGTTACTTCTTGGCCATTTCTATCAATGAACAGAAAGGCAGAATAGTCAAATTCTAATAATGACTTTAAATACATTGTAGGAACTACTCCAAGGTTCTCTAGCTGCTCCTTGTATGGAGTATGATGATTTGGAACAATTACGCACTTCATTCCGCCTGAAATTGCAGCTTTCACTCCATTTGGGGCATCTTCGAAAACAAGAACTTCACTAGGATCTGTTATATTCAACTTTTCCATTGTTTTCACGAATATTTCTGGATTTGGTTTTCCGTGGGTTATTTCGCTTCCAAATGTAGTTGCCTCAATCTTTGAGAAAATATCTTGATGGTTAGCTATTTTGGCTTCATGATGAACTCTTTTACCACCTGTTGAAACTCCCATCTTGATATTATGCTTAGCAAATTTTTGAACAATTTCTCTTGCACCTGGGAGTACTTCACTAAAAGGATACAAGTAATCAGCACATATGTCAATCTTTCTCATAAATTCGGCAGGATCGCCAGTTATATTGTACATTTCCATGAGGAATTTTCCTAATTGAATGCCAGTCAATCCCATTGCTTTAACATGAATGTCAGTTGTAAGTTCCATTCCAGTGACATTTTTAAAACAATCTGCAAAGATCTTCTCTGAATCTAATAACAATCCATCAACATCAAATATAATGCCACGAATCCTTGCAAGGCTCAGTAGTGCTACAATCATTAGTTGTGAACTAAAATGGAAATTTAACGAACTATCTTTGAGAAAAAATCCAAAAAAAAAACATCGAAAGTAACAATTTTATTCTATATTTTGGTTTTAAATGATGTAATACAAATAATGAAAATTTATCCATGATGCGAATAGTCGTCAAAAACCGTCAGACGATAATGAATTACACCTTTCAAAATTTTATAAAATCTCCAACATATCAGAGACAATTCTATTTTCTTCAATTATTTATTATATGAATAATCCTCTTTTTTTTATCAGAATTGCACAAGATTGATGGTAAAATTTGATTAGCATTCAATAGATTATTTGTTTATAATTCGGTACTGTGGTTTTATTCCCTGAACTACTTTCGTAAAACCTTTTTTTTAATTATATAGTCTTGTAAAAAATTATATCAGATGATAGCTTACGAGGTGCCAATTCTATATCAGCATTTCGTAGACTATCATTTCGTCTAAATTTTTTGTTTAGATGAGAGAGAAGCTCTTTTAAAATATAATAATCAAATTTTGAGATTATAATATTACTATATGACTTCAGCAGAAGCTCTTGTCCATCCAAGACTTCTCATTATTTAAGTAATAACAGAGCAAAGTTTATGGAGCTTCATATATTGCTCCAAAACTCTTTGAAAAACAATTTAATTTTGATTATCATATTTTCATATTAGAACCATATTTTTCGACTAACATCTATGTTACATATTATCATCTTATTTTAATGAGTGGATTAATACTATATCAATATAGGACAAGATAAAGTCTTCAATATTCAAACATTATACCTCTATTTTCACCGTTATATATTTATTAATTCATTTTCTCCCAAACAAATTTTTTATGCTGTACCAAAAATCTTTTTTAAGGTTGCAATTACCGCATTCTTGTATTCTATTTGAATCAAGTTTTCAATACAAAGTATTTTAAATATCTCGTTCTAAGAAGGATATTAAGAGATCATATATATATTAGGTGATGTAAAAATTAAAATATTTTGAAAAGTTGATAAATTAAATTTTTAAATAAGTAAGTATATGATTAAGTTAATTGGCACAAATAGTTTTTAAGTAATCTTTTACTTCATTTGTTGCAACCATCAGTGCAGTATCTCCATTATTATTCTTTGCTTCTTTATTAGCTCCAATTGAGATAAGATATTGAACAACATCAAGTTCACCATCTTTTGATGCCCAAATGAGTGGAGTAGATCCATCATTATTCTTTGCTTCTTTATTAGCTCCAATTGAGATAAGATATTGAACAACATCAAGGTTACCAGTCATTGATGCCCAAATGAGTGGAGTATATCCATCATTATTCTTTGCTTCTTTATTAGCTCCAACTGAGATAAGATATTGAACAACATCAAGCTTACCATAACTTGATGCCCAAATGAGTGGAGTAAATCCTTTATTCTTTGCTTCTTTATTAGCTCCAACTGAGATAAGATATTGAACAACATCAAGCTTACCATAACTTGATGCCCAAATGAGTGGAGTAATCCTTACTATCCTTTGCTTCTTTGTCACAGCCACATTCGATGAGTGATCGAACAAGTCTGAGATTTCCGTTTTCGCTTGCATAATGAAGAACATTCCTCTCAAGATTCCATGTATATTTTGTAGGAGCAATCTTTTGCCAAAGTCCTGATTCGATTGATTTTGAAATCATTTCATGGTTTCCATTAGAAGAAAGTTCATCAAGGAATTTGTAAACGGCTTCAAAATCATTAGATTCCTTAAGTTCTGTGATTTGAGTTAAAATATCTTGTGAATGATTGTGATTTTCATTAGTTACATTGGTAGTCGTTTCTTTGGTTGAATTTTCACTTACATTTTCATTTTCAATTTCATTCTCATGTTGAAACACTTTGCATTTATCTTGAAATATTTCGGTTTTGTTAGTAGAATCGTTTATTACTTCCTCATGCTGTTTTAAAAAATCAATAATGCCATCAAATATATTGAATTTCATGTATTTCTTGACAGATTTCAGAATTGAAACGACTTCTTCGAAGTTTTTGATAGTAACATTTGCTTTTCGTGTACATGTATATAATTCTTTGCCATTGATAGTTGATGATGATTGTTTCAGAAGAGTAACGTATTGATCTGCTGTAAAACGTGAATATTTCATGATTGTTTTGATATCTCGAATATCAAATGTATCGAAGAAGTTTTCATTATTAATATAATCGCTGATATGAGCAGCAATGTATTCGAAATTCAGATCCATGTCCTATTTCGTTTTTGAAAAAAACCGCAACTTTACAAAATAATCTAAAAAAAATAAATAAAAAATAAAAATTTTTGTTCAAAATTAATACTTTATTTATATGGCGATCTATTCATTTGTAAAAAAACAAACAAGCAAATCATATTTCTTTGTGAAGATATAAATTTTGTAAAGATCTTACCAAATTTGTTATAATACAATTTCTGCCCTCAGGTTACTATGCTTAACATTCCGAAAAGTATGTCACCTTCGGCAAAATTAACATAAAACAAGTGTTTATTCAAATAAATTTGAGTGGGATTAAGGATGTCAATTCGGAAAATTGTTTTCATTTTAGGAGAATATAATTTTCCTTTTCGAAAATTTAAAAAGTGAGACGCGCAGGATTCGAACTTTTTTAAAAGTTGATTTAAATATATTCTAGTGTGGATTCTAAGGATAATATCATATTTAAAATAAGAATATACTAGTTTAGGTGGTATAATTTTTTCGATAAATTTGAGAGCATGTACGTTTAGGGCATCAAAAGTGTCAATTCGCTCAGCGAAAGCTGAGCTAGCTTCGTTCTCGAAAGAATAGGGAAGGAGTGAAAGAGAGTGATACAGATGTTGACACATTCATATCATTTCAACAAATTTTGATCAAATTGAAATTCAATGAAATTCAATTCACTTCATATCCTTCAGTCAGTACATTGACATCCTTCTACATCACAATGATAACTCGTGCATCAATAGTTCTACAACTAACTCAGAAAAAACAAGATTATTACTTCCTGCTTACAGCTTTTAAAAAGTTTCGATGATAAAAATCACTCTACTCTTGTTTATCGATATGTTGTGATAGTAGGTAAACGTATTCTTATCGATATTAATAAAAATATTTTTACGAAAATCTGAACCAATTACAGAGTTATTCATAAAGTTTATGATAACTGTAATTACTTCATCTTTGTTTTATATTTGAATAAACAATTTAATTTAATTTGCATAATTTTTTTTAGTTGAAAGACAGGAAACTTAGTTGAGTTTGTATTATTTTTATCGTTCAATTCATTGTATATGTGAGTGATCCAGATATTTAAGATATTTAGAAAAAATTTATTAATTTGATTAACAAATTTTAATCAAAATAGCAAAAATCTATTTGATAGCTGTAAGCAAATAATAATTTCTATTTCAACCAAAATCACTTATTTTCATCTAAACGTATAAAATTGTCAATTTTATGAAAATAAATTTAAAATCTCATGAAATATAAAGGAGAGTAATATTTTTCAATTTTCTTTTTTTCTTTCTCTCAAATATTTTCTATTGGGAATTTTCTTGTTATCAAAAAATAATTTTAATATTTGTTTATTTCATTACATACAATAAAATTTAAAAAACTCTATTTCTTCACAAGAAATTTTTTTTCCTTCATATGAAGAAACATTTTGTTCTCCATTTGATGCTGAGTCTAAATCTCGATTTTTGAATTTTCTTCTTTCCAAATTTCTTTTTTCCAAATTAGAAGTTTAATTCAAATTTTCAATAGTTTATATATTTTCTCAAACCGTCTTAGATTTTCTCACTTTTTAGGGATTTTCTCTCAAAATATACAAAAATAGTAAGACCAATACATGTGTCTAATATACTTTAAAACCATCGTGATAAAATTCAAAACCGAAGAGTTCTTCTCTCCAAATTTTTTTCAAAATCAAAAAAATGAGATAAAAAAATACGTTTGGAAAATTCATTTTTAGCATTTTAGGAATTTTCTCACTTTTCTTCCAAATTGACATCCTTAGTGGGATTGGTTAAAATTCGATTTAAAAGATTGTTATGTAAAATATAAGATAAACTTTTTGTATCGACGAATTAATTTCGAGGAAATTATTTGATATTAGAGAATCCCATTTTTGTGACAGTATCCTCTAATGTTCATTATAAAAAGGAGAGAAAATATCCAATATTGAACCAAAATTTATAAAAAATAGTGAAAAAGAATAAAATTATTATGACAAATAAAAGGGGGGAACTTCGTCGACAACAAAGGTATCGACCAAAATTGTTCCCATTATGCTTGACATATGAAGTATAGTAATAGTGTGTATGGACTCATAGAATGACTTTCGTTTGATTTCGAGATATATTATCATCTTCTAAAATATCCATATTTTACTTGATAACCCATATGTATTATCGTATTATGAAAATTAAACGAAAAATATGGCTCAAGACGAGCAAAATTCGATGCTAAAAAAGTAAATTGTTTATTGATTAGGGTGCTTTCAGGTATTTTTCTGAAGTAACACTTTATTCGTTTTTCTTTCTACATGTGAATATAAAACATGCACAAATAAGTATTTATAATTAAAAAAATTATTCGAATTGGGTAATTAAATCGTTAGATCTTAGATTTTATTAATCATTTCTTCTTAAAATGAGACTGTGGTAATGGGAACTGTGTATGAGAGTTGCAGTATTGTTAAATTGCGCGAAATGTTGATAAGTTTCAAAAACGATTTGTAGTATGTTCAAGTATATTAGAATTTAATAATATGTGATAACATCGACTGCAAACAAAAGATTTTAAGTGATTGATGAAAATCGATATCAATATTTAAAATTTTCGAGGTTTTTTTGACTGATAGCAATTGCTTTTGACACCTAGAATGAAGTTCTCCTTGGTGAGTTTCTCCAAATTTTTTCCATTTTAGAAAAAGCCTATGCAATTTTCTAAAAAATGATAACGTTTTTTTTAATTCTCGATTTTTTTTGGAAAAATGAGGTTAATTTTTTTGAAAATTTATAATTTAGAGAGAAATAAACCTTTTTCATTGTGTTATAAATCGATGAAACCTTTTTATTTTTGTTATTCTATAATATTTCTATTAAAATATATCACTTATACAGCAAAATCATATAACTATTTTTCAAAGATATAGAAAAGAAGTATATATTCCTAAATTATAAATCAGTCATAGTTTACTATCAAAAATAATATATTATTCTATATAGATAACCATCCATTGTTAGCAATTTAAAATTATTTCTGGTTCAAATTAAGGATTATCCTCACATGTTTAGAAAATATTGTAAACATCCAGAAAACAATCAATAATATCATGATTTTATTAACAGATGAGTTCAAGATATATATTGTGATTTGATTTTCGATAATAAATCTGAATCAAATGTATATTAAACTCGCACATTTAGTCTCTATCATAATAATGTTATCAGTAGTGACTATGGCTACAAAACAAGCAACATTAGATCTGTATCTCATAATCAAACGGAAGTTAAGATAAGATATTTGAGATTTTATCACCTGGTAGTATGCATGATACTATACCAGAATGAATAGTCAATCTGTTGTCTTAATATCGTTTTAATTTTTTTATGCCAAAATAGTACTCTGGCTATCATTGGTAATACGTAAGGTTGCTATTGTTGTAATATTTCGAATAAATAAAGGTATCAACTTTAATGCAAGATATGATGAGTTGAACATCGAATAATTGGGTTTTTGTAATATTAATATTCTTTAGTCCCTACTATATCATTGTTTCATACTAATAACGTGGATCAATTCCGTTTCAATGATCAGATAAAGCAGAAACAATATACTCAGGTGCCACTTTTTTGGTCTAAAAAATGAGTTCCCCCTTTTTGACAAATAGATTTAACGATAGTTACTGATATGTGATATTTGATTAAAAATATGGATTATTACTATCATTCAAAATCAAAATCTCTTCAATTCAAATTTTGTGAAGTTTATACATCCCCAAAATCAACATTCGGATACGATAAAAATCAAAAATTTTATGGATAAATGCTACCATTATATATTACTGAAATATTTTCTCTCAAAGTCCACTGATTCATTATGAGTGGCAGAATTTTTGTGGGAAAATCCTAAAAAGTGTCAGTATCCGACAAAAGCATGGAAGGAAAAGTACCCAATAAACCACCATATTCTTTTTTCGATGCTCCCATCCCCCGTGTTAATAAAGAAATGTTCCCGGTTGATCCAGCAATTATCGGACGCTCAATTCCACGTCCTTGTCGTCCAATAGGGCAAATTTCCCAGAAATATGCCCACACTCCAATCAAGACACTGCAACAGGGATTTCATGAGGTTAGATATTCTAGTTGTCAGTCTAATTTGTTTGATTAAACCTCTTATATTATTTACTCGTTTACAAAAACAAAGAAAACCCTCAAAATCTATTTTAAAAATTATGTATTTATAACATACTTCTTCTAAGCCCTACAAATCCTTTCATATTTGATAATCTTTTTTTCAAAATTATTTGAACAATCTATTTTAACTCGTCTTAATTAAGATCACACTTCTAATTCAAACTATATTTAATTGGGTCGGAAGGTTATTCAAATAATAGAACAAGCCAAGCTTATTTTCCAATTATCAATATCCCTTAATTTCTAATTAAAACAAAGCTTTTGTTGATTTTAGGTACCAACTTTTTAACAGTATAAGATAGAAACGAAGCTAAAGATAGCTTTCATGATATATATAAATTTTAATCTTCTATTGAAATGATACTATACTTCACCTTGAACAACAGTGATGAATCCGCAGCCATATCCATATATGAACACCTTCAAAATTAAAGAAACTTCAATCATCGCTTGCCACTCGGAAAAATTCTGCAGCAAAGCGAAAGAAAATGCATAATTTAAAGATAGAAATAATATTATAATTTATTTCCTTTAGTAGGCTCATTTTCGAAGTTCCAAAATGCAACAAAAAATAATTTAATAATATTAGAGTATGATAATCGGTAATATAAAAATGGGTTTTTTCGACATTCTTTTCTTGAAATTTCTTCCAAAACTGCAATTGTTGAATGTCGTAAATTCAAAATGAATAGTAAAATCTGATCCTGCATGTCTTGTTTTTTCTATATTTTGCAATCTTGGCCATTTCTATCAAAAGGTTAAACACCATTGAAAGGATTTGAAAGATCTTTCAATTCCGTTTCATATTTAATTTATAAAAATATTAACCATAATAATAAATCATAAAAACTTAATAATCTGTTAATTTTAAAATGCTTTCCGAAAATATTGAAAATTTGAGTTGAATTAATGTATGATACGGCAAAGTAAATAAACGGATTGACTGAGAGCGAAGATGGAAACTTAGTAAATATTATTGTTTTCATCATTATGTCGTGCATATTCGAAGTTTAAAAAATAATTGAGAAAGGCTTCTCAAAAATCTCAACATTGAATACCTTTTCAAAAACCAGGGAAAATCTATTGATCCACTAGTATAGCTTTACAATTAATAACGTAAGAAAACCGAATTTTAAACGAAGTATTGAAAAATTCATATCCAATCAATGAGCTCTGAAGGCGAGCGTGGGCATAGACACCATCGTAAGCATCGTCATGATGATACAGATGAGAGTGTTGATGAGATAGAAAACTCTGATCATGAAGAAAAGCCTTCTAAACATTCAAAACATGATTCAGACAACGAAGAAAAACAAAAAGAAAAGAAGTCATCTTCTAAAAATGATGATGCTACAAAGGCTTATGAATATGATCCAGATTTCCATGGAGCAGTTCCAGAACGTAAATGTACAGATTGCTGCATGTTAATTATATTCAACATCTTCTTAGCAGGTATGATTGCTCTCTTTGCTTACTCCCTTACCCGTTCCAACCCCAAGTATCTTTATATCCCTACAGATTACAGAAATCTTTTGTGCGGATACGACAATTCCAAACTCAAAGTTGATAATTCTTCCCTTCTCCCTAATTTAGAAGACCGCCCATACTTGTTCTGGGTCAGACCAGGAAAGAAAGGCTATGTTCGCTCATTCTGCGTCAAAGAGTGCCCAACTGAAGGTCTTTTCTCAGATGCATTCCTTGCAAACTTAATAGACCAAGAATTACACAATGATACAATTGGTGGCGAAAAAGATGAAAAATGTCACGATTCAAACGTTACAAAACGCACAGTTCCAGGCTACAAAGTACCAGAGAACAGTTCAGATGTTTCTTATTACTGCGCATACGCCACAAAGCAAGTTCTGAAGAGATGTATGCCAACAACTGACGCTCTTCCAGATACAGAGGTCAATTTGTCCGATTACACAAAGATCTTCAAGGAATCACTTAGCGCTCAGACTCTTTTGACCGCATTTTCGGACATTTTCAATGCCAAGTGGTATATTGCCATTTTCACAGCCGCTTCTCTTGTTTTAGCCTTTATTTGGATTATATTACTCAGATTCACCGCCGCATTCTTCGTTTGGTTCACTGTTCTCCTTGCATTTGCCGTATCTGCCTTAATCACAGCTCTTTGCTACGGAATGAAGACAGACTACTTCAAGATGGCCGGCAAGACCCAAGCCTACACTCTTGGCTTGATTTCTAAGGACCTCAACGCCAAGATATTCAATGTTTTGTTCTGGGTCTGCATTGCATGGGACATTGTCTTCACCCTCATCTTCCTCTTCCTCTGCGACAGGATCAGGATCTCCGTCAACATCATCAAGATCGTTTCCAAGGTATTTGGCCAAGTCAAGACCTTATTTATTTTCCCTATCTTCATCTACATCCTCATGTTCATCTGGTGGATCTACATCATCGGTGTTGCCATTGTTATCTACGGCGCAGGCACTCCTGTCTTTATTTACGATTCAAACATCGGAAACATGGTCGAATACAAGTACGATCAGATTCTCAAATACCTCTCGATCTACCACTTCTTCGGATTCCTCTGGGTTTCCGTTTTCATCTCTGATCTCGGCGAGATGGCTCTTGCTGGCGTTTTCGCAGCCTGGTACTTCAACAAGGATCCACGTCGCGAGCACATGGGCAAGATTCCAGTACTCAGAAGCTTCGGAAGAGCTTTAAGATATCATATGGGTTCTCTTGCAACAGGATCATTGATTATCGCTATCTGCAAATTCATCAGGTACTGCATTGAGTACATCCAGCTCAAAACAAAGGACGCTCAGTCCACATTTGTCAAATGGATTGTCAGATGTCTTATTTGCTGCTTCAAATGCCTCGAAAAGTTCCTCAAATACATCAATCGCAACTGCTACATCCTCATCGCCATCCACGGCTACAACTTCTTCCAGGGATGCAAACACGCGTTCGAACTCATCACTAGAAACATCGTAAGAGTTGTAACAATCAACTGGGTCGGTGATTTCACTCTTTTCCTCGGAAGAGTCTTCATTTCTGGTATTGCAACAGCTGTTTCTCTCTACATCTTCATGAAGAAAGAGGATATAGAGTTCTACTGCGTTCCTGCAGCTGTTGTTTTCGTTCTCAGCTTCATTGTTTCTGGTGTATTCACTGAGTTGTTCGAAATGGGCATTGACTCAATGTTCCTCTGCTTCATGGAGGATTGCGAGAGAAATGAGGGACACGAGATGTACACACCAGAAGAGTTGAGATCTTGGATCCACAAAGATAAGGAAAACTCTAATGAAGAAAACCAAAGTTAACTTTTTATTTAATAATAATTTTTTTTAATTGTTTGAAAATATAATTTCAATGGGAATTAAATAAAACTTTTTTTTATTTTCATTTTAATTTTATTCATTATTGTTTGATATCTCATACCTTTGCGAATATTTTCATTTTCACTTGGGATAGATGAAGATGGAAGAACAACTTATCATCAAGCAGCATTAAATAATTGTAAAGAATCAGCTGATATTCTTATTTCACGTGGTGCGAATGTCAATGATCCTGTAAAATTAGGATGGAAATGTATCTCTTCATTATGCAGCATTAAATAATTGTAAAGAATCAGCTGATATTCTTATTTCACGTGGTGCGAATGTCAATGATCCTGTAAAATTAGGATGGAAATGTATCTCTTCATTATGCAGCATTATATAAAAGAAAAGAAATGGCCGAATTTCTGATGTAGCATGGTGCAACTATCAATAACTTTTGTTAAAAAAAATAGATTTTAAAAAAAGTGGAATTTGGATCATTTTTGAGATTATCTAGGCAAATGTTCCCATAAAAATCTTTTTCCTTTTGTGATACAAGAGATATATGAAGCATTCTAACTCATCCAGTCAGTGCATCATCTCATATGAATGTCTTTCCTTTCATATTAATGAAAGAAATTTGGAAATGCTTTTACAAAAGGGTCATTAGCATATAATATAAAGTACATATTAACTAAGATTAGTATACACCTCAAGATTAGATTCATAGCAAAATTGAAATCGTGATTTTTTTCAAATCATGAAATAGACGATTAATTTCACTTGTGATTTAATGTAATGTATATTCTACTGTTAGATATCATAAACAAATTAGCTAGATTCAGTGTTTTGATATATGATGAGAATTGAAAGGTTTACAACGGTTTTGAATTGGTCTTCCTTTTTTACAATGGGTGCTGGTACACCATCATTCGGTCCAAGACATAACAAGACACACACAATCTGCCGCCGCTGTGGCAACCGCTGCTTCCACATTCAGAAGAGCAAATGCGCTAAGTGTGGCTATCCAGACGCTACAATGCGCCATTATGACTGGGAAAAGAAGGCCCACCGCAAGCGTGCTCAGGGCTCTGGCGAAATGCGCCACCTTAAGGTTACATTTGCTAAGCTCCAGCGTGCTTATGCTCCAAAATAAATCGGATGCCGTAAATGTACCTTGATTTTTAGATTTTTAAATATTAAAAATTATAACTGCTAGACTCACTCATAAATCTAAAAGTTGTCTAAATTTTTTTACCTACAAAATTCAATATGAAAAATATTGAATTTTTTTTCGATGAGTATCTAAAAACTGACTAATTAGACATATTCTGTTATCATTTTATAATACAAATACACGTTTTATGAAAATCTATTAAACAATTTAAAAAACACGATAAATGCTGTTAACTCATGATGTCTTTGAGTTACAATTTTGCACGTACCTTATTATCGGAGCTTCCATGGTTCTTTTTAACACGTATCTTTACCATATTATTCAAAGAAGCTCCTGGTCTGTAAGAAACAGCGTGTTTGAATGCTCCGTAGTCGAATTTAGAAGAATCTTGCTTTTCAGTCTTTTTAGGATCTGTTTTTAATGGATCAGCGTAATGTTTTCTTTTGGTGGGTTCTTTCTGTTCGGTTACAATATTTTCTGGACTATCTATAAGCCCAAGAGCCTTTTGGAGTTTGATAAATGTTGGTTCATACTTATTTTCAAGAAAATTCTTAATTTCATCAAAGAACTCTGTAACTTTAACGTCACTGATGGAAGCGCATATTGGTAGCGAGAGTCGTGAGTATAAAAGTACTTGGGAAAAGTCTTGTTCATTAAGGTCTTCTGTTATACCGTTTGTTTCGGAAATTTCGAAGATCAGAAGGATACAAAGCAAGTAAGCACGAACCTTCGCTAATGGATCGCCTAATTGTTCTCTTATCTCTGGGATAGTAAATAACAAATTTGAAATCTCTTCAATTGACAGCGAAGATGGAATGATTGCATCGGAAACTATACTACTGACTGATCTATCCCCTTTTTTAATAAGATCTACAATGAACGTTTTCGTTGGCGCGCTAGTCATAAATGACTTTACAAAAATTGGCGCGAATTTCATAGTTTGACATACTTTACGTGTCAAAAATCATCATTTAAAATGATTTTGGATTATTTTTTGTATTCCATGACTATTTATTGTCATTGATATTTTATTTGTTTAATATACATTAAAGAGGATTCTTTTTTCAATTAATGAATGCTTTTACCGAAAGATATTGTGAGTAGTATATGTGGACGGGTTTAGTGACTTTTTTTGTTACATCTATATATAGACGATGCATTAAAATATATTTATTTATAAATCATTAAAAAATTAACATTAATTTTAAAATAATTTATTTTTTTATCTTTTATAAAAGAAGCTATATATAGATGATGTCAGATATTCCGCGATTAATTAAACATTGTTTAAATCCTGAATGGGTTAAACTTCAATTTAAAAATGAAGATTGTGAATTATTAAATGAATATGAAAACCAAAATAAGATAATGAGGTATAAATATAATGATAAAGAATATTTAATTTCATGGAATCAATGGAGTCATAATCAAAGACCTCATAAACGAGAAGAAGAAATTGAAAATAATGAAATGGAAATCATTGATGACATTAAAGAGGATGGAATTCCTAAATTTTGTAGAAAAACCTTTAGAACTAAGTTAGGAGCATATAAACGTAGAGTATTAAATCCTGAATATCTTAAACATCAATTTAAAAAGGAAGACTGTGAATTATTAAACGCTAATGAATATGAAAATGCTAAATCAAAACTGAGATATAAATATATTGGAAGTGATGAAAGGTGTAAAGATAAAGATAAAGTTTATTCAGTTTCATATAATAACTGGCACACGTTAGGGATAAGAAAACATTTAGGAGATTATGGGAAATGTTCTGAATTCTTTAAATCTAGTATATACGAGAGAGTAAAGAAATTAGAAATAATTATTTTCATGAATAAAAAATAAACTTTAAAAATTCATGTCTTACATTTTTGAATAATTTATTTTTTTAATTCGTAAGAAATGAGTGAATCAAAATTCGTGACTGTGAATAAATTAATGGATAAACTTTCACCAATTCTCACCCAGGTTAAACAAGTAGACGTTTATTTTGATGATTACATACAAAGTTTATTTTATAAAAGGTAAGTTTAATATTAAACCTATTGCTTTTGCATTTGATGGTAAATTAATCGAAAATTCAAAAATTTGGGAATTAATTCCAGATATTGAATTTATAACAAATATTAAGGATAAATGGTTTAAAACAAAACCACCTCACTAAAGTTCTTTGTAGATTAATGATTAAAACTGAGGAAAAAGAATTTAACGGGTTTAAATATCAATCCGTGTAAAATTTTAGAACTTGGTAACGAAAAACTTCAGAAAAAAATTAAACGAAAGACTATCAAAAGATAAAGTTGAAAGAGTAAATAAACTTGCTAAAGGTAATGGTAATGGTAATGATGAAGAAGAATTTGATGAGTTCAACATAGAACTTTAAGAAACTAATGATTATTTGAATTTATGAAATCAATTATTTGATTCATTCTTTCTTCAATCTCTTCTATTCTTTTTGTTAAATCATCAATTTTCATTAATGAGGTGATTCTTGATTGAGGAATAGATTTCAAACTAACCACCCTTTTATTTTTGAAATTTTGAATCCGTCAACTTTAAACATTTTATTCAATTTACATGTTGTCAATTCTTCAAATAATTTTTTATTATTAGCATAATAGTCATTAAATTCTTCAACAGATGAAAAAATTTTTATTTCAGTAATTGGTTTAACAACGTTTATTTTTTGTTGAACATTTTCACTTTCATTTATTTCTTCCTCCTCTGTTTCATTTATTTTTAAAATCGGTTTCATTTATCATTAAATAAAAATTAGAATATAAGTGATGAAATATATTTTTTTAATTAATATTAAATCAGAAATGGCGGCAGGATTCTTTAAAAAATTATGGGATAGGAATTAAGAAAGCTGCGGGTTGGGTTTATAAAAAGATTATTAAACCCGTTGCAAACTTTTTGGCACCAGTAGCGAAAACGGCAGGAACTATCATAGGTGGAGTATTAGGTACTAAAGCAGGTAATCCGGATGGGAGCACAAGCAGGTAACGCAGTTGGTGGAATAGCTGAAGGAATACTTAATAAAATAGGGGTAGATAGTGGAAAATAAATTATTTAAATTATTTTTATCTTAGTATCGGTTGTAGTCTTTGATAAACTTTTTCTCCTTTATTTAAAACTTCTCTTATTGGGGCAGCTTTTGGTGTTATTGATTCAGCAACGTCACTAATTGCTTCTTTATTCTTAAATATCCAATTTGCTCCCTTTTCAATGTTTCCCAAACTTTACTCGCCCTCTCTTTTTACTCTATCCCACAGTTTCTTAAATATACCTGCAGCCATAGTTGATTATTTCATTAAAATTAAAAATTCATTTTCATCTTTTAATTTTGATTTTTTATTTATTAATAAATGACGACTAACTATTTAGTGCCAAACACCAAACCGATTAATGGAAATGTGTTTCATTCATTCGAAAAGATAAATGAAATATTCGCAAAGAATGACGGTAGAAGATATTATAGAGAACTTGAAAGTTCATGCTATGACTCTGATGCTCCATATTTTGATGATAAACAAACTCATTTAAGAATTACAAATCCGGCTCATGATGTGAACCAATTAGGTGACACATATATTAAACGCAAAGTTAAAGCAACTCTAGTTTCAAATAAAGCTTTCACATGTGATGCCGCTTTTAAATGTATGCGTTTATTCGTTGGTTACAAATCATCAAATCAAAGCTTTAAACAATTAGAAGTAGAAACCGAAAGAGGTGATGCCGGTTATCTTCAGATGGATTGCGCCCGTGAATCTTTTGCATTTGCAACATATAAACCAAAATCAGAAAGGAAAGTTAAAAAGTTTGTTCATTCGTTATATATAATGTTCAAAAATATGATAACTCAGTATGTGGTAAATATATTGACCCTTCAGAAGTTTTCAAGAAAGCAAATGAAGAAGTTGATGTCACTTTTGATATGATTATTCCGGTAAATGATTTGTTAGCATTTCAGGCGTTCGATGATTATCCTAAATCATTTGGTGATATCATTCTTAAATATTATGTTTTCAGGGATACTTTAGTATTTTGTCAGGTTGACCCGTTAAGAGTTGCTGATTTACAAAATTACGTTTATGAAAAGATAACTGATGAAAATTATGAAAAGATTATGAATCATGTTTATAAATATGATCGCAAATTCCAACAAATCGGACTTCCTGCCAAATTAATTACAAGCTTAGCCGCTACATCTGCTGACGCAACAGTTGATAACGTTATTATTTCATGCACAAAGATGGAAGTTTTAGAGGATAAATGCATTACACCAGGATACGGTTTAATTGAAGAATCAGTTAAAGCAATACCACGTTTATTTAGTAAGGAAGATCCATTCATGATTCCAGCTCAACATATTGACGTTCGTTCACTAAATGGAGGTTGCATCACTCCTGAAGGTATTAGCTCAGATTTCTCATACGCTCTTCATAATGTTACAGATGTTGTGTTAACATTTCCGAAGAATGCAATGCAAAGAACAGTTTTAGAAAATCCAATGCTTCGAGGTCTTCAGGTCACTATAGATTCCAGAAACTTCCCCGATCAAGCGATGACCACAGTGGGTGACATATTCTTTACACGTATGCTTCAAGCTTCTGATTTAGATGGAGTGAATGAATGCACGGAAGAATACGAGGACTCATTAACTAGACCACTGAATGATGATGATGGCGCGCCATTAGCTAGAACATGGAAAGACCAAACTTCATTCTTATGCACTATTCCAGTTCAACGTGATGGAGCGGGTATATTCTTTGATGGATTAGAAACTTTCAACTCACAAGTTACAGTACAAGTGAAAGCTTATCCAATCATTCAGGGTGAAAATGACACTTACTGTTCAAAGGTGACAAATCCTCCTCAGGTTTGGTTTACTAGGACTACATATTGGACATGGACACCGGATGAAGGTTTGAAATATCATCCAACAGGTACACCACCACAGTATAGAAGTTCATATGATGAAATATTGATGAATAGAAATGTTTAAAATTATAAATTTATTTTTGATTAAATGGATTTAAATTCATCCACCCCTTATGAAGAATTAGCAGGAGTATATAATACATACATAGATGATATGATTAATGAAGCATTGAGTGATAATAGAAATGCTCTATCTAAGGAAAAATTAATGAAAATTCATATTCTGAATGTTATTTAATTAAATTCAATCACTGCAGCAATTGGTAAACAAAATAAAGGTAAAACATTAACGATATTAAAACAAATTATCATTATTGCTAACACTTCCCCCATTCACATGTGTTAATTTATATCAACCGTTCAGGTTCACCTTCAGATGATACATTTGAATCTTTAAAGCATTTAATCAAAATTCCAATTATTTATTTATCACAAGAAGAAGCAGAAGATTATTTAAAAAACTTTTTAATGTATAAAGAATTATATAATACAATCAAGAAGCAAGGATTAGAGGATAAAATTATTGATAAACAACGGGATGAATTATTTGAAACACTTTCTATTTCAAATTTTGATAGAGAATTTTTGCATTCACTCATTTTTCTAGATGATGCAGTGAAATCAAAACTAATAACAAATGAGAAATCATATTTTAATCAGTTATTAACTCAATGTCGACACATTCAGTGTTCATTCTTCATGGCTGTTCAATACTTCAAAGCATTAAGCACAAACATTAAATCAAATCTATCAACACTTTTCATTTTCAGTGGGTTTAGTCGTCAACAGTTGAACGTTATGCTTTATCAAGTGAATTTACCAATGAGCATTAATGAACTTTACACACAATATCAGCAATTAGGTGAACATGGAAAAATAATAGTTGATTTAAATAAAGGAAGTGTTAAATTTGATTAACTTTTTATAATTAATTTTTATTTTTTATTTATAATTAAACATGACAGAAATAGCAAATCTTCTACAGGTTCCATTAAAACAAGGGACAAACAAAAAGGGTGCATATAATAGAACTATGAAAGTTCCTGATGGAATGAAAGAATTAGTTCATATTGTTGCTGGTCTTCAAAAAGATGTTAAACAAATGAGAAACGTTTTAACATTACCAGAAGCTCAAGCATATGCCAAACGTCATGGTCCAAATTGGGAAGCACACGAAGCAGACATTACGGGTCCAAATGGAAAACCCGATGGTATAAATGAAGTTTTCGTTACTGATGGTCAAGGTAATATTAAAGTCATAAATGGTTATAAATTAACTATATCTGATTATCCTAAACGTAAAGCATATAATGAACGTTATCCTATGCAATTTGATGAAAATGGAAAAGCTGTTAAACAATACATTGGAGAAGGTGAAAATGGTCCAATTAATTCATACCGTCATAATCCATATTCTTATTTCAATGAAGAATTAAATGCTATTGAAGAGGGACCGGATGGATTACCACGATATTCTAACCAGTTTGATGGTCAATATGCAAATATTAGACCTGAAATTTCAGCTAAGAAATTCTTTAAAGTTGCTTTATTCGATCCAGTTTTCGCAAATGTTAAAGATGAACTTAAACAGCAATTCCAACCAATTATAGTAGCAAGAATTGCATCGGGTGCTTTATCTCAAGCATTCAAAGATTTAATTAAGAAACCATTATATCAGCAACGAGGTTTAACTTATGATTTAGTTAAGGAATCAGATAAAAGAAAATTTGAGAAATCAGATGATTATAAGAATGCAATTAATGAATATATTCGGTCTATTAATTACGATGAAACAGCTAAAAATCAACTTCATGAACAAATACAGGGAATAATAGATTCAAAAGTTCCAGCAAAATAAAAGTTTAAATATATTTTTTTATTCGAATATAAATGAGAAGACGTTTCACTAGTCAAAAGAACACTAACGCAAAAGCAGAGATTACGGTTGGTTATAACGTAAATGATGATAAATCACGAATTATTCAAAATGTTAAAGTTAATGTTAGCCCCGAATTAACAAGGTCAGCAACTCAACCAAATTTATTAACTCGTGACTTACCGAAGAATGAGGAGAATGAAGAAAACCATGAGAATGGAGACCCAATCATTTTATCTGAACCCGGTAAAGAACCTGTTGAAATTCCCACTTATCCAACATACCCCCCTCTTTCATCAAACATCGAGAACCCATATAAAATAGACATTAATTCTGAATTAATGAAAATTTACCGTGATATAATAATTAATAATTATGATTCAATAATAAATTTAATTGACCAATCCGGTTTAATTATTTTACCTTATGAATCATTAATTCACATTATCGCCATTCTTTGTGATGTTCAAGATTCAGACGTTAAGATTCAATTTTTCATAGATGATGAGGTTTCATGCTGCAGAACAGTTGCAAAAATAAATCCTATAAAGGATATTAGCACAATTAAGATATCAAAGAACGGAACAACAACTGAACTTCATTTAACATATAATGATATTTATAATAAAATAGTTGATGAATATAAAATATCACTTGAAAAATTCTTTGTTAAGGCTATTTAATATTCAAGCATTAACATTATCGAATAATAATCCTTTGAATCATAATCAATAATAATTGACCTTTCACCAGTTTCTATCGTTTGTTTTATTTCTTTTTGTTCCCCACTATCCGGATCGGTCATTGTAATTGTTTTTGTTATAGTATCAGCTTTATCTTTAACTTCAATCTTTTTTCCATCGGGATATTTAAACCAAAATTCCAAAAATTCGATATTGTCAATCTGTTCATATTTTAATCTATCAATTACATTTTTAATACCATCTGAAAATCTTATGAAATGGTCATTATATGGGTTTGATTGAACTAAATTTGAATGAAGTGAAATATAACCTGTTGATGAATATGACACTGACTCATATTTTCTGAAAACACTAAAATTTATAACATGAATGAATTTCTTATTCGTTGAATTTATGAATTCTTGAGGTAATCTTATTCTAGTTTTATTTATCACTGGAAAATAACGCTTTACCATATTTTTAATTGTAATAAAAAATGTCAATTATCAATATTATTTCGAATAATAACTGTGAATTAAATTTAACAGTTAGCGGAATTTATAATGTTACTCTCGTTTCTGTGAGTGGTAAATTTAATCCCATTCTTTTAGACCCTTCAGATTATATATCATTTATTAAAGATGACCTTGAAAAAACGTATGATATGTATATAAATAATGTGATAGCGAAATGGGATATTAACACGATTTTAAGTTATTTAAATGAATCATTTATCGTATGGTATGAAGAAAATTTTAAATCAAAACCCGATAAACTTTTTGAACTTGATGAAATAAATAACCTTATTAAATTTCCGCTGAAAATTAAATTTTGTACTCCTCATCTTCGTTCATTGTTGGGGATATTAAATTTTGAAAAAGATGTTGGGGATGTTTTGTATTCTGACACTGGTTCCAATTTCATTTTAATCAAATGTGATAAAGTTAATACCCCAATGAGATTTTCACATCAAACATTAGACCCTAACTCTTACCCATCAATACAAAACATTTTATCCATCAACTTAAACACATTTTCTTTATCATATCCGTTTCAATTATCCGGGAATTCATTTATTCTTCATTCAAAAGATTTATCAAATATTAAATTTAGAATAACTGACCTATTTGATTGTGATTTAGAATTTATGAATGAAATATTATGGCAATTTCAAATAGAGAAAATAGCTGATGAGATAACGGATTAAATATTTATTTTTAAATCATAATAAATGATTAAACAACAGCAACCACAACAACTTAAGGCGCAAAGCGCCCAGGTCCTTCAGACCATTACATACGCCATATATGCATATAATTCAAAGACGGCAGAACAAACGCAAAGGTTGAAATATGGAGATTTGGAGATAGTATTGAAAAATGACCATTTCGAATTCGTTTGCAAAGGTGGTGCAGTGATATCAAATATAAAAGAAATTTTATTTATGAATTCAAAAATTAAAGGAATAACGGATGATATAACATCAATTCCACCAGAAGAACAGAGATATTACGCATTAAATGCATTTCCTAAAGTTTTGAAGATTGGAAGATTTAATTTAAATGAGGAATTCATAGAAGGTTTCCTAAATGACATAATGAAGAAAGTAGATAAGGAATATGTGGATAGTGAGTTAAATAAGAAAGCAAATTTGGTTTATGTTGATGAAAAAGATAATGAAATTAAAGAAAAAGTTGAATGGTATCATGAATGGACATCGGAGACTTTTAAAGTTAAAGCTGATACAGGATGGGTTTCAGGATGTTTAGACCTTAAAGCAGATAAAACTTATGTTAACGATGAGTTAGAGAAGAAGGCGGATAAGGAATGGACATCGGAGACTTTTAAAGTTAAAGCTGATACAGGATGGGTTTCAGGATGTTTAGACCTTAAAGCAGATAAAACTTATGTTAAGGATGAGTTAGAGAAGAAAGCAGATAAGGAAAAAGTTATTTCATTCATTAATACTGAGTTAGCAAAGAAAGCTGATATATCATTTGTTAATGAAGAAATAAAACAATCAGAGGTCTATTTTACTCCACCATTTTTAAATTTTATGAAATCATCAGATAAAACCTTTGATATAGATTCTTTTGAATGTATATGTTTCGATGGAGTGACCATGTATTTATTTTATACAGCTGGGGTGCTTTATTATTTTAAAACAAATGATTTTAAAAACTATGAATCATTTACTCCATCTGTTTTGAATCCTGATACACGAAAGCCAATCATTAATCCAAGAATTTTATATGTTGAATATAATAACGGTAAATTTATGGGAATGATAACGGTTGGAGATGATTTTTGCCCTTGTTATTCATTCGATTGTATCCAATGGTTCAAATGTAATTTAAATCAAGATGCTAAATTTAAATATCCAAATAATCCTATTAGATGCGTTAATAATAAATGGGTACTAATTTATGAAGTCAATCAAATTTTCATTAGTGAGGATGGGATAAATTATTATATGTTTAGTATGATGTCATCAGATTTGGAAATTGATTATACAAGTAAGTGGTATTACATTAACAACATGTATTTTATCCTACAAAATGATAAAATTTATAGATCATCTTCAATACCACAAGGTCAATTTGAACAAATTTTTCAAGCTGATGGAGACATTGAAGCTTTATGTTATGGATCAAATGTTTATGTTCTCGTTTCAGGTGATATGGTCTATTCATATCCTGTAAGTTATAACAGACATATTTATTTATCACAAGATTTTTCACAGGATCCAGAGAAAACACCAAGTTGGGAATTGGTTTATACATTCACCCCAAAACTTACTCGAAATTATAGATTTACTAATTTATTTTATATTGATGGGTATTTCATTGCTTTAGGATGTGGTGATTTAGTAAATATCAGTAGTGATGGAAGAAACTGGTCTGAAATCACAAAATTTCAAGATGTTAGAAAAGCAATTTTCAAAAATAATATGTTAATATTGATAACAAGACCAGTTTTAAATACTCACCCAAATTCAATATTATATAATAAATTCAATATTCATAATAGATTAAATACAATTCTTGAGATGATTTACCCCATTGGTTCAATATATACATCAATGAACTCAACAAATCCAGAAACAGTTTTAGGTTTTGGTACTTGGGAACAGATTGTAGATAAATTCTTATACTGTGCTAACTCTTCAAAGCAAACAGGAGGTTCGAAGAAAATTAAAGAAGCAAACCTTCCACCGCACACTCATACGGGAACTACAAACTTTTCTGGTGACCATAGACACCCATTAAGAGACCACCCATTATACAACTCAGAGTATGAAGCTGGTTATGACGTTTTATCTCCATCTTATAACGATTCAACAAAAAAGACTTTTCGACAAACTGAACCGGGGGGAAATCATGTCCATACTTTCACAACAAATCCAACAGGCTCGGGTGAAGATTATATGCCACCATTTATGACTGTATTCGCATGGTATAGAGTTCAATGAACGCGCTTGAGCCTAGACCCTTTGGGTCAAGGCTTACCGAATGAACTAAATATATTTTATGTCTGTAATTAATTAGGTAATGAAGTAATGGATGAACTGCAGAAATATATTTTATCGTTAATGGTTTTTAGGTTATTCAATAATTAATTATTTTTGAATAACTGAAGGTGTCACTACGTCACCATGTGTCACTCGGTTAATTAACTTCTCTGAAAAAATGAGACAACATGACATTTTGACAACAGTCCCGGAAATATGATGCAGTCCAAAAATAAAGTTAGTTTTAAAATTATTTTTATTTTTTTTTATTTTGTATGTAAGAACAGAAATGTCGGTCGAAGCAAAAACATTCACGAACAAATCTAATGGCGAAACATTCACAAAAGGCACTTATAATGGTATTGAAGTCTTACGTAGAGACAAGAATGGTTACATTAATGCAACAAAGATGGCAAGAGAAGCGGGAAGGTTAAACCATTTAAACAGATTTCTCAATAGTACTAAAATGCAGGAAATTCTTGAGTTTTGGATGAACGAATACGGTCAAGCCAAAAGTGGCTCGACCTCAAAACAAGCATTTTATGAGCTTACTAGGGGTGTTATAAATGAATTCAAAGGTATTTACATACATCCTGACCTCATTCATTTTGTTGCTGAATGGTGCTCTGTAAAGTATGCATTTTATGTCAAAGATATTATGGACTCCATAGACAAGAAAGTTCATGAGAAGTTAGATGAAGAAGAACTCGAAGATACAGTAGAAAATGCTAAACATTTGTTTGAAGAAGAAGTTAGAAAAATGTGCGAAAAACAATTAGAACATGAACGTGAGATATGTTATGGTTATAGAGATTCTCCATACGAACTAGACCAATGGGAACAAGAAGATTTAAAGAGAGAATTTAGAGAATATGAACTCGCTAAGATAGCATTAGAAACTGCAGAAAAGAAGTTAAAAGTTTGGGGTTGTTTTGTACAAAAATATTGTGAGTAAATGAACCATTTATTTTTGCTGAATTCAGCACAAAATTCTGAGTAAAATGGCATATGGCATGCGCCAAACCGTTGAGTTTTCACAAAATTCCAAAAATATAATTTAGGTGAAGAGGTGAAATCTCACCCGTTTTTTCACCTGTTTTTCACCCTCGCCGCTTAGCGGCGCAGATTGCTTTAGCTTTCTCGTGAATTTTCATGAATTTCCTTAAGATAGAAAAAATAAAACTAGCTTTAGTTTTATTTTTTTATTTTGTATAAAAGATATGATTTCAACAATCGGCACAACAACAATTCAAGCCACGAACGGCGGGACTCTGTCCACAACTACAGCACCAAACTCGTTAGTCATGAATCCTACGTCAATGTTGGTAGAGATGAAAAGCTTTATTCCTTCTTCATATACTTTTGAAACAGAAATCCAGAAGATAAAGCAAGAACTTTTAACAAGTAATTTAGACTGTAGTGCGAAAGATGAAACAAATGAACAGTATCTTTATGAAATGGAGGACCTCATCGACCATTTGCCTAAACTACCTGAAATTCAGCAGCAAAAACTAACTATTCCTGAATTCGACGAAATTGAAGTCAAAGCAACTGACTCAGTAGAAATTAAGAAATTCATACGTAAAGTAAATTATGAATTCCTTGGTTTTCAATGCAACCATAAAGTTATGGACAAAGATTGCGACATGGTTTATAAAAATATTTCTGACCTTTACAAATCCGAAGAATTTAAGACATACGATAACTTTGTTTCATTAGTTGCAAAATGTGTATGGCAGATAAGAGATAAAGATAGAAGAGGTAAAGTATGGAATGAACAGATAAAACCAGCAGCTTTTGAGTTAAAGAAAACCATTGAAGCCTTAGTTGTTCTAGCTGGTTTTATTTCAATGTATAACGCAAAAACGATGCCGCAATGTTCAAAATGTAAAGCAGCAATAAGAAAATATAACTACTCAGTCAAAGAGATAGAAAGAATGCGAAACGACTATGCAGACTTAAAGAAAGAAGCAGAAAAGCCAGCAGAAGATAAAATGGACATGTTAGAATTTCTGAACAAAAACTATCCAACAGCAGAAGATTTCCTTCTGTCTGACGTCAAGAAGAAATATAAAGAGACTTTCGGCATGATTAAAACATTCGATGTACTAAAAGAAGAAATTGAAGCTACGAAATTGTTTAGGATTTCAAATATACATCGTACAATTCATGTAAAACGCTTATAAAATAACTGGGGTGAAAAAACAGGTGAAAAAACGGGTGAGATCTCACCTCTTCACCTAAATTATATTTTTGGTCAAAGCTTCCACGAGAGAAAAGATTCCTCATTCGCTAAGGATTCCAAAAATGAAAAAATCATTGATTTCGGCTGAGAAAAAACAGCAAAACCCTTCTTCCACGGGAACAAAGAAATAAAGAAGAAATAAAGTAAATTTTTTATTTATTCCCGTGGAAGATAGAGCACTTTTATGACACTTTTTATTCACGACAAACAAGACAAACAAAGAAAATAAGAAAATACGGCGCTGTCGCGGTTCGAACCACAGACTCTGACCCCTCCATAACACTACCTTAGACCACTGTGCTACGTAGCCTGTCGACATAAGATTTTATAAATTGCATATTTGACGTAAATTTATTTCCCAGTTATTCAAAAATAAATAATTAATTATTGAATAACCTAAAAACCATTAACGATAAAATAACTGATAACAAAATTTTATTTTTATATAAATGGATACCCCACAAGCTCAAAATTTACCACGAATCATAACAAGGGGGGAAATGATAAAAATGATGCAAGAAAAAATTAAAAACAACAAACCACGAAAACCGAGAAGATGCGGTTATGCAGTAATGATGGAAAGAAGAACCCAGAAGGGTTCGGCGTCTCGAAAGACGTTGTCGAAGAGGAATAAAAATTAAAATTTGGATTGAGTTAAAAATTCATCTTTATTAAATTCATCTCTTCCAATCAATTTATTTATTCTATTAAATTCTTTTATTTTTGCTTCACTCAGTTTAAGGATTGAACGGTAAGTTTCTAATTTTTCGATTATTTCTTTCCTCTCTTTATCGTTTTCAGCCCCACCGCATTGCGGCTTCTTTTTGTAATAGCATATTTTTGATTTAATTCTGTTTAGTTTCTTTTTATATTCATCGTCTGGACTCTGAATCTTAATTGAATCAGGACTCTTGGATGCTTCGTTGTCACTCATTTCTTACGAAATAAAAAAATTAAATATTATTTAAATATAATGGAGTAATAAAATAAATCGGAATTTCTATTAATTTATTGTCAACTTCAACTAATGCATTGCCGTTAATATATCTAACAAATTCAACTATTGTGTCAAATCTTCGTCTTCTTTTTGTCATTGATTTATCAGTTTTTCCATAATCGAGATGAATCAAAACTTTATCCCCTTGTTTAAAATTCATGAGCCCCGAATTAATTTGTTCACGTTTAACATCATTCAACCTTTCCATTTGCTTTCTAATATATTCCCATTCTTTTGAAATATCATTTTTCATTTCCATTGGTTTCATGTTTATAGTTCTATGCCATGTATTATTGTAATAATATACTAACTGTTGTATGATGGAGTCATGATTTCCATCCCAGTATATCCGACCGTTAACCCCTAACGCATCTCTAAGAGTTCTCATTACCGCATCAACTATTTTATTATGAAACGTATATGGAGAGGATGAAAAGTAAAAATTAATTTGTGGGAAATAATGAGCCATAGCCGCCTGAAATCCTTTATCACCATCACCACTTATATTATCTACTCTTTCATGATCTAGTAAGTATTGTATAGCTCTTCTTGTTTCCTGTTCTGTTTTCCCTTTCACCGGAATGCAATATAAATATCTGGTGTTAATGTTAATGGCAAATAAATAAGTAACGTTTCCTTTTGAATATTCTAAATGATCGATTTCGTATGAATATGGATATGGTGCAAATGAAGGGCGACTAAATTTTTCCTTTAACGGTTGAATTTTTGGGTCAGTTGGTTTATTTAATATTTTGAAATCCTTTTTAAAATCTTTTTGCTTCTTTAATGTTTGAAATGGATATAATAAAGTGAATGATGAAGGATTAACTGAAGGAGGAGGTACTACCGTTGGAGGTTTTGGTATTGCAAGTGATTTAATTTTATCTGCTTTGATTTTGGATGATGAAGTTTTGGATTTCATTCCTCCTTTCATTAATTCTGGATGTATTCTATTCATTTGTTTTAAATATGCTGTATATAAAGGTTTGATATACTTTCCCGCTTCGAGTTTATGTTGAAGGATGAATTCCAAAAGTTGATCTTCATTTAAAAGTCGGGCTGAATATGGTTTAACTAATGAATCATAAATTAAAGCTTGTGCATCATTTATGGTCTGAAGGACCTGGGTGTTTTGCACCTTTAGCTGTTGAACATTTGCTACTTTCTCTTTTGGTGTTGTTTTCGGCTTTTTCTTCTTTGGCTTTTGTTCCTTTGGTTTTTGCGGCTCAGGATTATATAATTTATATAATTCATCAATATCTTCTTCTGTTAATACTTTATTTTTGAAATCTTTCAACTGTTTAAGTTGTGATTTAGTTTTTCCCTTTGTATATTCATTATTTTTAATTTTGTCTTTAATTTTAGAAATTATTTTATCATGATATTTCAAAATTTCATTTTTATAATACGGATAATAATAATCCATATCATCACCCGTTATATTTTTATTATGTTTTTGGAGATATGATTTTAATTCATAATAATTAAGAAAATTTTGATTAAATACTAAATCATCAATTAAATTTTCTAAATCTGCGTTATCCATTTATATAAAAATAAAATAAATGTTTTAAGGGTGCCCACCTCTTTGAATCATAGTATCAAAACCATTATTTACATATTGAATCGCATCATTAACGGTTCCTTTTGTCTCTTCTGTGGCATTTTATTAAAAATAAAATTTTAAATTCATGACTCAACCCCTACGTTTTTAAATTGTATTAAATAAATGGCATACAACATCCATTTTCACAACATACAGCCTTAGTGTGTGCTCCTGTTAATGCAGTCTTACCGATTGTTAAGCGAGTCATTGACCCGTTTTTAAGTTGTAAATTAATATTCTGACCATCAAATATCACTTTATCATTTATTATATCCAAATAATTTTTAGATGTTAATTGTTTATTTTGTCGTAAACTAACACCTTTCATTTTTTGTGCAATCTTTTTAAAATCACTTCCATCAATTGAACCGTTGAATGATGTATAACACTTGGGGCATAAAGCAACCATGTTATCACCTTGTTTCTCAATTGCTAAACCCAATAACTTCTTCTCATGTGCTTTTTCTTCAGCTTTATTCTTTAATTTAGGTTTAAATTTCTCATCAAAACAGAAGAAATCAAATGGTGCGAATTTGAAAATGTTTTTATCATAAAATTGTTTATCGGTTACAATCGCTTGAAATGCTTGAGTGTTAGGAAGATTTGGGTCACCAGCAATAGCCCAATAAGATGAATCAGTATCACCTTCAATGAAATGAAAACGATTAACATTCATGCATTTATACATAAAATCATAAATGAAAACCAAATACCAGTATTTAGCATTATCTAAAGTGAAGAATGCCTCTTGTAAACATGTATCACATCTATAAAATCTATCTTTGAGCATCATTTGATACGTATCCTCTCCTATTTCTCTTATGTTTTTAAACTTATTTGACATACATGCAACGCGTGCCTTCTGTGCATTCATTATTTTAGTCTTTGCGTAATTTTGTGTATTCATTGCATCGTAACCATATGATCCATTAAGCGAAATCTTGCAAAATAAACTTTTCCTTTATTTCCTTCTAATTCAGCCTTTTGTCTTTCGTTCATAAATTCGTTCGCAAATTCATTAAAACAAGTGTTTTTAGTAAATGTTAAAATTGATTGAATATCATCGATGATAAAATGAAATCTGTCTATTAGATACCAAAGATAATAAGAAGAAAATGGTTGATATTGGTTGTGTGTTGATGCTAACTGAGTTAATTTCCTCTGTTTCTGGTCAACTGGTAGATTGTTTGATTTCATGTAATTATACATAAAACTGCCAATTGTTTTTTCATCTGTGATAATATCTAAGTTTCTTATTATTGGTAAAAAGTTTATGTAATCATTAATGTATTTTTCATCAATGTGACCCTTTACTTCAGCCACGAATAAAGTATTTTTCTTTCTAATAATTCCCAGTGCTTTTGCTTTCTTTGTTGTTGTATCACAAATGATAACACCATTCAATCTTCCCGACATATGCATTTTATGGTCAGTATATTGAATGAAATCATGAGGATTAGATGAAAATGATGAAGGATATAATGAATTAAAATCAACACCAACGAAATGAGTCATAATGTTGGTGGTGTCCTCATTTGATACAGTTTTAGTTTCTGGACTATATGAAAGTTTATTAATGTGCGTGATTCCTTTAAGATTTACTCTATGTTGAACATTTGATAGACCACCAGTAATTTCATTACGGAGAATGTGATAAGCTTCAACTGAATCTAAAGTCATTGGTAAATTATTTTTTAATGCATAATTTCTTAAATTGATTCTTAAACGTTGAACATCTTCATCTTTATTTGATTTTACGACATTGCAATAACAACACATTAACTGACAATTTTCTTTGGTATGTGGTTTTTCATTATCGATTCTATCTAATGTTGGTTTATTTGCATATGTAAACGCTTTACCACACATTTTGCATTTAGATGAAAGGATTAAATCGTGATAGTATTGAAGATCATCCATTGAAACATTATTTTTAGTATCTCTTTCTGCTTTTTCATCATGTTTCTTATATGATTCAATTTTATATTTCCAATACTTTTTCGTTAATTCAAAACTTGATTCTATCTCTTCCTCAGGATATTTTTCATTAGGATTAAAGTCTTTATATGCTAAAGCGTAACGAATCATTGAAGCATTCGATGATAAAGAAAGATTATGAAGCATATCAATTTTATAAACAAATGTTTCTTCAATAATTTTATCGATTGGGTCAATCATAATTTCAACATCTTTATTGCAATAATGAATAAAATATTCTAATCTATTCTTAAATTTTTAGCATCATTGAGATATATTTGATAATCACTATCTGATATAGTTTCTTGGGTTAATGCTGAATAAAATGAATCTTTCGTGAATGGTTCCTCTTTATCTAATTCTTCTTCGTAATTTTCCCACGTGATGAATTGATAAGGGAAAAAGGATTTAACACGTGATTTATTGTTTCCGAAATCTTGAGTGAATTGGTCTAATGTCCCACCCGCTATATAATTTCTGATGTCAATAAATCTTAATTCATATGGAACGTTTGTTTTCTTTACAATGACTTGCTTAAATTGAGAAGATGAACCCAGCATTGATTTTATTTTCCATTTTGCAGTGTTTAAATCACGAAGAATTAAATTTAAATCAAACTTTCCCGAATTAAAACCTATGATATTCACTTTATTGAATTCCTCATCTAGAAGTTCTTTAAATGCTTCCTTCTGTTTTTCATTTAATGTATGAGACAAAGTCCCCGCCGTTTGCGGCTTCATTAATTCTTCATATTGTTCAATATTTGATTTAGCAACTAATGAACAGGTTGAAAATAAAAACTCAATCCAATCAGAAATAAAAGAATCACTCGAAGTTAAGCAAAAATTCCTCGTGTATGTTTTATCATTTAATTTAACCGTTGATGATACCATGAATGGTTTTAAGTAAGCATTCAAAGTTGCACACTCAGAAAGTTGTAATTCTTCTTTAGTCTCTAATGTTTCAAAGTCAAAAGTAATATAATATCTTGTCGGTTTATAATATTTCTGCAAATTGTGAGCTAATAACCACTGATATATCTTCTGTTTCGTAATATGTGGTGCATATGGTTGCTGGTCTTTTGCAATTGAACGTCTTGAATTAATCTCCCATTATTTTCTTTACATTTCTCACAATGCTTTAAAAATCTTCTTTGGTTTTTCCTTTCTGGATCATCACGGATAGAATAAACTTCTTCTTTACAATATGGACAAACTTTATAGCCGGTGAGTGCTTCAACGTCTGTTATACTGTCAGCGTGAAGTTTTCCACATGGACTCTGTGTTAATAAAATATTTACTGTTTCAAATTCTGGATCTATCATTATTGATTCCACTAATGGAAAGTCTACCTTATTTATGTCCACGTCTTCTGGTTGAGGATCACAATAATAGAAATCAATATTAACATTTAACATTCTCGCTAATCTCTCACTTTCTGATGAAATGTCAAACCCTTCATATGCATCTATTGCTTCATTTAAATAGCTTCTACGAGTTTTTAGGATTAACACCATCAGGAATGTTATAGAAGCGTTTAAATAACCTTCTACCTTCTGCTCTAATTTGATTATCATTCATTTTAGGCTGTTCCGTTTTTGTTCATTTATGTAAGAATAAAAAATTAAAAAATAAATAAAAATAAACTTTATTTTTTAAAGCCCATAAAATGAATTAAGAACACATAAATTTTTATCATCTGCGACGTGACGAATACATTTTAATTTACTCAAGAATGCGTACCCTGATACATTAAATCTAATTCCTTCTTATTTAATTTCACAACTTTGAAAAGGAATGTATGAATAGCTATAAAATGATGAGAAGATGTTTTATGGGTTGCTTCCATTTTTTCTGAAATAAATGAATAAATATAATGCTTATACGTTTTCATATCTTTTATATTCTTAATAACGAATGGTATAGACCTTTCCACTTCATCTTCCTTCGGTGTTGTTCTTTCATATGAAACATTATTAGTATCTTCAACAATGAAACCACAATCACATAAAATTTTATATGTTCCAATGGTTTCTTTTGATATTTTATCTAATAAACCAAAAACTTTATCAACACCTGTGCATTTATTTAAATAATAATTTGTGTAAATATCATGATCTTCTTTCTTAATCGTATTAGTTGCATATGTCACGTTTTTAAGAGCTTTTTTGAATTTTTCGGAATCTAAAGGTGGTGAAAGTAGGATACAGGGGTATTCTTCATTATCAATAAATTGTAACTTATGTTTACGAATAAATTTAGTACCTTCTTCTGAAAGTGTTTCGTCTATTTCACCATCTAATAAATTTTGTGTTGATTCTGAGACATAATTTTTATATCTTTCTTCATGAGATTTCTGTACTTCTGATTCTGAAGCTGGGATATTAAAAAAAAAAAAAAAAAAAAAAAAAAAAAAAAAAAAAAAAAGGTAGTGGGGCTTCCAGGCACTTCGTGCCTTCTAGCCCTGAAGATGTTTAGTATAAATGAAGTTCTTATATACGGGTCTTCCAGGAGCTTTTCACAAATTATATATGTTTTTCATGTTTTGTCAAGATTTCATCGTAAAGACTTTGTCAAGATTTCATCGTAAAGACTTTGTCAAGATTTCATCGTAAAGACTTTGTCAAAACTTCATCGTAAAGACTTTGTCAAGATTTCATCGTAAAGACTTTGTCAAAACTTCATCGTAAAGACTTTGTCAAAACTTCATCGTAAAATCAGACAAAAATAATGTTTAGGGTAGAAGGTTAGATATAACCTCTTTTCTAACCTCTTTTCTACCCTCTTGAATTTGTCAAGATTTCTTCGTAAATGTTTTGTCAAGATTTCTTCGTAAATGTTTTGTCAAGACTTCTTCGTAAATGTTTTGTCAAGATTTCTTCGTAAATGTTTTGTCAAGACTTCTTCGTAAATGTTTTGTCAAGACTTCTTCGTAAAATCAGACAAAAATATATTTTAGGGTAGAAGGTTAGATATAACCTCTTTTCTAACCTCTTTTCTACCCTCTTGAATTTTCATGAAATTTACACCAAAAATATACTACTAGGGTCATTTACGAAGAAATCTCAACAAAGTCTTTAAGATGAAATCTCAACAAAACATAGACAAGAAAGTTCATGAGAAATTAGATGAAGAAGTCTTAACAAAGTCTTTACGAAGAAATTCATGAAAATTCAAGAGGGTAGAAAAGAGGTTAGAAAAGAGGTTATATCTAACCTTCTACCCTAAAATATATTTTTGGGTCATTTACACTCATTTACGAAGAAATCTCAACAAAGTCTTTACGATGAAGTCACAATAAAACGTCTGTCAAAAGCCGCTTTTTAACTTCACTTTTCAGGAAAAAAACATTTTTATTATTATATATAAAATGAATTTTACAAAACCACCGTTACCCTTCTTTGGAAATAAGAGTAGATGTAAAGATATTCTATTGAGAGAACTTAAGAAACTACCGAATGGTCTAACATTTGTAGATTTGTTCGGTGGAAGTTTCTATATATCCCATTTGTGCCATACTGTATTTCCTGACTCAAAGATTATATGCAATGACTTCGACAACTATATGGACCGTCTCAAACATATACCAGACACAAACAAAATATTGAGTGAGTTAAAAGAAAAGATACCTATAGGCAAGATGGAACGTATACCATTAGATAAGAAAGATATTGTCAGAGAGGTTTTGAAAAAAGCAGAATATATAGACTGGGATAGTATATCTGCTAGACTATTATATAGTGGTGCTATAAGAGTTCATGACATTGAAACACTTATGTCAAAAGTTTTATATCTTAACTATACAAATGTTTTCAAAGAGGACATAGAAAAATATACTGAGGGTATAGAGTTTGTGAGATGTCATTGGACAGAGTTGTATGAAAAATATAAAGACAAGGAAAATGTTTTCTTTATAGTGGACCCGCCGTTCTATAACACATGGGATTTTCAATACCAAGTAGACTGGACTTTGAGAGACTCTTTAGAAACTTTAGACGTTTTACATAACCATCCATGCTTTTACTTTACATCCGATAAAAGTGGTTTGGAAAGTGTCATGAGATGGTTAGAGGACATACATGACTATGAGTTTATATATGACAAGATAGAATATGAGAGAGGTCCTATAAACTGGAGAAAGTGTCATAACAAAGAAATTTTATTGGTAAGTAAATGTGGTTTGAAATAGGACTACTTGTTTTAGGTTTTTTCCATTGTGTCATTTACTTATTTGACGTGGCAGAAAGATATAGAGAATATGAAGATGAACCAATGCCTGCAAATGTTCAGTATATGTACTCGTAAGAGATATTTTTATCTAATATTAAATGGACGCACAGAACTTAGCGAATGCACAGCAACCTGGACAACCAAACCCAGAGAATATTCCAAATGAAGTTAGAATACAAACTGCAATGGCAAACTATGGTCAAGTGCCAACAGATGTACAAATGCAAACTGCCATGTCAAATGACGCTGCGTTAGGCTTACCACCATGGTATGCAAATATGAGATGGAAAGAGTTTTATACAAACCCCGAAGTGGGATATAACAACTTTATGCAGATGACGCGAACACAGGAGTTGACCAGAGTATGTTTTCTACCAGAGGAGAAACAGAATGTATGAGCTCCAGTTAAAGAATGCTATGGAACTCAGAAGGAAACGTAAGAGACTAGGTGGACATTAGATTTTTACATATAGTAAAATGGGTTTCTTTGGAAGAATAGGAAACTTCTTTCGAAATGTTGGAAGAGGTATATGGAATGGAATAAAAACCGTAGGAAGAGGAATTTGGAACGGAGTCAAAAATATTGGTAAAAGAGTAGGTCAGTTCGTTGGTATTATACCTAAAGACCCTGAACCAGAAGAACAAGCTCCTGTTATACAACAGCCTGAACCTGCACCACAGTCAAGTTGGCAACCAAATCCAACACCTCAACCGTATTAAAATTATATTTTTACCGTTCGATAGTAGTTGTATATGAAACTAAGTTCTAAGTAAAACGCATGGTATAATGGAATTATTCTCTTTCTTCCATCTGTAGTAAACCATACTTGAAAGTCTGAAATACTTCCACTTGGTGGTTCATATAGCTTTGTAGGTTTTTCGTAAAAGTCATTTGCCAAGCATAAAAAAGAGTTTTGTGCACCAGAAAATGAAGCATGAACTATAATAGCATCTGAGTCGAAAACATTTTCATATGTTCCATTAGGGTTTTCGACTTCATAAAAGTTCGGGTGTACTGGATATGCTGCAGGCTGATTTAACATCCTCAAAAATCTATACCATGCCAAGTTGTTATATTTTGTAGAAATATAAACGTCTTCTCCAAGGTCTTCTATTCTATTGATTTTAACAGTTGCATTTTTCCTGTCATATATAATATCGAGATGGTACTCTCCTTCGTCAATGTTGTACTGGTTTGCATATTCGATATAGATATCGTTTATTTTTCTTGAAAAGCTTGAAGAGTTGTTTCTAAGTTTACAAGCAAATTCACTTGTAAAAGTTTTCCCTGTTCAAATTTCTCATACGTACGTTTTTCTTTGTTATAGTATCGAACTTCAAAAGCGACCGTAAATGGGAAACCATGTATGGCTTCTGAAATGAACTTCATTCTACGAAAGCCAATAGCTTTTGTGACGGATGGGTCTCTTAACCATCTCAATGGGTAGTCAAAACGATAGCCTTCATGCTTTACGGTCTCTGTCTCAAACTTTTGACCGACATTCGTAAAAAGTTCATCTAATGGTTTAGTTGTAGCAACTCTAGAATTTTCTTTTTCTATTGAAAGCATATTTTATCTAGAATAAAAATGTCGAAAGAAACAGCGTCTATGAGAGAAATACAACACAACCGACAACTCATTTTGCAAGCTCTAAATAAGAACACAACAAACTTTTCAAACTATTCTAAGATATCTGAGTCATTGAAAGAAGGAAACTTAAAACTGACGATAAACCCAATGACAGATGAGTTTCTGTTTCAAGACAGTAAGAACCATACTGTTTGTATAAATCCAACAAAAGGAACTTTAAACGAGAAGCCTATATCTGAACTTCTTTTGAAAGCAGATGTTGGCAACAAAGCTGACAAAGAATATGTCATTGAAAAAGTTCAAGAAGAACATGACAGAGCAGATGCAACATATGCAACGAAAGCAGATGTTGACAACAAAGCTGACAAAGAGTATGTCATTGAAAAAGTTCAAGAAGAACATGACAGAGCAGATGCAACATATGCAACAAAAGAACATACTCATCCTGAACTAGCGGACAAAACATATGTTGACAATAAAATGTCAAGTGAAGTGACAAGAGCTGAAAACGAATATTCTAAAAAGACTCATACACATACCATTGCAAATATTACAAACTTACAAGAAACCTTAAACAGGAAAAGTGACGTTGGACATACACATACCATTGCAAATATTACAAACTTACAAGAAACCTTAAACAGGAAAAGTGACGTTGGACATACACATACCATTGCAAATATTACAAACTTACAAGAAACCTTAAACAGGAAAAGTGACGTTGGACATACACATACCATTGCAAATATTACAAACTTACAAGAAACCTTAAACAGGAAAAGTGACGTTGGACATACACATACCATTGCAAATATTACAAACTTACAAGAAACCTTAAACAGGAAAAGTGACGTTGGACATACACATACATCTTCTGAAATAACAGACTTAAACGTTAGCCTTGAAAAAAAGCAGATAAAACATATGTCAATGAAATATACCAAAGTTTGCTAGGAACAAAAAATATTGAAACTATTGTTGGTGACTTTTCTGTCAATGAAGAAAACAAATATTTTAGATGGCAGTTGGTACAGTCCTTAGAAAATGGTACACGTATAAACTCATTCCGAAAAATAACAATGAAATGTATGTAAGCTATAAAAAGAACGATGGTACACAAGTTAAAGTTCCATTAGACAACAACTGCTACTTAAACATATATGGAGACGAACAAAAGAAATATTTAAGAGTTTATGAAATGGCAGATATGACATTGCCTGACCCAGCTCCAGCACCATACTATTATGACTATGGAGATGACGAAAGAACACCACATGTAGATGAACAAAAGCTAACATTATATTTAGATTTTTATAGATATAAAAGATATAATGCAATAGAAAAAACGAGAATAGTATACTATTATACAGATGACAGAAATAAATATTATAGTCAAGACTTTACCTACCCTGAAAACATAAGATTATATTATAAAAATATTCTGACATGAACCAGAAGAAACCTGAAATAGTTGCACTATATTTTAAGTTCAAAAGAGACAATCCTATAATATCTCATATGTTTGATTTAATGAACCCAGTAGGTTCTATTTACACGTCAATGGAAGCAAGAGGTCCTCAAGCAATGTTTGGTGTTGGTGCATGGGAACAAATAGTCGACAGGTTTTGTATTGTGCAAACTCTTCAAAGGAAACAGGTGGAAGTAAAACGATTTCAGGTGAAAACTTACCTGCACATAGTCACTACATAGATTTAAGTACATCTCAAGCAGGTTGGCATAAGCATAGATATTGGGATTGGTCAGGAATGACAAAAGGTAAAGGATATGATGTTAAAGACGACGTTAAGTTTGCTATAAATTGTTACTGGATGACACGCAGGGAGAAGGAAACCATACACATTTCGTTTCAGGATATACGCAAACAACGGGACAAAGTAAAGACTACATGCCACCTTACATGACAGTTTACGCATGGTATAGAATTGCTTAGTCGTCATTTTCAACTTCTTTAGCATATTCGTCTGGAGTTGTCTTATATTTGTTAGGAACTGTCTTTGAAAGTATACCACCTTGAACTTTGACAAGTTTGAAACGAGGTCTGACAATAGTAGTTTTATCTTCTGCTTGCAGTCTGTACATTTTGCCATGTTTGCCTAAAACTTCATAATATTCTCTTGTATACTTTCTTCTATTTTTACGAACACGAATGTGAGTACCTGTCGAGTTCCCATTGTTGTCATAGTCAATAGTATTTTCATATGGGTCGCGTTTAGGTATTTCTATTTTTACTTTGTCACCTTTCTTAAGTTTGAAGCCTGGCATTCTTTCTTGTCTATCCCTCTTAACTAAACTATTAAATATATAGTCTTTCTCTAAGTCGGGTTGTTTTTCATTTCTTCGGGGGAGTGGTTTCCCAAACCTTTTTGTTTACGGTTATTGTAAATATTTTAAAACTTGTCTCATCTTTGCCTGGGAGAAGTGTCTGTACTTGTCGTCATATGACATTTCATCTACCTCACACCTTGTGGTTGATTTAAGTCTCTTAAGATTTTTATACAACTGTCAATGACACAAGAGCAGAATGGTTTTGGTCGACAATGAAATATTGGTTTACATTTTTTTGAACGCAGATAGTTTTTAATATCGTCTGATTTGAAAGAACTTTCACAGTCAGATGTCAGTTTTGTTGGATGGTATTTGTCAACGAATATTGTCAAAGCAGTTTTCACATCTAAAATATTTTTGGACTGTAATGGTATGGCTTCACAGTATCTTGTGTTTTGACCGACAAATATTAGCCAGTATGGAGGTCCATCTTCTCTATACCTCGGAATGTTTTCCAAGATATCCATAAACCAAGCATTTGGTGTTGAACTAAAGATTTTTATCATGAGTGCTTTCTTTGTTGCTTAGAAACATAGGGGTCCTTGTTTGGATTCGTCATTTTTTACCCTATAAGAAATGGGTTTATTTGGCGCATTAGCAGGAGTTGCATCCAGATTTTTGCCCGCAGTGGGAACAATAGCTAGAGGTGTATTTGGAGTTGGAAGGAAGATTTTGAGTACATTAGGTATACTTAAAGAGAAAGCACAACCTATTATACAAACTGTACAGAAAGGTTGGGAGGTAGCACGAGATGCAACAAATCTTATTCCAAATCCTGAAACAAGAGGAAAAGTTCAAGGATGGATGGACAATGTAGGAAGAGAAGCAGGAAACTACTATAACAAAGCAAATGACTACTATAACCAAGCAGGGCACTATATGGACCAAGGTGAAAGATTCTTTAACAGAGGATATAACCATGCACAAACAGTGGGTAAACAATAACCAACCTCAACCGCCTCAAACGTGGGGAATGTAAATTTTTTTACTGAGATGAAATGAACAATACAGCATTGAGACAAATGGGTTCAAGATGGATTTGTCGGCTTCCAGCAGTTACACAACCACGTGTTTGTCAAGTTCTTCCTATACCTCAAGAAGTTTTAGACCGACTTAAAAAACCTAAACAACCAGTTGAAAACAAACCAAACTAAAATTTTTTACTGAGATGAAATGACCGAAGAAGTTGAAACGGTAGATTTGACACCACAAACAAAAAGTTCAGAACCATTGTCAAAACCTGTCAAAAACTTACAGATGAAGAGAAAAATTCAATAATAGAAAGTGCCAGGTCTGGAAATACAAACCCTAACTATAAAGTCACTTTTCATAGAAATGGAACGGCTAGTATCTCAAAAAAGAAACAGACTCTCACAAATAAAATATTGAAGTCTGAAGGAGTTTATGAGACAACAGATGGAAAAGTATATTTTACCGACCAACAGTTCATTATAGAACATCTCATTGACTTAGAGTCGAAATATTCTAAACTTTACAACAAACACAAAAAGTTGAAAGGAAAACAAAAACAAATGGCATATGATATTTATGAAGATGTTGACGACACAACTGTTCCTGCAGGTGAGGTAAAGTCAGAGGAACCGAAAAGTGACGAAAAACCGATAGAAGAAGAAAAACCAAAAACTGAAGATAAACCAAAACCAAAGTTTAGTCTGGAGACTAAACCAAGCCAACCTTCATTAGCTGGTATGGGTTGGCGTCAAAGGCTTTTGGTAGCTGGTGGCTATGTTAAGTAAAGAAAAACAGTATATTTTATAAAAAATATATATTTTTATTTTATTTGAAATGTACGCTGATTTTGTTGGAGTAGACCGTTGGGAAACTTGTTTGTTAGATGAGAAATATGAAATTCACTGTTCTGAGCCTTTTGAAATAAGGAAGAAAGAGACAAAAAGAGTTTTAAGCGAATGGGAGCGAAATGACGGATATACTACTATGAGGATGAGTGGAAAACACTATCTTAAACATGTCGTCATTGCAACTCATTTTATACCGAACCCTAACAATTTACCTTTTGTAGACCATATAAACCATATAAGAAACGACAATAGACTTGAAAACTTACGTTGGGTCACTCGTTCTGAAAACAATAAGAACAAAAGCAAATTTGCAGATATTGTATTCGAATTTGTCGACGAACTAGAAGATGAAGCAATTGAAATTAGAGACTATGGTAAGCATACGTTTGAGTTTTACTACTATAGCGAAGAACAAGACTCTTTCTACTTTTATACCGGCGTAAACTATAGGAAATTACAAGTATATTTTACTAAGGCGGGCTATGCTCATGTAAACGCTAGAGATACAGATGGAAAACGCGTTCGAATACTTCTTAACAAATTCAAGAAGCTATATGGCATACCATTTTAAAACATTTATTTTAAACCATACTTTTTTAAAACATTTTTTTTAAAACAGTATATTTTTACATATATTAAATGTTTCAGGTTGAAAAACAAAGAACAAAAGCAGCAGATACAAAACCGTTAGACTATATCTTCACAAACGCCGGTATGACTATTTCAGATGAAGAAATTTCATCCGGTGCTTACAGGTTTGACTTTCCAATTCGTTGGCTTCAAAGTCCTTCAGATGCAAAGGCAATAGGATTTAGAAGAGTTTTGTTTTCAAAAAGAACTAACGCGTTTATGTTTGCGGTATATTTTCATGGGCGGTATAGAGGTCATGATGGTCTACTAGACAAATTTGATGAAATGAGAATCTTTACAGTTCGTTCAGACGAAAATCTTGAAAAAACTCTAAATGACTTTCAAACTCAAATAAACAAATACTACTGGGAATTTCAAGAAAAATACGATTCTTTACTAAATGGAACATACTATCTGAAACTAGAATATGACAAGATGAACTCCACAGTTTCATTTCAAAGGATTGAAAATAACCCTCCAAGAGATACACAGTTTTTATTTTGGCAAGTAGACAAACGTTCTTGGGCACAATTTCTTCGGTTACTAAACCAGAACGAACCATTACCACCTGACGGTCCGTTCTGGTTTATACGCCCACCAACAGATTTGACAGTTTATAGAAACGTGTTTGACCCTCAAAATGTTATGTGTCATGCAAGTTTTAGTTCAAGCAACAATAGTTTTCTTTGTATTGGTAAGGACTTTTATGACTTTGCTTCTAAATTCTACGAACCACCTAGTAACAGTTTCTCTGACTTTCAAGTTTGGTTCACTACAAACGGTGTGCAACATATTGTTCCATTGTACTACGACTTTTATCTCGAATTGTCTTTCATATATAACTACGGAGAAGTGCTGAAAAAGTATTGAAAAATGAGTTTTGGTTGAAAAAAGAGGTGGAGCCAAAAGTGGCTCAACCTCAAAACAAGCATTTTGTGAAGAATATACCAACCGCCGGAATTCCGGCGGTTGCTTTTTATACAAGGTTCATGCAGGAATTCCTGATGAAATCAAACAGGTTAGAGGAACGTATGTAGACCCAAGACTTGTAAACTATATAGCAATGTGGGCTTCTCCAAAATATTGTATAGCAGTTGGAAAAATTATGGACTCCATAGACAAGAAAGTTCATGAGAAGTTAGATGAAGAAGAACTTGAAGATACAGTAGAGAATGCAAAACCTTTGTTTGAAGAAGAAGTTAGAAAAATGCATGAAAAACAAATAGAACATGAACGTGAGATATGTTCTGGTTATAGAGATTCTCCATACGAACTAGACCAATGGGAACAAGAAGATTTAAAGAGAGAATTTAGAGAATATGAACTCGCTAAGATAGCATTAGAAGCTGCAGAAGAGAGGTTAAAAGCTTGGGGTTGTTTTGTACAAAAATATTGTGAGTAAATGAACCATTTATTTTTATTGAAATTTACACCAAAAATATATTTTAGGGTAGAAGGGTAGCTCTACCCTCTTTTCTACCCTCTTTTCTACCCTCGTAGAAAACACACAAAACTCTTGAATTTTGTATAAAAAAAGCAACCCGCCGTTTTCCGCGGGTTGGTATATTCTTCACAAAATGCTTGTTTTGAGGTCGAGCCATTTTTGGCTCCACCGTATTTTTAAACCAAACTCGTTCATTTTGTGCTGAAATAAAATAAAGGTAGTCCCACCAAAAAATATTTTTTATTTTTATTGTAAGAACATGTTAGCAACAACAGCACCAAACTCTTTAGTCATGAACCCAACTTCAATGTTAGTAGAGATGAAAAGCTTCATTCCTTCTTCATATACTTTCGAAACAACAATCCAGAAGATAAAGCAGGAATTGTTAACAAGTAATTTAGACTGTAGTGCGAAAGATGAAACAAATGAAGAATATCTTTATGACATGCAGGACATTATTGACCATCTACCTAAACTTCCTGAAATCCAACAACAAAAGCTTACTATTCCAGAATTCGATGAAATAGAAGTCAAAGCAACTGACTCAGTAGAAATAAAGAAGTTCATACGAAAGGTTAACTATGAGTTTCTTGGATTTCATTGCAACCACAAAGTCATGGACAAAGATTGCGATATGGTATATAAGAACATCTCTGACATATATAAATCTGGGGAGTTTAAGACCTACGACAACTTTGTTTCGTTAGTTGCAAAATGTGTATGGCAGATAAGAGATAAAGATAGAAGAGGTAAGGTATGGAATGAACAGATAAAACCCGCAACTTTTGAGTTAAAGAGAGCAATTGACGCCTTAGTCATACTAGCAGGTAAGATTTCAATGTACAATGCTAAAATGAACCCACAATGTTCTAAATGTAAAGCAGCAATGAGGAAATATAACTACTCCGTCAAAGAGATAGAAAGAATGAGAAACGACTATGCAGACTTAAAGAAAGAAGTAGAGAAACCAGCAGAAGATAAAATGGACATGTTGACATTTCTGAACAAAAACTATCCAACAGCTGACGATTTCCTTCTATCTGATGTCAAGAAGAAATATAAAGAAACATTCGGCATTGTTAAAACATTCGATGTACTGACAGAAGAAATAGAAGCTACGAAATTGTTTAGAATTTCACGAATTCACAATGTTTACCATGTAAAACGCTTATAAAATAACTGGGGTAGAAAAGAGGGTAGAAAAGAGGGTATATCTAACCTTCTACCCTAAAATATATTTTTATTGAAAAATGACCAAATTTCATGAATTTCCTCATATGTTTGCGACCGGTAGAAAACCGCGGGTCGAGATTCCGTACGAAAATCGTAAAAAAATGCGTCCCGCGGAAAACCGAGGAACGAGATTCCATTCGAAAATCGTAAAAAATGACCAAATTTCATGATATAACTGTATCTTTTATACAAAATAAAATTAACGCTAGTTTTTTATAAAATATTTTTTTTATTTTGTATGTAAGAACAGAAATGTTAAACATTGAGTTTGAAACAGTTAGAAAGATAGACAATGACACCAAAGTGGTTAGAATAGGTGATTTAAACGTAAGATACTCAAAGAAATACAAAAAATATTCTTTGTCAGACATTTTAACACTATCTGAAAAGAAAACATCCCACGACTGGGTTAAAAATGCTTCTACTCAGAAAATTTTGACAAGAAATCCTGAGCTTATGATATCGGTAAGATTCTATGGAACAAGAGCATATCTCATCGACAAAAGTCTTATACCAGTAGTTTTGTTATGGTTAGACCCAGTTGTTGGATATAACTTCATAACATATGGTTCGTTCGATACGGAACGTTGCAGTGAAGGCTTACTTTACATTGTTCAGAAACCGAAGGACTTCAATACAAAGAGATATAAGATAGGAAGAACATTTAATATAACTCAAAGATATGACAGTATAGTCAATAGAGTTAAGGTTGCGTTTGTTAACGATATGAGAGCTGCTGAAACAGAACTGCTTGAAAAGTTTGAGAAAATGTATGGTGCTCCCACGAGAGGTAAAGAAACGTTTGAAGTAGATGAGATAGATAAAGCTATAAAAGTATTTGACGAAGTTGCTGAAAAATACATGTAAAAATAACGTTTATTTTTGGTCTTTTGTGAAAGTCAAAGACGATATGTACCAAATGCAAAGTATTTTGACAGCATGTTTTGCTCCAGATACTAAGCTTCCTAAAGACTGGTTTAGGAACCAAAGCACACAAGAACTTTTGAGCGAAATTTCTCTAGACCGAGAAAAAACGTAGTCGCCAAAACTCTATGAAAATCGTGAAGAACAGCGACTACGGAAAAAACCGTAGTCGCCAAAACTCTATGAAAATCGTGAAAAATTGCCAAACGGTTTGAGAGGATATTATGTACATAGACTTCTTGTAAATGCTGTAGCAATGTGGGCTTCGCCTCTTCACCTAAAATATATTTTTATTGAATTCAGCAACAAAAATCATGAATTTCCTTAAGATAGAAAAAATAAAGTTAGTTTTATTTTTATTTATTTTTTTATTTTGTATGTAAAGACAGATATGTCAACATCAGAGAACACAACAACTGCTATCGTTCATGAAGCTATAAATGAAGAATACGAGTACATACAGTTTAACAAACAGTTACGTCTCATTCGTTCGGTCAAAGACGATATGTACCAAATGCAAAGTATTTTGACAGCATGTTTTGCTCCAGATACTAAGAAACCACAAGATTGGTTTAGGAACCAAAGCACACAAGAACTTTTGAGTGAAATTTCTCTAGACCGAGAAAAACCGGTCTTGCCTAAAACACATGAAAATCGTGAAAAATTGCCAAACGGTTTGAGAGGATATTATGTACATAGACTTCTTGTAAATAATGTGGCACAATGGGCTTCAGCTCGCTATTCATGGTATGTTTGTAAACTTCTTGACGAAATTCATAGACAAGAACGTGAAGAGCTAGAGAACAAGCTTGAAGCAAAAGACAAAAACATACAGAAAAGAATACCACGTTCGGTACCAAAAGGAAAGGAAAAGAACTATAAGTATATGATTTATACTGAAGAGATGGAAAATGAAGAAGACAGAGATATGGTTATGTTGCATTTAGTCAGAAGAAACAACAAAAGCTTTTACGACCTTGCTAAGATTTACAAATCTGACAGAAATTGGTTCTATCGCGAAAACTTACCGATTTCAATGACACCTAATGAAGATGTGAAACAAATAGTTCAAGATACGTTACCTCAAACACACTATGATATTAAAGGTTGTACAATACTTACATTCAAAGAAGATTTGCCGCTACTGAAAGAAAAAATAACAGAGTATTTTGACAACTTCAAACAAGCAGAGTAGATGAACTCTTTATTTTTCAAGCTTGCCTTTTACATTCTGCCTGAGGAAGTCTTTAACAAGCTCGTTAATTTCAATTAGATAAATTGCTTCGTCTAAGGGGTCAAGCTCCATACTGAGTCAGTACAATATTGTACTTTTTCAAGACAATGTTGTATAAATTCAGTACAATATTGTACTTTTTCAAGACAATGTTGTATAAATTCAGTACAATATTGTACTTTTTCAGAACAATGTTGTATAAATTCAGTACAATGTCTCTCAAATTTGAGTACAGCTGTACTTTTTCAGAACAAGTCTTGAACTTTTTCAGAACAATGTTGTACTTTTTCAGAACAATGTTGTACTTTTTCAAGACAATATTGTACTTTTTCAAGACAATATTGTACTTTTTCAAGACAATATTGTACTTTTTCAAGACAATATTGTACTTTTTCAAGACAATGTTGTATAAATTCAGTACAATATTGTACTTTTTCAAGACAATGTTGTATAAATTCAGTACAATATTGTACTTTTTCAGAACAATGTTGTATAAATTCAGTACAATGTCTCTCAAATTTGAGTACAGCTGTACTTTTTCAGAACAAGTCTTGAACTTTTTCAGAACAATGTTGTACTTTTTCAGAACAATGTTGTACTTTTTCAAGACAATATTGTACTTTTTCAAGACAATATTGTACTTTTTCAAGACAATATTGTACTTTTTCAAGACAATATTGTACTTTTTCAAGACAATGTTGTATAAATTCAGTACAATATTGTACTTTTTCAAGACAATGTTGTATAAATTCAGTACAATATTGTACTTTTTCAGAACAATGTTGTATAAATTCAGTACAATGTCTCTCAAATTTGAGTACAGCTGTACTTTTTCAGAACAAGTCTTGAACTTTTTCAAGACAATATTGTACTTTTTCAGAACAATGTTGTACTTTTTCAGAACAATGTTGTACTTTTTCAAGACAATATTGTACTTTTTCAAGACAATATTATATTGTTTCAGAACAAAGACGGTTAAGACACAAACGAATGTCCGACGTACCACCAACCGAGTCCATTCCAAAGCCAGAAGAACCGAAAGCTGCAGAACCACAACAGACTTACTACGACTAAACATTTAATTTTTACGCTTGACTTTTTACAATTTGAACTTTGTTCGCGTAGATATGAATTCTGAAAGAAGTATGAGGGTCTTGTATGACTTTGTACTTCTCCCATAGTTCATGTCTGTCAAACTTACCTGCCATGGACTCTTTCATAAGTTCCATGAAATCGTCTTCGGACAATCCAGGGAAAAGTATGATATCAGTAAGTATTCTCTTTACATCCTTACTTAAACTCTTTGCTGTCTGTACACAAATGACAACTGAGATGTTAAAGTGTCTGAGCTTCTTAAGAATTCGACACATGTCTTGTTCTCTGTTCTTTAACAAAGGATGAGAAGCAAAGTCATCTAAGATAAGAAGACATCTATGAGGGTAAGTCTTCCAATCGTAAGATTGCAATTTCTTCGAAATGTATTCTATCTCTTTCTGTTTGTTTCTGAAGTGTTTCTTCTCTAATATTCTCTGCATTTCCTCATTTGGGTCTTTAAACTTCGAATTTATATACTCATTTATAGCATTGTACTTCAAAACTCTTCTTTGGTACTTCTTTATCCAATCTAACAACTCAGAGTCTTTTATACATACTAACTTAGACTTCTTTATAATATCTTTGAACGAATTTACGGTTTGGTCAAATTGACCAGAAGTACTACAAATGACTACTAACTCATAGAATGGGTTCTTCTCATCTAGTTCTTGTTGTTGTGCAGCCATTTTAAGATAAGTGAAAGTCTTGCCCGACCCAGGTGGTGCAATTAGACCTGTTATACCATTCTGAGCAAATAAGAACTTGTCATGTATAGGCTTTATCTGAGCATTTTCTAACTTCCTCTTGTTCTTCTTCAAAACATTCTCAAATTTCTTGTCAATGTCAGCAAACTTTTTTTCTAACATATTTTTAGAAAAATTAAAATTTTTATCTTTTTGAAAATGTCTAGCGATTTCGCTATCTATATTCGAGACAAGCTTTTTGACAGCAAAACATCTGTCGACCATAAAATCTTACATAGTGTAAACAAGAAAGGTGAATTTGTTCTAAAGTTCTGTTTCTGGGAATATGACAAGAACCATAAAACATTAGGCAGAGAAGTCTTTAAGTTTGTCAATGACAGACTTGTTGACAGAGATGACGCCTCTTGGAAAGATGAAGTCCAACAAAAGTTCTTAGAATGCAAAGAAGGCACATGCGCTGTTCTTGAAGATGAAATAGAAAACAGAATAGAAGAGCTATTAAAGGACAAAGAACTTTTACATAAATATGGTTGCGCCAAATTTGACATAACTCCACCAGAGAAGAAGAAGAAGAGAGAAAAGAAAGAAAAGAAAGTAGAAGAAAAGAAAGTAGAAGAAGAGAAGAAAGAACCAGAGCCAGTTCCAGAGAAAAAGAAATTTGACATGTAAAAATAAAATTTTATTTTTAGAACATTTCTGGGTCAATGTCAATGTTCTCTTCCTCTTTAGGAGCAAACACTGGCTTAGACTCTAAAATCTTTTTACCTAATTTACCTTGAACTTCAACTATCTTAGACTCATAATATTCATAGTCGTCTGCTTTCTTTGGTTCATAAGGTATAACAAGTTTGTATGCTTTGCCTTCTTTAAGGTTTGAGAACCTTCTGTCAAAATTTTCTTTGACTGCTAACAAACCTTCTATGTCTAAGTCTTCAAATTTCGCACCATTTTTAGTCACAATAGCAAACTTAACGGGTTCGATGTTCCAAACTTTGTCAAATGTAGACTTTTCAAAATGGTAGAAGTAAACATTCAAATATATGAATGGGTCTAGTTCTTCTTTGACTTCTGTCATGTACTTGTTGACTGAAATATATTTCGTCATCTTTTCTATCGGATAAAAAAATATTTTTTTAAAATTTACTCATAAAAATTTTCTTTGTATATACACCATTCTGAACATCTAAAAGATTTTTGACATTTGCCAAGAATGTTCGTTTAGACGCTGTCATATAACCATACTCTTGACAATATTGTTTATATTCATCGTACAACGACCTTTCATCTAAACACTCAAAGTTAGTCTCATCTATAAACAGTTCATATACACTCTTGTTTGCTTCTAACAATGTTTGTCTTTCTTCGGTATGTGGAATTTGTCTTGGATTGAACTTTGAAATATCTAATGTCATGAAATATGAGAACAAGTGGTTGTAAAAGTTAGGTGTCAAAGTTTCTGCTAAGTCGTCAAAATATTCTGTATCTTGCATATGAGCTTCTGACGTTCTGACAACTACATATCTTCTGTCAGAACTTTCTAACTTCATCGGAACAGAATTGTTTGAAACCATAATGAAGTTTGCAACATTTTCACAAACTCTTTGGTCTTTATATTTTCTTTCAACAACTCCAACTTTGTCTGTTATAAGACTCTTCAAAGCATCTGAGTTCAAAACTTTTGTTGTATCTATACTTTGAAGTTCGTTACATACTATAAGTTTCATATTCTCTATTGAAGAGTTAAATTTACCGCAGATGTTTTCTAAGTTTGTCATATTCGGATTCGAATAGCCCTCTAATAGTTTGCACAAAATATCTGTAAAGAAAGTATTCTTACCAGTTCCTTGTTTTCCAATTATAATGAGAGCAGTTTCATTTTTAGCACTTGGATGTTGTAAGATGTTTGCAAACCAACATAAGATATACTCATAAACCTTTTCGTTTCCATTGCATATAATTTCTTTGACATGGTCTAACCAAGCTTCTATAATATTTTCTTTCCATTCTACTTGTTCATATTTATATCCAGTGAAGATAGAATAGAAGTTTGGAGAAGGTGTATAAAACTTTATACCTCGAACTGAAAAATCTTCAAGTTTAGACAATAAAATATCCCAAGCATCTAACATCTTCATGCCAACTTGTACGACTTTTATTTTCTTAAGTTTCTGTCTACATTCTTGTTCTGAAACTATTGTCGCTCTTGGTTTGTTAAAGACAACATCCCATTCTTTCATGACATAACATTCTGGGGCAGAGTCGACATAAATGACTAAACGTTTCAAATTCTCGACTGCTTTGTTATAGTCTCTAAATGGACACATATTTCTGAACGCTTGGAAGTCATAAAAATCTGAAACGTCTATTCTGTACATTTTTATAAAAATAAAAAAAAATATTTTTTTTATTCTTGACTTTGTTGTTGCATTTGTTCCATTTGTTGCATTTGTTGTTCTTGAGCTATTTGTTGTTGAAGTTGTTCTTGTAGTACAATACTTTCACCAGTTGCATCTTCCAATTCGAAACTTTCTGCCGTCATTGACAAATACATAGGACATAAAAGTTTTACAGGAACAAAGTTTGCGTCAACTAAGGTTAAGTTTATGTTTGCTAAAGTGTTTGAGTTTACTAAAGCTGAAAACTCTGCATTCGAATGAACAATAGGCAAACCAGCAGAGAAAGTGTTGTTTATACGCATGAGTATCTTTTGGTCATAGTAGTTTCTGTCGACATTCGAATAACACTTTGAACCTAAGTTTGAAACAATATATAAGATTGGTGTACTTAAAGTCAATGGAATAGACATTCCTTGTATGACACCTTTTCCTGTTATAGGAAACTGTTGGTAGTAAAAACCAGATATAAGTTTTGTATTATAGCTCATATCGTTTATACTAAACTCAGTCGGACATCCAAACATAATGAAACCTGCTCTAGTTGCAGCACATGTTACATCCGTCCTTAAAGTATTAAATAAGTCAACAAAACCTGTTGGTGGTATATCTGAGTAAGTATCTTCAAAGAAGTATTTTTTACCATTCACAACAACAAAGTCTTCTGGTGTCAAAAGAGCAAAACAAGCTTTAGTCGTCATCGTGTTTAAGGTCAGTTTACAATATCGTCCTTGAGGACTTTGTAAGTTTGTTGTTATAGAATTATATGACTCAGGGTTTTTAGTCGTAATAGTATAAACCACTATGTCTTCTGCCATTTACTTAGCAACTAAATTTTAATGAAATGTTGTGGTCGTCAAATATTTTTATGACGTCTGGGAAACTATATTTTAAGTTCAACGTTTCACCTCCTTTCATAACGTATATCTTGTCAATGACATTATATGAAACACCACAGCAACTAACGTCGGGTTCTATTTCTTTGATGTTTATATCGTCTGCCTCTGTCAAAAGTTTCAATAGTTCTTTCAAAACTTCATGAGGTGCAATGACATATGAGTTCACTTTTACAGGGTTGTGTTCGACCAAGTTTAACATTATACCCAAAGCTTGACAAATCTTCTCCTGAGTTTTAAGTTTGTCTTTAAGTTGTTGGTAGTCGTTTCGAATATCTGCAACAGAACTTAAGTCTCTGCTAACTTCAGGATATGTTGGTTGTTCTTTTACAGGAACAATTGCTATACCATCTTCGTCTTCGTATGGTTTCCCCACTTCAACATCTCTTTCTTTGACATTGACAACAACACTTTGACTGTTTGTTTGAGTTGGTGAATTTAACTTCACATCTGCCACCGCCATTAAACCTTTTGAAACACTTACGCTTCTATTTTTCGGAAATGACATTTTACTTAGAATAAAAAGATGGACGTATTTGAGTATCTCTTCGAATTGAAGCAAAACAAAGTTTACACACACAAACAGTACAAATACATTGACAGAATAGTTCTTTACACAAACAATGGAAAATGTTATAGAATAGCAATATTTGCTGAACCAAAATATTTCCATAAAGCAAAGAAAGTTGGTATAACTGAAATGGTGAAAGTTCTTGACGTTGACAAAAATATAACAACAAAACTTACAGATATTTCTAAAGGTAAGTTTATCTTACAATATTATGTCAAAACTGGCGTACTGTCAATATTTGACGGAGAGAAGTCAGTTCAAGAACAACTTACTGACCTGCTGCCAAAATCTGCTCGATGGAAGCTGTCGTTATGCCAATCTGAGGAGCCCCAGCAGGTTTCATCGAACGAATCTTCAAAAGAGCATCTTCCGTGAAAAGTTGCTATTGGTTTTGTAAACTTCTTTGCTCTCAGTTCATCTGGACCGTCTCTGTCACCAGTATATTATTTGTACAGTACCAACAGTTGAAATACCACCCATAAAGTCTTCTGAGTCAGCAAATGGAATGCCAAGCCAAAAGTTTGAACGGTCTCCATTTGTATATTGAGTTTTTTGAACCTCCTGTATGAGTCCATACTTTCACATATGGCATAATAGAACTTTGCATTTCAGGGTTAATGGTTGTTGTGAAGTTGTTGTTAAAGTTCATAGCATCTAATGTCAAAGTTGTATGACCTCATATCCTCAACTGTAGAATATTCTTCTCTTGGATAATATTTGCCATCTATGTTTATATGATATTTAATACCAGGGTTGTAGAAGCAAGAATAGTCATTTATAGTTCGTCTGAACAGTACAAAACATAGTATCTGCATGTTTCATTGCAGTTGTTAAGGCAATATCTGTTCTTGCACCTGGTTCAGCACTTTGGTTTCCAACTTCACCTGCAAAGTCTTTGACAGATATTTGGTGTATAGGGAACATAAGTGGGAACTGCAATATATTTGGCAGCTAAAGCATTTGAAATACTGGGTCCAACATATAGACTGCAAGTCTGCTTTCTATTCTCTTGCATTCAAATTTTTCGCATGTGAACTTAACTGGGTCCCAAGCATCTCCAGCAGCATTGAAATAATAGTTTACTTCAGTGTTGAGGTTTGAGAAACCAAAGTCTAAGTCAACTTTGTTTTTTGCAAAAGTCGGCGAATGACATTTTATTTGTTCCCTACTTCTGTAAGAGTGAATGGGTCTTGTGTTGGTGCAATGACTAAGTTATTTTTGCTTGGAGTAAGTTCGATAGAAATTTTTCCTGCCCAGTTTGGCAAGTATCTTAAAAACCTGAAGATGAGGAAAGATGACAAAGGAACTCTAAGTTTCAGTTTTACTTTGGTTACTGCTGCTGCAGTTTGTCCAGAAAGGTCAACATAAACTCCTGGAACGTTAGGGTCAAGTCTTCTTATTTTTTCAATAGTTGCATACTGGTCTGTTTGTTCTCTAGCTTGTGGTTGTACTGAGTTTCTCAAAGCGAACCATTCATAGTTTGCCCATGTTACTGTTTGAACTAAGTCAGAGTTAGAATATATCTTATATCCCATGAAAACTTCTGGAGCATATTGGTATCCGACATAGAAAATTCCATTGCAACCTTTCTTGTCAGACAACTTGGCAGAAGGTTTTATTTCAATGTCTTGTTCCACGTATAAGAAGAGTTGTCATAGAAATAAATATGAAACCTGTCGCAAGCAATATCTACTGTTGTTGAAGAACCTTCTCCAAACTCACCTACGTTTCCATAAGAAACAGCAGTTGTATATTCGTAAGTTCCAGGAACTATTTCTGACCTTCTAATGGCATTGTCGCATTCGTTATACCATTCGGAAACATTTCCATTCATAGCATCCAAAACTGTTGGCGTTATATTCTGAGCGGCGTACATTTCATATGAGTAAAAATATAGAATAGTTGGATTTATATGTCATAATAGAACCCACTCCGACCAAGCTTTACTTTCTTCCTGACTGAGTTTTTAACTCTTCTTTTTCCTTCATTGCCCTCTGCTTGAAGTTGTTGCATCTTTGCATTATGTTCATCTAGTATGTTGCAAATTTCCCATGTCCTTTTTGCCTTTTGGCTCTGGTCGCCCATCTCAGGTAACCTATATCCTAGAAAGAGTTTGTCATAGTCTGTATTTGAGTCTTCGCGTATTGTTTGCATGACTCTTTCCTGAGTTTCCGGTTCAAGCTCTTCAAACAGTGCCTGTCCATATGGAATATGCTCGTTTCCAAATATATGTTTTTGTAGCCATTCTGGTTTTCTTTCCATGTTACCAACTATATCTTTTGTGAATGGGAAAGCTTCTACCCAATCTTTCAGTCTTGCGTCGTTTATTTCTGTAGTTGGTTTTATTTTGTCAAGGAACATGTTTTTCAATACTAACATTTCATTTGGTACTGTCCATTTGAGTTTCTTAAATATTCATCCCTTCTCAGTTCATTGTCTGCAAAGTAAGTTTTTATGACATTTTGTAAACTTTCGTTTGCAAGGTCATGTACAATAGGTTCTCTTCCTTCTCTCTCCCTAACTTTCTTTCTAAACTCTTCACCAAATATACCATCTCTATGGTTCTGTGTAGTTCTTTGAGATAAATGTTCTAGAACGTCAGGTGTTATATTTCCATCAGCCATGTTCATTTCATACTGGTCCAAAATATCTGCATGTTTCATATCTTTCAATGGCATTAAAGCCGCGCTTAAAATACCAGCTATATCTCGTTCACCATTCACTTCCATTGCGTCTACAACTTCTTGGAATTGAGGTTGTAAGTTTATGAACCACCTATCCGGGTTAGCTTTATGACCCCATCTCATTGTAGTTCCATCGTCTGCAGAAACAAAAGTAGGTTTGTTTCCATCTTGGTTAGGTTCTGAATGAACTTTAAACAATGTTTCATTTCTATATGTTTTCTTGAAATTTAACCTTTTATCTTCACCGAGTTCATCCGAAGATTGAACGTTAAATGCTCGTAAGTAAAAAGGGTTGTTGTATTTGTGTACATTTTCTTTCAGTACTTTCATTCTATGCTGAATATTTTCATCTGGTGTTGGAGTCTTTTGTATGTCGGCAAACATTTTTGATATTCTTCTACTATGTCAGCCGAATCTTTCTTAGACTCTTGGAAAGATTCCATATTCACCTCATGCTCTTGTTGAGGGTCAAGATTTTTCGGCTGTTCCAAATCTTCATCTAGTTCTGTGAAGTTAGTTTCCAAAGGAGTGACTTGTTCGTTTCCTTCAGGCTCTTCTAGCTGTTGTTGCTGAACTATTTCTTCCATGTCTGGTTGTATCTGAACTTCTTCCTGTGGAGTTTCTTGTACCTCATCTGCTGGCATTTCATATATTCCGAGACCGTTTTTAAAAAGTTCCCTATCTAAGTCATCCGGACTCATAAACCTTTCTTCTTTCGTTCCGTCTCTATTTTTTACGCGTTTCATGAAGAGAGTTGTATTGTCATTTAGCTCTGACACCAAATATCTCGGAGTAAATTCGTTCATGTCATTTGGATGATATGCTATTAAATCATATCCCTTAGCGAGCTTGTATTTTCCAGGTTTGAAATTATATCCCATTTGGTGCTGAACCATAAAGCTAAATAGGTTCGGGTCAGTATTTCCTTCCTTGAACTTTCTAATAGCTTCTTTATATCTGTCACTAAAGTCAAGAGTATCTGGGTAACCATACTCTTCCTTAAGCCTTTTTAAGAATTCTTGGTTTCCTTGTTCTCTACTTCTTTTATGTCCTTGCTCTGTTTGTGGTTGTTGTTGTGCAGGGTTTTGAACTGTTGGTTGTGGTGCAGTGTTTTGAACTGTTGGTTGTTGTGCTGGTTGTGGAGGTGGTTGTTGTGCAGGGTTTTGAACTGTTGGTTGTTGTGTTGGTTTTGGTGCATGCCTGTGTCTATGTCCATGTGACGATGTAAATGTTTTAGGTAGTCCTGGTGCAGGTGCTTCTCT